CTAACAATAACATACTACGGGGAGGGGATTGCTAGTGATTGGGAGTAGTGACCTCGTTGCTAGCATAGTGGTTAATTCCTGGTGAAATCCTCTCGATGAGCGAACAGATCTGACTTTGTCCTCTACTAATCATCTCTCACCTGCGCCGCACCAGCATAGGTATACCGTTAGCGTAGGAAGCTGAACCAATCCATCATCATCCGTAAAAACCAAGAAGATATTAAAAATGTAATGCTCTAGTTACCTCTATAGTACCTACCTAAACATAAGCCAGTTGACTAAATTCGGCGGCATTGTAAATGAAACAGTTATCATTGAACAAAAGCATTGTTTGCAACTTTCTGGGCCGGTAAATACACACGCCTATCCTCCGAGGCGGGGCCGTGACCAAGCCCATTGGTTACCTGCAGAGCGTGACGACAGTTCCATTGGACAATTCAGCGACAAGTGAAGGTGACGAAATAGGTATTTCTGCTTAGTAGCATTGAGCAAAACAATTATGAAACGGACCAACTCCTTATCTAACTTCATTGTTTTCATTTCATAATACAGATAGATACAGTGGACAGTTTGAGAAATTATATGAGACGACAACCTTGTTGATATAAAAAAAGAATTCTATTTGATAGATGAGTAGGTAGTTGTAGGTAGGTATAGGTATATACCTACGGTAGCTTTAAATTACATTTTATTTTTAAGAAAATCAATAACCGTGTTGAATAAAATTTAATAACTTTTTAATTATAAAATACAGGCCGTTATTTAACTGAATTATAATACAGTAACTATACTTTAATACAATACCAAAGCATTAAGATGCAAATTGGTACAGGCATAACGAGGAAATTAGCATTATGAACGACAATATTGAAGGGTGACTCAGCGAGTCAGTCCATCAACTCCGGTTGTATTGTGAGTCGAGGTGAGTTGTGATGCAATCCAAACGACGCAAGTCGAGAAGTAGACTAGCAAGCCCGCCCAAACCCTCTATCAATTCAATAGCCGTGAAATTCGATTTTTAAAAGGAGTTCACTCAACCTATACTTAAAGTATGTAATATTGTTGCAATCATAAATTGTTTAAACAAAAACTTAAATTTATTGAGACCACTAGATATCTAAGTAGATACTTACTACAGAACCTTAGAACCTTCCATAAAGTAGGTAGGTATTATTACTATTGATTTGTTGTTGTCCGCTGTTGTTTACTTTAGTTTACAAAACGTTTCACCTGTTAGGTAGGTACATTCCTATAGAACAGTAGGGTAAAGTCGTTCGCCCTAAATTACGAAACTATATATCTACCTATGTATACAAAATTTACTGATCGTGACTGTTAGATCACCAGTTACTCTATATACATAATCTGGCCATAAATACTACAATTAAAATGAACAAAATATTACTTACCTACATATTTACTGTGTTAGTTGTAGTTCAAAACTTAATGTGCTATGGTCGTCGTAGATCTCATATGGTATTATTTTACTGATAAAGGCTATAACAGAATAGCAGAGAGGGTGGACTCAATGCCCTCACTGAGTTATAGACCGTTTTGTCTCATTAATTAGTTTTAAATTATATTATTGTATGGGCAACAGTTGTATTAGTTTTGTTTGAGACAAATAAAGATTATTATTATTATTCTTTATTTTTTTTCTCAGTTTTTGCTGGTTTCCTCCACACTTACGGGCCGAGCCAAGTAAGTGCAGTGTGTTGTGTATTATTATTTTAAAAAAATTCTCATCTCTCCTCTTAAGGAGAAGAACTGGCAACTTACCCCCGGCAGAAGCGCAGTCGGCCGGGGTTCAGGCGCTTGGGAGAGAAACCGGCGTACAATGTGGGCAGAATCTAAGAGCACCGCTTTCTGCATCTTTCCCGGGAGTGAGCCGCCTCGAATCCCAACCGTCTGAGATATTGTTCCAGACTGGTTGGGATAAGACCGTTCACCGACATAACAATTGGAATGATCTCGATGGACATCAGCCCCCACATTTCGGTCACCTCGTGAGCCAGGTCGAGATATTTTCTCTTTTTCTCAGTTTCGGCTTTCACGAGGTTCTCGTCATGCGGTATGAGGATGTCCACCAAAAACTCCCTCGAAAGTGCCACCACGATATCAGGTTTGTTCGCAAGAACGGTCTTGTCCGTGATGATGGATCGGTCCCATTAGAGTCTGACGCTGTCGCTTTCGAGGACCGGCTGGGGCTCGTACTTATAGTACGGCAACCTCTCATTCGCGAGGCCGTACTTCAGAGCTAGTTCTTGATGGAGTATTTTGGCTACCTGGTTGTGTCTGTGCAAGTAGGTACTCATTGTTGGCAAGAGCTGAACAACCGGAAAGCACATGTCTGAGTGACTCTCCGGGATGGCGTCCCGAGTGTGCCCTGTGTACACGTGCTTTCGGGTATGCCCGACTGATGTCCTCAGTGCTATCCTTCAGAATGTGCTTTTGGTAATTGTTCATCTTAACCACCTGATCCTGTATTGCATAGATAAAACCCTTGGTCTCTCCGAAGAAATCACCGAACTGTAGCCAGTGTTCGGAGGTCTTCGTGTTGACGTACTGCCCGTGAAGAGCTTTGAAGAACCTTCCGTGCAACTCCTTCTCTTTCCATACGGCCTCCCGCTGAGAGGTACCTAGGACTTCGGGTTTTCGCCATTCCTCTTTAGCTAGAGAAAGAGGGGTGAATCCTTTGTCACTTTTTATGACCTCTCTATGCAAACCCTCGTCTCTTTTCTCCAGAAAATAGGTCCTGAGGCTGTAAATCTCGCGGTCGTGCATGGTCTTAACGCTTAACGAGCCTCGACCACCAGCCTTCCGCGGGATGTACAGCCTTATGACTGACGATTTCGGGTGGTGCATTCTATGGAGGCTCATAGTTGTGCGGACTTTCCGATCCAGGGCTTCAAATTCGGTTTGAGACCATCTGAGCATCCCGTGTCGCCACATTTGGATGTATCCGGGGAAGCTTCGGTCTCTCTTCAAGGGGAGTTCTTCGGATCTCTATAATCGCCTCTTCTAGTAAGCTCCCCAGAGCCTCCTAGAGTATACTCTATATCCTGGGAAGTTGTTCCGTCCACATCCGCTTCTGAAGGCCTTTCGGCAACCATCTTTACGTTAGGTAGCACGTCTGAGATGGGTTGCTCCACGGTCGAGGGGTCTGCTTCTGGAACAACTTCACTTCGCAATCGTTCGAGTTTGGTCGCGCTAAACATATCAGAGAGCTGTATGTACCGAACTCTATCGGCTAGATTCTGTTCCGAGACGATTAGATCCGGTAAAAGACGCAGAAACTCGCGGTGCATTATTGCATTGTATCCTGTTTTGCCTGTTTCTGTCCCTGTAGCCCTGTAGAACGCGCGCATGAGGTCTTCGTTCATGACTCTCGACCATCTCATGCGACGAGTACCACCGATTGCTGGGCCTGTGACGGCCCTGCCGGTGCCAAGCCAGCTGATGTCGATGGCAAGGGGTCGGACGGTCGGCTGGCTTGCATTCTGCCATGCCTACCGCCAGTTATAGACGTGCCCCGGCAGCCCCCGGGCAGCGACCCTATTCCGTTTTCTTTATTTATACTCGCCATCTTTATATTTGCCATGGCCCCTTTGGGCGCGTAGGTTTCATATATACGCGTGACCGCCTTTCACGTGAGCTAGATGGTCAGCTCGGACGCGGGGTTGGACTTTAAAATGTTTATTATTTTTTTTTTTATTTGATCTACTTACCTACACCTGTCGTTCATTGTATTTTCTCATTTCCCGCCAATCTAGTGGGGTGATCAATGGAGTCGAATCGCTGTGATTACATTACACAAAGTAGGTATGGAGCCAAATCCATTTTTTTTTTTAAACTCTAGACATGAGTCTATTGTTTGTGTACTGGGCTATTGATAGGTACAATGAAACCTATTTGTAACTATCCACGCAGTATTTTCGTACAAAAGGCAATCAAAGCAATAAAGGAAAGAATTAGAAGAAACTCTATCAGAAAACAAAGAATTCTATCTTGCGAAATGAAAATAGCTTCTAGAACAATGTTGCGTATCTTAAAGGATGAATTAGGACTTGGAGCCTATAAGAGATGCACTTAACAGACAATGGAAATAATTTCATCTAAATGGAGCTTTATATATTTTTAATGTTTTTATTAATTTTTAAACTTCATAGTAGGTACACTGCATAGTAACTGTTATGTGTATTAGAAAAAATAAGAATTTTTCCTTGTAACAATGTTTATGGTAGAATACAAAAGTACTCTAGATGATTGGTCTGGTAACTTATGTTAGGTATACCTATGTATGTACATATGTAATGTAAAAAACTGTTTCAGACATTCAAAAACCTAATTAGGTATATTAGTTCCCTCCTAGATGTAAATCAGTAACCTTCTTCTTATTACTTTTTATTATTTACTATGTCAATTTGAGCAACATTCGGACCCGCCCGGTTGAATTCAGCATAATGAGCTGACAGACCTGATTTCTTGCTCATTTAATCATCCTTCACTGGTGCTCTATCTCCACGTACATTCCATTATACGCAGTCTAATAAAATTCTAATATTTTGTCTTTGACTATAGCTGTCACATAGAAAATGCTATTGTCATTTTGACGTAGATGGAGCGGTATGCAGAAAGTTACCAATTACAGTATTTTTCCCTATATTTAGAGAAATTTTTAGGAAGCTTGTATAAGCACACAATTGTTGTGCACTATTCATGTCATAGTGAAACACTTGTCATGCACAAATTTCACCAAAAATTTTTCATTGTTATTTTATTTATTTAAATAGAACATGATTGTGAACACACCCTGTTAACTGATTATCTACTTTTTAGCTAAGAACACAAGGGTTGTGTGCTTATTTAAGTAGCTAAAAGAAAAATTATACGCAATTCTTGATTTACTCACTGGAATATAATTTCTAAATAAAATAATTGTATGCAAGGTCAAATCAAGTTGTGGACCAAAGTATGAGTTAAACCTGGCAACACTGCAAAATTTTATTGAAATTAGTGAATCTTTATTTCAATTCAATTTATTTAATTTCTCATTTGTGTGTTGACTATTTTAATTTAATCTTTCTTATAAACATATCTGTGTAACTCATTATGATTACTAATTTCGACAAACTTTGTATGGAATTAGAAAAACAAGAATTAGAGGTAGATCTATCTAAATTTACAATAACATAGTGTTTTTAAATTGTTATAATTAAGATTTTTTCACTTATACATAAAATTACAGGCCTCTAATGGAGTAGCTTCACCATCTACGTATTCTCAACTATTAGCCATATATTTATACCAAAACGACCTGTAAGTATATTTAATAATGATAAATATTAAGTCATAATTTTGTTTAGTTATTATTCTAAAACTAAACTAACGTTACCCATAACTTAAAACTCTTAGGGTAATTTTTTTATTCTTGTAAATTGAGACAAATAACAATATCTTCGCTCATTTCCACAAGATCCGTGATTTTTCACCTTTATGATTAAATAACAAATAACTTTGGAACTAATATAATTTCATAATAATAATACAGACATTTATTCAGCATTACATCTATATCAGCAGGATCTGCAATGTGTACTATATTTAGTTTCAAGTTAAAACCTACCAACTGATAACGCTGAATGTGACTCCCACTCAGTATTTATATTGTACCATAACCAAGTTAATTGATGCCACTGATTTTCCGAGATACCAGATGTCACACTGATAAAATTCAACATTGGTTGAATTTTATGGATGGTCATTCATGCAATGTTCAACATTAGTTTATTCATCCCTTCTTCTTATATTGATAAATCAATCTAAAAGTTGATATGAATAGATTTTGTATGTTTTATATTCTTTTCTATATCATCTAAAAGTCATTGGCAAATAAAGTTGTTGTTATTGTTATTGTTGATTGTCAAAATTGTAATATGTTACACAATTAGTGCCAGGGGAGAGTTTGTTTATAACATGAATATAAATGTTCTTTCCACAAGTAATAGTCTGTTGGAAATAATTAAAAACAATTTATTTAATATCTACTATTTTTATGCCCTGTAGTTCATTACATTAATTTAATGAGATTTTTGAACTAGATGTTAGTAATAGACATTTTCTCAACATTGTAATATCATTTTTGTTTTACAGATGTAATGCAAAATTTTTATGGAAGAGAATTCCACAAAATATTATAGGCAGTAATCCTGAAATAACAGCAGTATGGGCAATCGGTCAAATGCTATGGAAGAAAGACCTACCTGGTACTTACCAAGCCCTTGCAGCTTATGACTGGACAGAGCCAGTTGCCAACATTATTAGATCACTCGAAGGTATCTTGTCTACTTTATTGAAACACTAACTATTAACAGATTTATGGGTAAACTTAGCTTCTAATTTATGGGGGATAAGTCACATTTGTTAGGCAGGATTGCAGTAATTTCAACTGTTAATGTATACAGTAATGCCTACAATTTAGAGGCATCTGCCATCTCCTGTTCACCACACCTGTGAACATCCTATGTATGGACACATTGGTGTGTAATTGTTACAAAATATTACATGGTTTTAAAACAAATGTTTTGCAATTATTTATGTTTTTTAATCCATATAATTTACACAAGAAAGTGTGTTATTTTCAATATATAATGGTTTAATGTTACTAAGCGTGGATCACCATTCAACATAGTTGTACACCATAAAACAACAGAAATAATATATCATGTACCAAAGATCTAAAAGTGCAGGTACTGTTGAAAACTTTAATTATTCATTTGAGTTATAATTATCTTCTTATTGCTATGTATTATTTACCGACATAATTCTGTAAATTGACTTACCTACTGGGTGAATAAGATGGCATTGCTGGTAATATAGTTGTTCCACAATCCAAATCATAGAAAATGGCAACCAACCCATATGATGTCCTTGCCACTCGCCATACATAGCTATTGTTAATTGCTCTTCATACCCAGTAATTTCACTCTCAAACCAGCAAGGTACTATCTACATCCAAATATTCTTGACAATATGAGTAAAATAAACTGTTATTATCTTAACCATAATAATTAATGAAGTTGGGATGCTATTAGAATAATAAAAGATTTATTTCCTTTCAACAGTAATTTCTTTTTAAATCAACAGAAAAAATACGTGAGAGAGCATTCAACCTCATTGGCCGTTCATATAGCTCCATCTCACTCGACACAGTGGTTGCAATGACCGGTCTGAGCAAAGAAGCTGTAGTGCACTTATGTCGAGATCGCAAGTGGACGCTCAATGAGGATAATGTCACAGTCCAACCCACACCTCCAACGCAGCCTGCACCTTTACATACATCTAGCGAGGACCAACTCTTCAAACTTACAGAATTTGTATCTTTCTTGGAAAACTAAAGTAAGTTCTTATTTTTATATTCAGTTTCAATAATAAAATACATTTACTAAGATTACACTCCAAATACTACTATAATAAATTATAGTCCTCTTTTGTATTTATATCTACTAAATGGCCGAACACCAACTTTAAGAATGGGGTTATTGTGGAGTGTCGTTTTTTATTTTATAATATAAATAAAAACATATTTTCATGGCATAGTAAAATGACTGTTTAAAAAAATAAATTATTGCGGCACCCTCAGAATGTGTACAGACTCTCGCAGTCTCTTAATTAATTATAAATTTTATTAAGGATACAATAAAAAGCTCATAAAACAAGTTTTAAAATATTTTTATTGTCAATGTATAAAATATAAAAATACACTATGGACTAAAGTTAAGTGGCAGTGTAATATTAGATTCTATTTTACAATAAAGCTGTAAATGTTCTAAATTGTAGTTTGTGATTTTGCATTAATAACCTGCCTGAATCACAGAAATTTTGAAATATCATATGAGGCATATCATAGGCTATATGATATTAAAAAAATATTTTATACTAACTAATATACAATATGTAAAATGAGTATCTACATTGTTTATGCTAAGTAGTTGATGCTAAATTTAGTTTGGCAACTCTTGGAAAACTAAAGAGTTTTTCTGGAAATAGCCTTAAAATCTGCCCTGGAACGAGACCTGATTTTGTCTTGGTTGAAGTCTCATAGAGTTGCTATCATCCTCGTCCCCCAATGTTGTCTCATAGCCTCGGTTTACTTGACCTCCATTTGGCTCCGCAAAGACATCCTTTACAGAAATATTAGCGTTCGACGTACGATGGCGCGGTGCCCCAATGTTGTTGTTAATCTAAAAAGACAATGGACACTAGTTGAAATTTATATACATATACAGTCAATAAATTAGTGCTTGTTGCACTAATTTATTGACTTATTACTATTAATTCATTTAAGTTAAAAATACATTGCGAAATAGTCTTTTCAAATTTATAAGATGCCATTTTTAAGATAGTAAAAGTCAACAAAGATTTTATGAAAGTACTAAATATCTGCCATAGACATGTACGATGGACAGTATGGACGGACATCACAGAATTACATTGAAAATCCCTCATTACCTGATGAAATTGTACCCATCATGTATTCGTCCTGAGAATTTAGATGTCATGTCCATAATCAGTAATTTCACTGCCATATCTTCACCTAGCCTGATATCTATTATTCAATCTTAGAAATTAGTATACGTAGATAATAATACCAATTTCTATTGCTATTTGAAATTTTTATTTAATTGTTCAAAAATATAATACTCCTTATGGAGAATTATACGACAAAGTAATTTTACCAGTCCCGTGACTCCATATTCATTGTTAGCACCAAGTGTTTGCATTTGTGACTTTCTTCGTTCTGCCATTACCGAATTTCTTCGAGTCTCCAACGCTTTGAGTGTCTCTCTACGCAACGTCATCTTGCGATTTAGTACTGGTGTACCTGTTAAATAGAATTTAATCAACTAGATGTTTGTATTGACTTTGTAAACTCACGCCTTTCTTTCCAGTTTCTACTAGAATTGAGTGATTATTTTTATAAAATGCACACTTTTTAAAAATCATCATCATCAAGTCTATATTGATCGCATCCCCATTATTTTAGGCATAATTATTTTTGTTTAGGTAGTAAAAATAATCGATCTGCACACAACGCAGGGTACCCTTTTATACTTGTATAATATACTGTTTTGCCACATTTTCTATTTGACTTATAATAGAAACAGAGCAATTTATATAACGATAAAAAAATATAAGACGCATACGGGACAAGAATATAAATAAAGAAGTACCTGGCCCATCATTGGCATTCATATTGAAGAATCGTTTCTTGAATGCTACATCAAGAGTGCCTATGTTCCTCTTCTTCTGTCTAGCCTTTTCCAAATTGTGGATAGTTTTCCGTCTACCAACATTATGAGGACCAGAGCTAGAATCGTTGTCATAATCGTCATCTAATCCATTCAATTTTTGCAAATCTTTTACTATTGCTATTGCATTTTTATCAAGCAATGCATCTTGTGAAAGGTCTTCCGCCTAATGGGAAACAAAAATGTATTATTAATCTACGGTAATAACAGTATTAAGTACCTAAATATCGATATTATAATGTGAAAATCATACCTTCTTCGTACAGAACCAGTTCAGTTCCGTGGATGATAAAATGTGTGAAAGAGTTCCAAATCGATGGAACAACATGGCCGTAAACTGGATAACCAAAATCAAAGCGAAAAAGAACACGAATACCAGACCAATCGGTTCCAGTTGCAAATATTCTTTCGTGATCAAAACCTGTAACGTATATATCATATAAACGGAATGATATCTTATTAAACATTAAATATACACATATTCAACGATTCATGAAAAAAGATTCCTGGTCACTTTATAACATTAAATATAATAATATGTTATTTAGACGAAGGCGAATAATAGGTATTCGCCTTCACCTGTATGTAAAAAGAACATTGTGTATATAACTCCAATAGATATTATATGTAGATCAGGATTCAGTTTCCGTAATGCTTTAACATTTAAAATGAAAATTAATTTTGAATGGCTGATTCAGTTAAAGACTAGTGCAAATTAGATATTTTTTATACATTTATTTCCTATATGATTGTGAATTGTGTAACATGTACCTAATGTGTAATAGTTAATGAACTGAACCATAAATATATAGTTCACACAAATAGATAATATATTTATGAAACGATAAATTAGTATGTCATTATGTAAATTTAAAAAATATATGAACACTCATAGTTATCATAATGTTAAACAAATCACCGCGAATTTCGAGATATATGTATTTACAAGGGAAACCAGTGACCGTGTTTAATTAATAGAAAAGTTCCGCCACCTTAATAGACAGAATAGATAACATTAATTAACTTTCCAGTGTATTGGTTTGGAATATGTGCATTATTGGAAGGATTTATAATGAATTGGCATTTTACGCCCGAGAAGAAGTCATTTCCTGTGAAGCGCATTGAACGCATAGACCTATTTACTATATTAAGTTAAAAGTTAAGGATAACTTTTTATTCCATCAAGTGTTTAGGATTTTAGGAGAGCTTGGATTTTTATTAGGGTCTATGGAACCATAAAAGTGTAACCCAATTGTTGAATCCTGCATCGATAGGACATCATGCTGGTGTGCCATCCCAAGACAGACCGGTTAGAAGAAGGTCGTTAGACTTGTGAAGTGACACACATTGAGTGGTAATATTTGGCTATACCTCGCCTGTATCCTCGATGTACGTAATGTTTGTCTTTATCCCCAAAGGCCAATCCACGTGGAGTTGATCTTTGTTGAGTTGTAATAAAAATACTATCAGTATAAATAAAGCATTGAACATAACAAATGCAAAAACTGACTTATTACGAAGTTCTATCAAATCGCCGGCAATTCGAGCCTGTAAAATTTAATAAAAACAAAATTGTTAAAATGCATCAACTTTCAAGGGTGACTGGGATCATGGACATTATTAGAGAATATTCACAGATGTATCTGTAGATTATGTGACCGTGGTCCCGAGTCATCGTTGAAGGCCGATCGCTGCGTAATGGAGTCGCACGTTACCTCTTGTGAAACATCATCATAAGTTATATTAGTTTTAACTCCGAAGGGCCATTTAAAATGAATGTTGTCCTTGTTCAGTTGTAGCAAGAATACAATGAGCACAAAGAGGGCATTGATCATAAAGAATGAAAAAACAGATGAGTCTCTCAATTCTTTCAAATCCTTTGTAATACGGGCCTAAAATTATGGCAATATTAATATCAAACAGATACATTTGATGCATACAATAATAATAAATAGTCTGTTACCTGTAAAACAAGTTTTATTAAACATAATAATAGTACACAAAAAAAATAAATACATATTAACCATTAACCAAAAAGATTAGTTTCAATATAGTCTTCGAACGTTTGTAACAGATATTTGAAAACTTGTAAATTTAGAATAAATCTTACCTTCGTTAAGTTAAGCACCGAAGCTTGCATGATTTTAGATTATTAATATTATTACTTTATACAATTTTAAACTAGAAATGGAAAGGTATGATTAACTGATATTCTTAAAAATTAATCAAGCAGAATACTTGTAAACATTACCCCTTTAAATTAAATATTGTATATTATATACTTTAAATATTGTTAAAACCTCTAACAAAAGTAAACTTTGCGTAGTTTATTTCTTGTGGTAAAGTAACGATTTTATAAAAGATTTTCTAGATTATACGTGTAATTGTGTATTACGTTAAATAATATGATCTTACTTGTTCCTCCTTGTTTGCATCAATGGGATACAAATATTTATCAATGAGGTCTTTCCAAAACTGTAATTCAGCCGGAGTCAAAAAATCTACTTCTCCTTTTTTCAATTCTGGGTCTTCGATCCAATAGGGATTAATAAGATCATCTCTCCTTTCCTAAAATAAAAAAAATAATAAGTACTTGTTTAGATACATTTTGATTGCCTGGATTTAAAAAATAATAATTTATTCTTACTCTGGGGACTGTAGAAAGGGTATCCGTTTCTGAATCAGAATTGTGATCTTCTTCTGGACCTTCAGCCAGAGCATCCAATTGGTGATCTCCATTAGTACTGCCACGATGACCCACAGACAATTTCCGACCTCTATTCAGGCCATGCGGATCAATTGATCTATAAATATCATACTTATTAATAATCAAATTTGGCTGACAAGTAGTATTCGAGATGTTACACGATAACTACACAGTCCTATTTCTTCTATCAATATATACCGGTCATGCACATTATCTTGTGATAGAAACTAGACATTTTATTTAATATTAATAAAATAAGAACCTTTCAACTACATCCAATTTTTTCTCCAATTTGTCTAGCGTGGATGCTATGTGCATTAACTGTACTTTTTCTTCGTTTCCTTTTGGATGAGTACACAGTAAACATTTGAACAAACCAGCAAATGAAAATTCTATAGATCCTTCTTCCTCATTACTGTTTACTCCAGATAAGAAACCTAATAATGATTTCTGTTTAGCCTTTTTCTTCGCTTCCTCAGCATCTTTCTTTTCTTGTTCTATTTCCTACAATTTTATAGGAAATTTTTATAATCCATTATTACCATCCACATAACTTCGAAAGTAATGAATGCGCAACATACCTTTTTAGTTTTCTTTGTTTGTACTTCTCGAGTACCCCAAGATACGACATTCAGGTTGATAACAGAATACAAAATTAACAGCAAGTACATAGAAGGTATAGATAGAAGGTAAATAATACCCGGTACAATACACCAAAATTCTTGCGGATGTAAACATGCCGCTATGAAAAATGAACTGGACAGTGCTATCAAGAAAATAGCTGAAGGGGAGCCAATGCCGTCCTCGCCTAATTGAAGCGCAGTACCAACAATCACAGCCATCATTATCATAGCATATGCTGTAGATAGAATTTGTGCTACCAGCAACTGAAATGTCACAATTTAAATTAATCTTAATTTCTAGATTATACTATTAAATAATAATATTAATATATATGGCATATCAAAGATTTTTGTTCTATGCTGCTGTTTTAAAATTAATACTAATCTAGTCCGCATAATTCGAATGTCTATGAAATATTCACGTTCATTCAGTTGTTGTTGCGTGAATCAAAGACATGTTTAAATTATTTCAAATCTTAGGATAATCTTGTAAACTGAATATGTTCTAAAATGAAGTTTTCAAATAATTTAATTGATAATAAAAAAAAACAACCTGTATTTCCGATTTCATAGTGAAGCAAACGAACATGAAAATCAAAATAGGGTATAAATTATATTCGAAGGAGGTCCAGTTGTCAATTCGGAAGGCTGCCACGAAAGCACCCACCAACATAAGAAATATAGTTCCGGGGCCCAAGATTGTACCTCCCATCAACATCATCTGAAATTAAATAATTCAAATGCATATAAATATATTGCTTTGTAAGTTATATTGTATGATACCACTATAGTATGTACTATAATTAATGCAATTTTTTACATTATGGTAACTGCTGTTATCTAAAGATCCTTCTAGTGCGTACTTTTAAAAACAACATACTTTGTGCAATAAAACGGAGGTTTAGCTGAGATTCTCTCTTGCATTGAAGCTTCAGGGAAAAAAAAGAATTGTATAATAACATCACTGATTAATTTAAAGGTTTTTCATACAGCCAACAAATTTATTCATATTGAATATAATTTTGGCTTTCGAAAGTATTAAAATATGTGTATGATAGTACCTGATATGCAATGTACGGTGTTGAAATATTGTCGTTGATTTTGATCGTATGCTTGTAATCCATGAGCAAATCCATAATGTTAGCAATAGTGGATGGCACCCAACGACGACGCTGATTATAGAATTCGCTGAAACCCTCTGGACAATGAGTGTAAGCGTCTGAAGCAGCTGAGTATTCTACACGATAACCACGTTGAAGTAAAAGCGTACACAACCAACGATCTTCTCCTGAAAAGTTAAATTCAATGCGAATATAATACACTGAATTTTGTTACAATCAATTTATTGCAATCAATTAAATAAATATGAATTATTCAGAACGAATATTCAATTCTTACCTTGATCGTATTGTACGTAATGTCGGGCTTCATCTGATCGTAAAGTATACTTTTTCATTACGTTATCATCCATCAAAGCCTTTCCTCTGAAGAGAGAGAAACAACCAGGACTACAAAGCACGCATCCGATCATATGTTCCGTCGCCTTTTGCAGCCAATGCCCAATAGCATATTCAAACATTTGATACCACACCATGGGACCTGAAAATCATGCATCACGTTCTGAAATTCTAAGTCAGTGCAGAACGAGGGCAGACGATGTATTAAGGTGGTATGATAATCCATAAATTATTCTACAAAATGCGTACCAGAGCCAACAGGATGAATACGTCCACAAGCAGCACCTAAATTCTTGTTTTTCTTCATCAAATCAATAAGGAGTCTTACAGCGTGCGGTTGGAAATCAATATCTCCATCAAGCGTTAGTAGGTATGTGTTCTCAGCCATCACTTCTTTTCTATCCACAGAGATTGGAAGTTCCATTAAACGGTGACCCAATAAATAGTACATGTACATCACCTAAAACAATATATTATCTATTACTTTTAATTTACATTCATTCCAGAATGTGCCATGGAAAATATATTCAATTTATGTTCTACCTGAGACCATCGTTTTCTGTGACGAATCTTCGCTTTATCTTTCAGATGACAAATCATTTTGGTTTTTCCTGGTAAAACCCAAGTTAATCGTCCTCCATATGGCGCAGGGTATTTCTTCGGGGGGCGAATGCGAATGATGGTCTGATGTACTTCAGAGGCAGCTTCGTCAATAGTGTCAACTAGAAGTTTAACGAAGCGATTCACTTGTGAATCGTCGTCACTATGATCTGATATTTCAAAAGCATCGTCCAAAAATATATGTGCTGAAAAAAAAAATATATTTACTATAAAGTTACATGCTTTAAAAATACATTCCATTTGTTGAGTATAGAATTACTTTCGAATTCGTAATAATCAGGGTCTACAACACGGAGATATTTTTGAGCAACACGGCGAGCACATTGATCTTCATCCAGTCGAAGAATAGACTTCAAGAATTCCATCATCTCGTCTTTAGTTTCATGCCACATAGTAGCGCATGCATATATTCTGGTAATTTGATCCGATGATTTTACAGTTTTAGGAGAAGAACCAGTATTATCCGTGTGAACTGATATAGTCTCATAGTATTCATCTCCTTTCTCTTTTTCAATTTCCGCAAGATCCTGTAAATAAAAAAAGCATTGTTATATTAAAATGATGAAGTTGGTAGCTTAGACGTCCTATTTTTATTTTGACATCTATCTGTAATATAGTATATCAAAGAATCGAAATTTTGCTAGGGTTGATATATATGGTTTAATGGTTTTATTTAGATAGACATTCAAACATAACAGTTCGATAAGATTTTAAAATCTAGACGTTTATATAGTGTTAGTATACCTCGGTTTTGACATCTTTATGATCATCGCGTTTTCTGTTTAGCGCCATGCTTTGATCTACAAGTAATCCATTGTACATAGGTAATACGAATAATTTTTCAGTAGACGCCAGACGTTCAGCTTTCGGGGTCCATATGTGTATTGTAATCCAAGTCTGCGATAACAACCAGAGGAGCCAAATCCAAGCCATTTGTCGAGAAATAAAGTCACTAAGCGTGAAGACTAAAAATAAATAAAATACACTGCACTGTAGTCCCATTTTATAACACTATTTTAGTAATATTACAGACAAGATAGTACTAATACAAAAGTTACTGTTATTAGTAACAATATCACATATTTTTACTAATAATAGTAACTTTTATATTGAAATATTTTAAATATTAACTTAATATAATGTCAGCTATATTACCTGGAGGACTTTCGAAGAAGAGATAATCTGGCACAGTTCCATGGAAGAAACAGTTATCACCGTTCCTAATACCACATGCTGCGATTAAAAAGTTTACCACCAATGGAATGACTAAGTTAATAGGAAACGCATAACTAAATCCTTGAATTAAAATCTTGCAAGCAAATTTCCCAAAAATATAACAGAAGTAAGCTGCAAATACTTGAATAAGTAACACATAAAACGCTGATTTATGTGTTGCTGCAATTTCAACAGAATCTCCTGTTAAGGTGACATTTGCCAGATCCGGTATCACAGTGCCCCCAAGTTGAACTTGAACCTAAAATATATAAAATTTATAGATTATACAGTATTACACTATTGTATGTGTATTAAACAAAAAACAAATGATTTGGTATACCTCTTCAACAACAATGTTATGTGGTCCAAATCCTGTGTTAAATAGTTGGAAGAACATCGCAGGTTCGTCGCCGTCTAACCAAATGGTGAATAAAATACAAACAAGGAACAACATTATTTTCCACACAGACATGAATCTGTAGATAAAATATCGTGATAAATTTAGATCATCCTTTAATCTACCTAAACTTTTGATAATACCTGGAAAAATATAAAATATTAGTACTTTATACATAAACGGATATATATGTAGGTATACATATATTTTTAGAAGTTATAGTAGCTTACCGATTGGGCTTTGACGTGTTACATAGTTCTCCCACCAGCCCAGGGAAATACATAATGAAGCCACAGGTATCAACCATAACACGGGCTTATTTTCTGATAGGGGCCACACAATGAAACCTGTAACTTGCGCCACTATTGCTGCTATATCTACTATTACTTTTACAAAACGTTTTGAATCCCTTGAATTACGCGAGAGAAGTCCCAGAATAGCAGGAACTATGCAAAGACAATTTGTTAACATAGCACCTTTTACAACATCCATTTCAGGAAGAATTTTGAAGAATAATATTGCCATTCCTATAGTGTGAAGAGATTCTGCTATGAATACCTGTAACGTTTAAAAAATATTGTAGCTACAATATAAAATCTCTATACATATAATTTATTATATATATTTATATATATATATATATATATATATATATATATAAACACCTCTTTGGGCACTTTGTTGATCACGCCACAACCTAAACACTTGCTGATTCCACCTTTTGCACTGAATAACTTGACTCCTATCGCGTATATCTCAGGCGGTATGGCAACGTCGCATTCTATTTTGCGATGTGGCCATATATATTCGTCGATAGTACGATATACTCGACACATTTTTTACTAATAATTCGTGCATGACTGGCTCCGAACGGCTAAATTTTTGGTATACACAAAGACTTTTTGGCTCTGAATATATTTCAAAAATCAATTAATTATGTTGATCACTTTATATACTCGTCCTTACTGCGATACTTATTTTCATCCGAATATATATAGATACCGTAACGGTCTATCAATTATGAATTTATTCATTTACTAATCTAGATATTTTATATTCGCAATGCTCCATACATAGTAACTCCACCGTTGCAGGGGGAGCACCGTACACCGCACCCCGCGCACACAAACAAATTAGATATTTTTTGAATACACAAAGACTTTTTGGCTCTGTATATATATTTCAAAAATCAATTAATTGTGTTGATCACTTTATATACTGGTCCTTACTGCGATACTTATTTTAATCCGAATATATATAGATACCGTAACGGTCTATGAATTATGAATTTATTAATTTACTAATCTAGATATTTTATATTCGCAATGCTCCATACATGCAAGCTCCAGCAACGGTGGAGACAGGGTCCCCCCTGCACCGTACACCGCACCCCGCGCACACAAACAAATTAGAATAAATTAAATTCATTAGATTATTTATATATTTCGACTGCCTCGGTGGTCACACCGCTTTACATCCGATGGTCGCGGGTTCGATTTCTCGCACGGTGCAAACAATTGTACTCATCGGTCATCGATTGTTTTCATCGGTCTGGGTGTTTTATATGTATATTATATATGTATTTACAAAATAAAAATATCTATTTATATCAGTTCAGTATCAGTCTGTGTTAATTGTCCAGGGCTATTTATTATATTTTTTATAAACAGTTATCTTTTTCCATCGCACCGCTCGCTATCGACAGTGAATTCATAGAAATGTCACTCTAAAAACAAAAATAGTTTTGTGTTTTGTATTTCAAATACTAAATGCAAAATAGGTATTTTCAAAATACTTTTTCAAAATAAAGTACCTTTTGAATTTTTGTCCAAACCTCAGATATTTTAGGTATATCAATCATTACATAGTGTAGTATAAAACAAAGTCGCTGTCGCATCTAACAGTACATAAATAAAGAAAGAAGACTTTTTGGCTCTGATACCGTAACGGTCTATCAATTATGAACTAAATAGTTGAATAAAACTGAATAAGCAGTTGCTCCACTCTATAGGTACTGTGTCGTCGTCGTATGCTGTTCATTTTTTCACTCGTTTTGGCGCCAAGAGAGGGTCACATAGTCGTGGTCAAGTTAAGAACTTATAATTTAATTTTGATAACAATAGATACAAGTAAAAAGTAGGTATTATATTAATGTACGTAAGTACTGTACTTAAAAATATTTATTCTTTATTGTACATTTGAAAAACTTAACACTTAAGGACTTGTACATATACACGTACATACTGCCATTTTCTCTTAAAGACATCCAGAGAAGCACTATTTATCAAATACGCGGGGTGCACCGACCTTTGACCTTATAACAGCTGATTCGCGCGTAACGAATTACATTGCTATTTTTTGGTATTTTATAGTGGATATTTCACTATAAAATATTATTATTTCTTTAGATTATGACGTAATAACATAGTTTACATGATTTTAAGGGAAACATACGATAAAAAAAATTCCCGTAAAATGTAAAAGATAAAAAATGGTTATTGTTGGTTATCCTTAAGAGATAGACATATACCATCACGGACTTTTTTGTTGACCTTATATTGATACATCTCAAAGCACTAGACAATACGCATTTTCATTAAACAGTAGTGTATTTTTATTTATTTATTTAACTTTAATGCACAAAAAAATTTGTACATGTGGTGGACGTAATATCTTGCCGCGTTAATTACCAGGCAACTATGAGTGGTGCAGAAAAAGATTATTGGCGGTGCACTAATATAAATAAGAAATGTCAAAAAAAGATATATAAATACAAAGCAAAATATAAATTTTTATAAAAAAATAACAATATACATACATAAATATATATGTAAATATAACCCATAAATGTATAAATATTCTATATAAATAAATACATAATGATCCGATAATCAAATTATAAGTACAGTCTCAAATTGAAAGTAAGAAAAACAGAAAATATAGACAGAACTATAGGGATATATCAGAAAGATGTGAAAAAAGGAGAAGGACAGTAAAAAAGTTAGAAATTTAAATAATGTTCCCGCAATTTCTGTTTAAATGAATTTATTACATTATTATATATATTAGGCATACGACTAGCCTTGTGACTGTTACTTTTTTTTTAATCTATACATCTATACATGTAAATAAAATTGGAGTGTCTGTTTGTAATATTGAAATAACCGTTTTTTACTACTTGCATATGAATATAAATACGGTACATACACCAAAATAACATATTTTACAAGTTTTGTCTGTCTGTCTGTCTGTTTGTTCCGGCTAATCTCTGAAATAGCTGGACCGATTTTGACGGGACTTTTTTTGCCAAGTAGCTGATGTAATAAGGAGTAACTTACGCTACTATTATTTTAGAAAAATAAAATAAAATTTCACGCGGACGAAGTCGCTGGGGCCAACTAGTCTATAGATATACCGAGATTTAATGTTTAAGTTGCTATTATGTTGTTGACAAAATTTTACTGTAATGTTACTATTACGTTATCCTACACAATTTGTATTATTTTGGATGAATAAATAAATAAATAAATAATAATCTATACATATAAATAAAATTGGAGTGTCTGTTTGTAATATTGAAATAACCGTTTTTTACTACATGCATATGAATATAAATACGGTACATACACCAAAATAACATATTTTACAATTTTTGTCTGTCTGTCTGTCGGTCTGTTTGTTCCGGCTAATCTCTGAAATGGCTGGACCGATTTTGACGGTACTTTTTTTGGCAGGTAGCTGATTTATAAGGAGTAACTTAGGCTACTTTTATTTTAGAAAAATAAAGTTAAATTCCACGCGGACGAAGTCGCGGGAACAGCTTGTTTTTAATAAAAACGGTTTATTTGATAGAAAAAACATCTTTTTTGTGGTACTTGAGAATGTTGAAGCCTGTTGTTTGTAATATTGAAATAACCGTTGTTTACTACTTGCATATGAATATAAATACGGTACATACACCAAAATAACATATTTTACAATTTTTGTCTGTCTGTCTGTTTGTTCCGGCTAATCTCTGAAATGGCTGGACCGATTTTGACGGGACTTTTTTTGGCAGGTAGCTGATGTAACAAGGAGTAACTTAGGCTACTTTTATTTTAGAAAAATAAAGTTAAAAACCATGTGGACGAAGTCGCGGGAACAGCTAGTGTATAATATATTAGAGATACCTACGTGTTTTTTTATTGATGATTAGCTGTACACGGGATTTCGTCCGTGTGGAATTTCACTTTATTTTTCTAAAATATAAGAAGTTAAATTCCACGCGGACGAAGTCGCGTGTACAGCTAGTTGTCGGTAGTCTAGCGATTTATCTAGCACACCGCTTTGATTCCTGCTTGGTGGTCGAGGGTTCGATTCCTCGCACGCTGCAAACATTTGTATTCATGAGTATGATTGTTTGTAACGGTCTGGGTGTTTTCTATGTATAGATAATATATATGTATTTACGAAAAAAAATCTTTGTATTTATATCAGTTGTCTAGTACCCATAACATAATCTTCAGCTAGCTTAACTTGGGTCTAGATGAAGCTGTGTGAATTGTCCTGAGATTACTATTATTACTATAATAAATCTTTTCAAATCAGCCGATGTTTATTTTTGCCATAATACGTGCTGTTACCATGTGATAATATTACGTACGTACTTATTACTGTTTTAAATGTGATGCGTTCATTATTTATATTTCCTTTGAATTAAAGACAAATGTATATATATATATATATATATATACACTTGCTCACTTAGTTGATCCAGCCACGATCCGTAGATATTGCTGATTCCACTATCTCTCTCTTTCTACCACTATAATGGTAGCGTGGCGGAACGGCAACATGTTGCCGTTCCGCGTTCTACCACTATCTTTGTATTCTAATATGCGATGTTGCCGTTCCGACCGAGACCATGCGTTGTTGCCAAATGTATCGTCGATAGTAGTAGATACCTATACTCGATATATATTTTTTCAACAATTTCCTGCATTCGTCCGTTCATCCGTATCGGCAAATTTTTTTAAATGCACAAAGATTTTTTGGCTCTGAATATATTTAAAAATCATTTACTTGTGTGTTGATGAATTTATATACTAGTACATGAAGTACCTAATACTTGTTTTGATTTGAATAGGTAGCGATATTATGAATTTATTATACGTAATCTAAAAATTTTGACGAAATAAAAGTAATTAGTTATCTGTTAACCTTGACTTCATGCTGGCACCAGTATTATCAGATGATGAACATACTCTTCGAAAACTTACAGCAGAAATATCGTGTTTGGACTCATTAGATAGGTCTCGATGAATAGAGTTTAAAAAACTTAAAATAAATGGTAAATTAGAAATAACGTATAAAAACACTCTACGTAAAATTCAACCACTTTAAAACTTAATAATAATAATTAGGAAAAGAGCAAAGCTATAAATGCACTGAAAGTAATTGATGCCTTCCACACAATATTTTCAGTATTAAACAACTCTGTTTGTTCAGTAAAAGTGTAAATACACTGGTAACCTTTAATCCTATTTTATATGCAAACATTACATATGCAAACCCTAAAGTTTTATTTCAGAATGGCCAGTAGTTTTGAAGAAATAAGTCTCTGAAATTGTACGTGTAACTTATGTATATACTAGTTTTTTCACCATAACAAGCAACACCAATATGGCCTAGTTAGTAGTGTACCTGTGTACCAATACCACATTACCACACAGACACTCCGAGTTCGAATTTCTTTCCGTACGTTTACTTTTATTATTTATCTTTTTGTTTTTTTTTAATTTAATATTTTAATAATCAATTTAATTTATACGACTATTAATTTATAATAAAAACGTAGTTAAGCATTAAATTAATTTTACTAGTTAGAAATGTACCTGTGTACCAACTTACCACACAGCCATCCCGGGTTCGATTCCTACCATTGGCTTTTTTTTGTTTTTTTTTTAAAGTAATATTTAAAATTAACTATTTTAATAATTAAATGAATTTAATTGATAAAAACGTCGTTAAGTATTAAATTAATTTTAAGTGATATTAACTATTATATTATGCATAAAAAATATTTTATAAAGAAAATACATTTAAAATGTTTTACTTGTTGTGTTAATTATTTATAAGATCTTACTATAATTGTAAGCTGCTTTACAATTTAGAAAGTATAATAGGTAATGTAAATTAATATTAATTTAATACTTAACAACGTTTTGTTCGATTAAATTCATTTCATTATTAAAATAGTTAATTTAAAATATAAAATAAAGACAAAACAAAAAAAAATAACAAAAAAAAAATCGGTGGCGGGAATCGAACCTTGAGCGTCCGTTTGGTAAGTTGATTTGAAATTCAAAGGCTTATTTCTTCGAAATTACTGGTCATTTTGAAATAATACTTAGGGTTCGCATACCCTTATCGGATACTACTACTACACGGAGTCTCGTCAAAATAAAATATCTAGGTTAGGTATAATAAATTCATAATTAATAGACCGTTACGGTATCTGTATACATTCGGATCAAAACAAGTACTATGAAATAAGAACGAGTATATAAATTGATTAACACAAGTAATTGATTTTTGAAATATATTCAGAGCCAAAAAGTCTTCTTTCTTTATTTATGTACTTGTTAGATGCGACAGCGACTTTGTTTTATACTATACTATGTAATGATTGATATACCTAAAATAAATAAAATATGTGAGGTTTGGACAAAAACTCAAAAGGTAATTTATTCTGTAAAAGTATTTTGAAAATACTTATTTTGCTTTTAGTGTTATAGTACTTTAAGTGTTATATTTTAAGTAACAATGTTTAATTATAATTAATACTACTGCACCAACACTCCGATCGTGCAAAAAATTTTGCTGTTTCATTATTTTTTAGTTCAATTAGTGGTCTACCTAAGTCCTGGGCTAAGCGGGGGGAGAGTAATGACCCCCCATGACTCCCAAGACCTCCATGACGCTCCCCCCTAGATCCGCTGTTGCGTCTTCTCTTCATTCGCTCAGTACGTTGTTACAAAAGGAAAAATTCCCGTCCAAAAAATAACAAGTATTGAGTTTTGATCTGGAGTCACGTTACTCCAGACTGATTTCTATAAATATTTAGATTAGATAGACTATTATTATTGAAATACTAGCTAGACATTATTAAGTTACTGTAGCCATAATGTAGTAGCCCAAACGTGCCAATGAGGAAGCCCTTGGCAAATGCTGCACCCTGATTGGCCCGTTTGAATTGGATCAAGAAGTGGTCGTATGCCAAAAAGGTGGATTTGTATAAAATCGTGTATAAATCGCTTAATTATTATTATTACTCGTCGTGACAGTTGTGGCTCAAAACGGATCAACATTTATATATGGTCAGCTGGCATTAGATCAACAAAAGGCCTCCGGATCAACAAGTGAAAATGGATCAACAAAAAACTACCTATACGGCACGTCTGAGCCACAAAGTGCCCAAGGGGATATTTATATATATATATATATATGTATATATACTTATATATTAGAAAATAAAATGGTATGAATAGTACATGTATTATAATTGAGTCCATTACTATTACATAATTTATTTTAGACATTTTAACAAGCAAATCTAAATGACTATATACTGCCACCATTGATATGATCATATAATCTTGTTTTTCTATGTAACCTTTGATACGATATATATATATATATATATATTTAAATAAAATATAAGCATTCACTTACTACAATAAACTGTGCGCTTGTAGCACGTTTGGAAGATTTGAAGAAGCAAATTCTCACAGATCGTATCAGCGTACCTATTTCAGGTATAGCATATGCTGCAAGTATTGCCCACATCCAAGCCACTCGTTCTTCATCTGGCAGGCTTACTAAAAATTGTTTATCTCTACCTGAAATTTCAAACGAAAAAAAATCGTAAACTTGTTACTTCAAATTGTCATATGGAACAAAACTATTTTAAAACGACTATTGTTTTGTCAGTGTCTTGTTCGAATAATCGCTGGGTCACTTGGTTTAATAAAGTGTCTGAACCGGACCATTCATTATTGTATGAATAACATTGTATATATACAAATCACAAACAACACTATTTAGTAGTTTTCATACAAATTTTTCATATTTAATACCTACTAACAGTATTAAAATTTATTTTATAAAATATTACTCACCTAAATTCTTATTACAAAAAGTTATTCGCCTATCTTTTTTTAGCTGCGAGGTCATAAAGAGGACGGTCCCTTTGGCAATGACTCCGGAACCCAACACTACAATGAAGGTGACCAGATACGCCATCACTTTGAGCATCCGCACCGTGAACTCCAGGCATTTTTGACTTTCCATCGACCCACTGTCCTGCTTCGGCGGGAACTCTCTGAACACGTCCCATCCTTTTGTTTCGTGTACTGTTCTTTGGCTGTAATTTAAAAATAATAGTTTTATAAATTATATGGTTTTTCATTTTTTGGACTGCTCTAACTTAACATTCATTTGGTCACTTCAAGAACAGACTCTTATTGAAAATTAAATAAACCAACCACAAATAATTCTAGCCGTGTTCAAATATTGAATAATAATTACTACACATAATACATTACGGAGAGAACTACGCAATTGCACAGGTAATTTTGTTGTTTTATGAAAATATTAAATGTTGTAATAGAATCACATTATTTTGTTACATATCCATAAATAGACGTGTACCTAATTACGTCTAAACTACTAAATCATAACATAGATAACCACCTACCTGTCTTTAATAACGTACGTAAGTGAAAAATATCATTGAAGAGAAATCTCACGCAACGCTGCGCTATCGCATGCATTGGGTATTAATTTCCTTCCGATGTACTCGTAAGTATTACATAGATAGATACTTGTTACCTGAATATACTTTGATATTAACATCTAACGAGCCGTTTATACAATGAATTGTTACTTTATTAATAGAAGTATGTGAGCAACCGAACATAGATCGACGTGTTGTTTTATTTAAAACTGCTTTTTTCTGATTGGTATTTTCGTTTCAGTAGTATTTTGAAAACGAAACTAAAAACCATTATTAGATTTTGAAACAATTCGCGCACTGGTTTGCGCAGTGTGTACTCGTTATGACAGTGTCGTTTACGTAAGGTACGGTGTATACAACGGCGGTAACCCAATTAAACATTGCGACCACATAGTTGCATCGCGTGCTCACTGTGCCTTGCCGTTTGACCAAGAATTTCACGCGTGGAAAGTGGAAGACTTATTGATATATTTACTAGGTACTGTTTTTATTTATCAATTACATATGCATACCATTATATGAATATTAATTACCGCAATTCACTAATAATGTTCTAGGAGACATAAGAGTTCTTATAAAACACATGTTACTTTACATTCATTATATTCCCAATAATACCCAGACAAACTAAAAAATTGGAATAGGTAAGGTTTTTCTAACGGTGAACAAATAAATATTGCTATTTAATACAATAATTAAGACCCCGTGAGGGAGGTGTAGAAGGTAGTGTGTAAAGGGTCTGGGTGCGGTGCAGCCAACGATAGTAATTGAAAGACGCAACTAAGAAAAGAGAAGTATACCTATATGTATTAGAAAAAAAAAAACAATGATTCGGTCAGTATACGACTATAATAATCTGAGTATAATAAATGTAACAATCCTATATGGTATCAAGATAAATATAATAAAAATATAAATAAGTATTCAATGTGATGTGCCACCCAGTGGCTCTAGTCCTTGAAATCCTCCAAAGGCAAAATACCGGTATATATGATAAAAAAGAATGCAACAAAATTAAATATTGCTATCCATAAACATAGAATTTAAATATAGATGTTGCTACGTCTTTCTTGTATTTTATATAAAGGACATTTCTTATGTTACCTGTAAATACTGCAATAATGTAATGTTCCATTGCTGTAAAGAGAGTTATTATTCGCACCATAATCCTCCGATTCCTTTTCGTGGTAACTTTTACGGTCGTATTCACTCATTTTCTACCATCACTTCAAATATACGAACACTGTCACGACGTATTCATCACTGACAGAACCGGAAAGGGCATAGAAAGTGTCTTGGTCGTATGAATATTATTCAATAACTCATCGTGCCGATATGAGGACATCAAACGGTGCGCTCGCAATAACGACTGCTGTCGGCCGATACGCGGACCGATATCGAACCGACATCGGACAGTGATCCTCCATTGTCTAATAGTGGACAAAAACTGAATATTAATTTATAATATTCAATACCCAACCACTGGACAACTATAAAACACAGTTACATCAGATGAGCCTTACGCTTCTTTGTCACTATTTGTGGTGAAAATAGTGGCAAAAAAGCATAGCATGAGCCTTAGCTCATCTAATGTTAAATGGTTTAGTTTAGTTTAGCCTATAGAACACTAAAATGTGCTCATTGCCGATCTTAACCTTGTTATACCTATTTTGGAAAATACCATGCTGTCTCTAGAAAAGTAACAATTTTATGGGATTACTCCCATAATATTATGATCCCTGAAATATACGATTTCTTCTAGACAGATAAAATAAATATCTTAGTAACAACAATTTGATTATCGATCTTATTTCACATACATATAATCGTATTATAAAGTACTTTTTTAAAATCTTAAATAAAAATATTAAGCTGTTTAAATTAACAAATTTTATTCAGGAAACTACAATTTATTTTATACAAAATTCATATTACTTTAGGTGATATAATTTTTGTCCAGATTGGTTTTAGAGTTATCAGTGTGTGTCAAATCGGTTCTGCCGCAGTAGACACGTGAAATCATATTGTCGGGACGGTAATTGGTATTATGATCGCTTACTAACTTCTGAAATGAAAGTAACTTTCAAGTGTGAAGAGTTATAAATTACATTATAAGTAAGATTCGTGATATAACTAAAAATATAATTGTAGTACACATGAACCACTTATCTATACATATAAATATAATATTAAAAGTATTATTAAAGTGTAACAAGATTTTATTCGACTCAAATAAATGTATATGAAACTTACAAAATGATATTCCTACTTAGATATTCTGTACTAAGCTGATACATAAAATGTAAATGTTCAGTTACTGATTTCCAAATTCTGTGATAAATATTTGTTTTTATTTGAAGATACAAAGTCAACTAATCAAATTTGAACTAAACTAGAACTGAGATACATTAATTTATGAAACGTAAATTCTAACTGCTTGAAATAATACATTACATGTTGAATACCTATTGTGCTATACCTACTTCGAGCTTTCGTCCAACTTTCGAGCGAATCTTCGATTTGGCAATTTCAATAGAATGATAGACCTTACAGTCTCTAGGCCGTCTAGGCGTTTGGATAGCTTACCTACAATACGGTGCTAACAATAGATCACTCAATGTCGACTCTACTCACGACATGTTACGAAAGCCTTTGCATGTTACGGGTATTAAGTATGCTGTAAATATTATTAGGTAAGTACATTCCTTTCGTGTACCGTAATAGAAGGCGTCGATGGGAAGTAATGTATATACAGATATTATATTTTTTATGGAGTTTATGATGTTTAAGGAAATAATTGAATGGTGCTTTTACGCGGAATCATGTCCTGATGGTATATGCTGCCGTGGTTATATATAATATGGATTTCAATTAAGTTTTATACCGGTCTGTTGAAACGTAGTCAAGAGTAAACCAAATAAATCACTTTAAAATATTCTAGTTTAATTCAATCATTTAGAAATTACAAAATAATGAACTAATGAGTTGCTTTGCTAGTATAAAATTTAAAATATGACAATAGATAAACGTCATAGATATTCCAATGTCAAGCGGTTACAATTAGCTACACAAGCTTACTAGTTTTTGTGTATTCTAGGATAAATCAGAAAAATATTTTTGTACACTTCACCATAAGACAAATTTCTGTTTGTTATATTCGGAAATATTTGTCCTTAATCATCAAATGCTCAATACTAACAAAAGCGAGCAATGAGTTTTACTATAAGTACCTATGTTAAAATATACTTCCACCAATGTAGGTATATATTATCCAGAACAGGGATGTCACATTATTATTTAATATTATTACTATTATTGTAATCATAATAGAAATTGAGACGAATATGATTACTGTAACTCCAAAGGCTTATTATAGACCTATTATATATTTGAAACATAGGTAATTTCTAATAGGTAGGTATATGTTAGGTCAATGTCACTCAATGTATAACATATTTGTTACTTAAAGCTGACTGTATTTATATCAAAACTATAGTACAGTGCGATATTTTACTCCTGTCTTGTCAACGTGCTGTAAAAATACTTCCAAACGATGCTAACCAATACAGTCTCATTCGCATTCCGTTCACGTATGATCGTCCGCACGAACAAAATATTTACTACCGAAGCGTTTGGTACCGTTCTATTTAAATTTTCTACTCCTTTAGATGTCGTTTTCGGTGTATACACCGATATAATTATCTACCACTTCATCTGACAATTATATGTAGGTATATTATATATTACCTTCTTATAGACCTTCTAAATAAATTGGATCGTCTTCTTAATAATTCTATCCGCTTCATTTTTAATTTACGTAAGTTCGATCATATCTCATCTTTTCGTTCACAGCTTAAATGGCTGCCTATCCGTTATCGTAGAAATGTCCGTATTTTATGCACTCTCTATTCTATTCTGTACGATCCAAACTATCCTGAATACATTAGCAGCAAATTTCATTTCCATGGGGACAACACCAATCGCTCTGTTCGCACTACTAGAAAATTATTACTTCATATCCCGGCTCATTTGTCTGGTTTCGTCCATTATTCTTTCGCCATTCAGGCAATCAAACTTTGGAACGACTTACCCCTTCATATCAAAACCGCCACGAGTAGATTTTCTTTCAAACGTAAATTACGGGAACATTATTTAAACTTGTAACCTTTTCTGTGTCCTGTTTTCTCATTGTGCTTTTTATTTTTAGGTATAAATATATATATACCTTTAATTCCATTATTTGTGGCAGTACATGATATTTCATTGTCAGATTATTTATTAATTATGTATTTATGTACGGTTTATGTAAGTATATATATATGTAGTTATTTATTCATGTATATTTTTATGTGTATCGTTTTACATATTTTTTTTTTAATTTGCACCGCCAACAATCATTCTCTGCACCACCCATGGTTGACTGGTAGATAATGCCGCATGGTGTTAAGTCCGCCATATGTACTTTCAATTATGTACATTAAAGTTTTTAATAAATAAATAAATATTATAATAATACTAATGTGCATCTAATTTCTATAAATATTTGGGTACAAACTGAACTATCTTAACGAGAATAATTCTACTTCATACTGATCATACAGATTAGGTACTTCTACAACGGCATGATGTCAAAATATAGTCGAATCAATGACTATCGAAGTTATTATTTGTATCCAAGTAGACAAAAGAAGTGGGGCGTAAAAATGTGGCGCAGTCGATACTCGATTGATCGAAAGTTGTGTCCTCAGAGTTGACAACCTTGGCATTTGAGCGGGTTCCGGACTCAAGTAGCGGTGACCGATCGGCAAACGTGAGTCAACTTCAGCTAAACAAAATAACTTCTGCACGGTTATTATACTTAGTTCAGTTGTTCCCCCTAACTCTTACTCTTTTCTACTGTCTCAAAAATCTAAAATCCACTGTACTTTTTTGCATTAATGTGATTTATATCAATTGATGTCGATTCGCCTATTGTTTTGGAGTTGCCATAAGTTACTGTCTAGTTGTACCTACTTACAATTGGAGGAAAAAACACCAAAATTTTTATTACTTTCTGTCAATGGACATGTTTGCCTAAATGAACTTTGAAAATTGTTGGTAAAGGTCGTTAAATTAAAATCAACAAATTTAATAATGTTATTTATTTATTTATTTATTTATTTATTTATTTATTTATTCTTTTGCACACAAAAATGTATACATGGCGGACTTAATGCCTTATGGCATTCTCTACCAGTCAACCGTCGCGTTGATCAGAGATAATAAGGCGGTGCACTTCAATAATTAATTGAAAAAAAAAAAAGAAAAACAAAAATTATAACAAATAGATACAGAAAAATAGTACATATATATACAGATGCAAATATATAAAAATATTAGTATTTTTATATAAAATATATACCAATATAAAATATATAAGTTTATGGATTACATATAAATAAAATATAAATTTAAACTACATATAATAAATATTCATATAATCTCATGGAGTTTATATAATAACATATCTTGAATACTATTAAATAAATTTGGAATAATGTTCACGCAAGGACCTCTTCAAGGTAAATTTGGTTTGACATCTTCTAAGGCCAACAGGAAGTGCATTCCAAAGGTTAATGGCAGAAATAGTGAAAGATTGAGATGAGAAATTAGAGCGATGAGAAGGAGTATAAAGCAGGAGATTAGATGAAGAGCGAAGATCACGAGAATGTGATGAACTTAGAAATTGAAATCTTTCTTTGAGGTACTGAGGAGCTAGTGGATCGTATAGAACAGAAAAGAGTTGACAGAGAATTCTAACACTCCTGCGCTGGCGAATAGGAAGCCATTTCAGCTCAGCGCGGAAGTGTGAGATATGGTCATATTTACGTAGACCGAATATGAAACGTATGCAATTGTTGAGTAAACGATCCATTTTATTAAGGAGGTCTTGGTTAAGATTTGAATAACACACATCTCCATAATCAATTATAGGTAATACCAAAGACTGCACTAAAAGACGTTTAGTACCAACCGGAAGAAAGTTTTTAAACCTGTATAAGGACCGTAAGGCAGCTACGACTTTTCTACTGACCTCATTCACCTGTCGATTCCAATTAAGGTTGTTGTCCATGTACAGGCCAAGATTTTTAACATGGCTGGTATATGGTATAACTGTGGTGTCAAATACTAATGTCCGTAAGTTGGTACTATCAATCCTATCTAACTGCCGCGAACTACCTAGTAAAATTGCTTGACACTTAGTAGGATTGACCATTAACCCAAATCTATGCGACCACGCACAAATGACCCGGAGATCAGAGTTCAACTTATCGATGGCGTCATTAATGTCGCACACATTACTTTGTGCATAAAGCTGCAGGTCATCAGCATACAAGTGGTAAGGGCATTGAAGAAGGACTGAAATCATGTTAATAAAAATGGAGAACAACAGGGGAGAAAGGATACCCCCTTGGGGCACGCCAGCAGTGAGGTTAGACCAGAGAGATGTGCCTTGATCAGTACGTACCGCCTGCTGGCGACCACAAAGGTAAGAACAGAACCATTTGTTAACTGCTGAGGAAACACCAAGGTGACTCAGGACGGACAGGAGAATCTCATGGTCAACAGTGGTAAAAGCATTAGAAAAATCTATTAAAAGAAGTACAGTTACATGAGAATTCTCCATACCATCCCTAATGTCATCAATAACTTTTATAAGTGCCGAAGTTGTACTGTGTCCAGGTCGAAACCCAGACTGAAAGTTACTGAGAAAATTATTTGAATAAACAAAACTTGAAAGTTGCTTGTGAACAACACCCTCTAAGACTTTCGACAGGAATGGTAAAATGGATATAGGACGTACTTGAGAAGGAGACTTGGGATTCGGAATTTTGGGAAGAGGAAGTACGAATGCTTTACGCCAAATATCGGGAAATTCAGAGGACTGTAAGGAAAAATTTAAAATATGAGTTAGAACAGGAAGGATATTGTGTAGAATAGGAAGGATCATGGCTCTGCTAATTTCATCATAACCAACTGCCTTAGATTTGATAGAAGACACTATCCTTTTTGTCTCCTCAACAGTTATTGGTGTAAAATCAAAAGGGGACAGTGATAGAATAGGCAAGGAAGACAAGTAATGTAATGTGTCAGCTTTAACAGCTGCATCAATGGTGATAGTTGATGAGAAATGAGAGTTTAAAGTATCGAGTGGAAGAGTACAGGAATGGAGACTAATGGTGGGTTTACCGCATCCCAAGGAGTTAAGAAATTTCCATATATCGGCCGAAGAAGACGCGAGGATATTGCTGTGAATGTAACGCCGTTTGGCAGCCCTTACCACTTGGTTGCACCGATTACGAGCAGCCTTAAAGAGGTGCCAGTTTTCCTCACACCGATCCCCTCTATGCCTCCTGAAAGCTCGATCACGTCGGGCCATGGCTAGCCGAACCTCTGGAGTGATCCAAGGGGCAGGAGGCCGCTTTGCTCTCACACGCCGTACCGGAGCATGGGCATCATACAGTTTCAGCAAAGCAGTGTAAAAAATAGAGATTTTATGATTCACTGTTGATGCCGAGAGCAAGTGTGACCAGTCAATCGCCGCAGCATCTTCATTAAGTTTTTCTATGTTTATCTTAGAAAAGTTGCGAAGGAGTAAGATTTGCACCTTCTTTCTCGGAGGATTGATGACTAATGAGGCATAGATGAGATCATGATGTGAGAAACCAGGCGCATTGATCTGACCGTGTTTATTAATGACAGCACCCGGGGTAGTCAGGATTATATCTAACCAGGTGTCGTCCGTATTCGTGTTGTGGTGCGTTGGGTTTAAAGGTAGTATAGTTAGGTTAACAGACTCCACCAGAGATCGAAGTTTGCGTGATTCAGGAGTATCTTTAAGGAGATCAGTATTGATATCACCCATAATGACATGATGAGTGAATTCTGAGGTGACGGTTTCCAAGACAGACTCCAGTTTAGAGAAGTAGTTGATAGTAGGAGGACAATAGACTACGCCAAGAAGAACTTTGATGCCACTAACGTTGACCTCAAGAAAGAGGTACTCAGGAGAAGAGGAGTAAGATGGAGGAGAGGTTTCGAGGACTTTATATTCAATTCCAGAGCGGAGGAAAATCGCCACGCCTCCACCGCCCTTATCGACACGGTCATTCCGAATAAGGATGTATCCAGGGATACTATAGGAACAGGAATTCAAATTGGGTTTAAGGAAAGTTTCAGAAACGAGGATTGCGTGAACATAATCCAAAGAAAACGTATTCAGAAGCTCAGTGTGATGTGATGGGATACTTTGAGCATTTATATGGCATACATTGAAACATTTATTTTGTAGCCGTAATTCAGCATTCAGATCATCGCGGAGCGTGGTGGGTTCATTCTCAGAATCAGTGCAGGAGTAGTATGAAGAGTTTATGTCATGAGAAGAAACAAAAGAATCATCTTCAGACAAAGCCATGAGAATTAATATAATAAGCGTAAATATATAAAAATAAATATATATATATATATAATAATAAATAAATTATGATAAAAGAATATTACAATAACTAATGCAAAGACAGTGCTTTACTACTGAATATTCTGCACAACCTGCCGGTTGACTTTCACACATACTGTTGAAAAGCAGACTAAGATAATAACAGTTAAACTATTTACATTAATGAGAACAAAATAAAATGTAAAACTTTAAAATACAATACTTAAAAGTTATAGGAAAGACATTAAAATAAAAAAGAAGTGAAGAAAACTGGAAAATACAACCATTAATGAAATTTTAAATTAAAACAGTGAACAAAAATAGTTCAATTGACATAGTGACAACAAGCCTATAATTGACATTTGACGTTCACAAAGTTTCTGATTTGATATGACAGTTGACAGCACATTACTGATTATGACATTCGAACAATTTATTAAATGTTTTGATTTGTGGTTAGTTTTAAAATTATTAAATAAATTAAACAAAATAGTGGGTGAATGAAAAATTAGAATAAAAATTACTTGTGGGTTAACATTTGACAAAAATAAAAAGAGTCAACCATCGTAAAATTGTGGTATTAAGGTATCACTGTTGAAAAGGAGTCATTTATAGGAACTATGAATACAAACTTGTTATGTACTACTTAAGACGAACTCCGCGCTTTGCTCTGACTGCTTTATTACTATCGGCCTGGCTCGTCGACACAGGAGTGTCCTTCGAAGCACCCCGAGTAGACGCTGCGCTGCCAAATTCAGCGACCAAGTTTTCCAACTCCTTACTACTGGAAATACGCGAACGATTGCCATTAGGCATTTGCACTGTAATGATCCCATCCATCGTCCATACCTTGCGAATACCGAAATGCTTGCGTGCGGCAATAAATAAAGACTGCCTCCGTCTGGTCAGGAACTCCGCTAAGACATAGCATGACCCTTTGAGCATTGTTTTATTCTTCCATACAGCCGACTTACATGAAACATCACTAAACTTGATAAGAACAGGACGTGTTCGGTTGGCATTAACAGAGCCAAGACGATGACATTCTCGGATATCTGCGGCTTTAATGTCTGTCAGTTTCAAGTTTTTGTGTATAATGTCCAGAGCTGTAGCAGTGACATTTTCTTCTGTATTCTCAGGCACACCATTCAGAAGCAATGATTTTCTACGGTGACGCATTTCAATTGCATCCACAGAATTTGTCAACTCTTCAATTTGCTTTTGAAGGATATTGAATATACCCCACGCTTGCTCTTTAAAGCTTAAGAAGGCTCTGGAGATATCGCTGATGGATCCTTGCTGTGATGAACCTTCTTTAGATGCCTTGAGTTGGACTTCAAATTCTTGCATTCTTTGGAATAAGGTAACCTCAAGTGAGCGTTGAGTCTCTGCAATGTCTTCTAGGTTGGCCATGTTCAACTGTAGTACTGCGTATAATGTGATTCAGTGATCCCAGATGAACAGTTCAAGTGAAATAGTGTAAAAGTTACCAGCAGGTAGGTGCAGTGGTCTAACTTTTCAAGTACACATAGGATAGTGCTGACTCCAACAAATGATATGTATTGAATATAAACTAATAATAATCACTACTAATTTTTGTAATAGAATTAAAATAAATTATAGAAATATATTTAAATTTGGGAGCAATATGTCACTTGATTAAGAACTACCCGCCGAAAAAACTTAATGTTAATGTGATGGTTGAACTAATTTTGCTAGAATGGTATTCATATTGCCATGATTTTTTACAAAATACCCTGTGAGAAAAAATCTTTATAAAGACTGACTCAACAACAATGTGACCCCGACAATTTTCCATTTGTAATTAGTGACATAAATGCCTACATTTTTCTATATAAGTATTGTTTAAATTCCATTAGAACCAACACATCATACAATGTAGCATATTAGTAATATCAATGTTTGGATACTGACGAATTTATAAAAAAAATTATAAGATCTTGTATTAAACAACGGTATCATTATTACGTAAGTCGTTTCTTGATTTATCTATTTATTATACTTAGCTACCAAATATTGCTGTCTGTCCTGAACAATCTTATACGACCTTCGTAACGTAGTTAGGACCTAAATGTTAATATAAAACAAAAATACTTTTTTATAAGTGTACACGATGACCCACTTTTGAAAATATTTGTACTTCATTGCATTTTTTCAAACTTGTTGATTTTTGAAACTTCATGAAATAAACTGATTACCTAAAATAACAATGAAAATTATAAATCTATTATTCTTTCTCGTAAACTAATAGGTATATGCGTTATATGCTGAACAACTACATCCTAGAAATCATAGAAATAGAAATATTCTTTATTCAACTGAATGGTGTGGTAGAATAAAAAAAATATGTCTATTTTTTTTTATTCTACCACTCATTCGGAACGCAGCATTATTAATATAGTTAATAAGCGTGGGTCTTAATAACTTTAATTATATGAATATTTATGAAACTTATGTCATAGTCATTATATTATATAATTAAATACTGTCTAATAAATATATAAATTTTTAAACAATCTGAGCTTTAATATTCAACTTTGTGAAATCCTTTACCTACTAGACATCGTAAGCAATGATCACAGATAATAATGACGTGTCAAGCTCAAAGCTTGACCCAGCCACAACGGTGATGTCATACGTAACAATCCTGACTACATTTTATTACCACAGCAGTCATAGTATATTCATACGTAAATATACTACCTATAGGTACTTATTATAAAAACCACAAAAAGCTCGGAAGTCTGTAGGTATAAGCACGCAAATGTTGCCTATGTAAGAATGTACTTAGATCTAAAGTGTATGTGTATAGTGTTAAGTCTTAGGTGTATCAAATATCACATAAATATTTCTAGTTATTATTATTTAAAACTACATATATTTTCTTTACATTTACGTGGGTACTGCAGGAAACCGCACATAAAGATAGAGTGTTATTATTGTAGATATAAATTATAAGTATGAGCAATCGACGTGAAGATAGGAAAACATTTTCCTGGGTTTTTTGTGGTACCTATTTTCTATATATGTGTTTTCTGTATTAAAATATATAACTTTTCAGTAAAAATATCTCTACGTGTGCTAGACAATATAAGTGTTTTTTCATGCATATTTCGACGGCCGTTTATTCAATGTTATTCCGTTCACTCTACAACGTCAAACGAGAAGTACTGACAAGTAACTCGACTGTTGATCCTTTTCAATCACATTCACATTACGATTTATTGACTGACTTATCAAGGCAATTTTCCATTATTTATAAATGTATTCAAATTGTATTACAAACATTACCTTTGTAATTTTTGTTTACAATCATAATGAAGATTATTCATTATTATTATTATTGAGCGCATTTTCTCAAATTTTCATTATTTCCGAAAATAAAATTGTAGTGAATTCTGAACTGAGATTAATAGAAACGTCGTAGTATATTATAATTTTACACATTTTATATATAACATTAATATTATAAATAGTCCAAAGTTCTAATATCTATGAAGGGTTTTACGAGGAAAATTGAAATAAAAGAATTTTACGTCTTTACAGAACACCTATTATATTTAGACAGCGCTTGTGACATCCTTTTAAAAAAACAAAAAACAAATTAATTTCTTTTTTACACTCTCTTCTAATTTTCACACGCGTGAGAATTATTTACTAATTACTTACTAATTTACTAACTTAACGAGTACCTCGCCTTAACAGAGAGAATTTATGTTTATCAAACTTTATTTTATTTAAGGCTTTTGTACATTTAATTTGTAACAATCTATACAGAGTAGATTAAAAAATTTTTGGTGCTGTTCTAATATCCAATTATTTTTTTCTTATATTCTTATTTATTCGTCTCATTGAGCACTTTTTCTTACCATGGTTTTGTTTTTATATCCGTTCTTTTACTTCTTGTTTTCTTATCGCATTCGTCATATATTTTTCTTATTTGCATCTTCTGTCCTTACCTATTCACATTCCGAAACAGGCTATTTTATATACACTATACAATCCGAGACAAAGTATTTTATATTATTTAACATCAGAAAAACAAGTATAACACCGAACTAATCACAGAAACTAGTATATGTAAACAGAAGTATATGTTTACCAATAAAATTCTCTGATTATAGCGTCCGTAAATCAATGAACTGTGACAAATACGACTAGGGCGTAGATTAAAACCAGTAAAGATTAAAACTTTCTATGCAAATATAGTGTGTATGAACAGCTTAAATAGTAATAATATTACCTGCCACCATAGATCTCGTTTGCAAGTGGTGTAAGCTCATCATCGGAGTTGTCGCTGCCCTCCTCGCGACGCTTCCCTCCCGACGTCGCCATTTTAGACTAGTCTGAAAGTTTTAATATTAAAAAGTTACAAAAATGCTATGATATAATGTTAATAATAAATAAATCTTTTTTTAACGCATGCTTAATTACTGGTACCTAACCAGCAGCCAAAGAATATCAAGACTGTAACGCTTTCATTCTTCTTAATTTCGCATTAATTTCCTCATCCTTCCTCCAAGGAAGTGATACACATGTATAAGTACAGTTAAGAAGGCGTGGAACTCTAAATGTAAAAGGAATAAATAATCCTGCTCGTAAAGAAAGGGCGTATCATTATTTTTACTCTGCAGAACACGTCCAACATGTAATGAGTTTCCCTGTAAATTTTACTACCTTATATGTAGTATGTAGATTACTTATTTATTTTCGGAAAACCAAGGCTATTTACAAACTTAGTTATAAACATAATTAAATCAGAACTGCCAATTACAGGTTTTCACGGATAGAAACGTAACATAAAATAAATTACTGTACTAACACAAGAGGCGTGTATGTGTCATAAGTACTCATAAAATGATAAATCAAAAATTTAAATTTAAATTAAATTATTATTACAAATTAAAATGTAACAGCCAGAATTGTAACAATTTAATCAATTCATACAGTAAAATATTTTAATTTGATGAAATAAGTATGCAGCAAATACCTAATTTCTGTCGTAATTAGAATTTATTTATATAAAGCCTTCCAGCAATAAAAATATTTAAAAAATGTCTAAGTAGGAATACAAATTAATTACTTAAACATAATTTCTTGTCTGTTCTTCTTGTCTTGAAATTACATTTCACACTGATGACTTAGCTATATTCTCGTTACGGGTTAAAAGTACTGAACCTAAATTTAATTGAACCATGTAAGTTATTGCAGATGTTAATTGCTGTTTTGGCATCATAATGATTATTACATTTTTGATACCATAGACTAGTTACATAAGTACTATTAATTAGAATCAATTTTGCACTCATAATAATAATAGCCAACAAATCAGGATTAAATCCATTTCCAATTAACTTAGTTACCATTTTCTATTTTTTAAAAAATACTTTTTTGCTTGTTCTTCAAAGAGTTTTACCATGAATCATGTCTCGCTTGACCACAGCGCACATTCCTCAGGCGAGTCTTCGACCTTGCAGGTCGTTCATCCTTTCAAGATTTATGGAGGAATTTACATGATATATATATAACTAGCTGGCTGCCCCGGCTTCGCTTCCACTGGGAGTATATCCTTTTATATTTATATATAACCTAACTCTTGAATGACGCTATCTATTTGTGAAAACTGGAGTAGTTTATAAGATCTAAGCGAAAAGACGGTGGAAGCGACTTTATTTCATACTATGTGAAGATTTTTAATATCTATGTTCTATCGTTAATATTAAGTTTTCAATTACTTAAGTTTATCTTCCGTTAATTACCGATTACATAAAAAAAGAGATAAAATTATTTAAAACTTAAACATTTTTTGTTAATTTATGTCGTAGTATGATCATTGTTAACAATAACCTTGAATAAGGTTTTGATAGTGTGCACAACATTGAATTTGTATTTTCTAAGAATATATTATCCATATTTAACAATAAAGTCTAAATGAAGCTGACTGCATCTTAGGTTTTGTGTCCATTAAATAAATTTGTAGTTGGTTTACTTTATAGTCTGTTACATTTATAAGCGTAAGTATACAGCCTACACACGTCTGGCTAAGTAGATGCAACGACCTCATGCATAGGGTAATATGTATCAAATGATGCTGGTAACAATAGGTATACTTGAATATCTTGTTCTTGTAAGTTCAGGCTATGTTCGCGTCGACGCCCTCAAGGTCAGCGACTTCCGGACCAACCGCTAGCCTGGACAATGGTTTGCCCTCGGAGTCAACATATACACTCCCAATTCATAGATAAGTGACTTTATTTCACTTTTATACCATGTTTTAATAATTTATCTATTCCTCTGTAAATACTGCATTCAAATATTAAGTACCTATCTACTAATATAAATAGAGAGAGTGAATTTTTTATGAGAAATGTTAGCTTCGGAACCACTGAACGAATTTGAGAAATTGTTTTATTCTTTGAAAGATTGTTACAGAATAACATATTATTTATATATATATAATATATGGGTGAGTATTTTGTTAAAAGTGAAGTTAAGTATTAACTAATTCTTAGAAAGTCAATGTCTTATGGTAAATATACAGATAATTGTGCCTTTTCAACGAATTTTAAGAAGAATATTCTATATTGAAGTTTATTATGATGTCTTTACTAATAAATTAACTAATATTTCATCGACATGATTTACGTACAGTAGAAGATAATGTTTAATTGTTAATTTTTTTTAGTTATATAACTAATTCTTTTTACATTTTGTTTAATACCTATCGCTCTAGCAACGAAAAGAAATTAGGTAAATGAGTTTTTCTCGAACTTGTACCTATAATAACATTTTGTTTTGCATACAAAGGAAACAGACATAGAGACAAAGAACACGTCACTATTCTAACTAGATATTGTATAATATTACACACTATCGTATTACTCAAGTTTGCTAAGGTTAATTAAGCACATTATACAATTGTTGTCCTACAGTTGAATCAGATTCTTCTCAAATTTAATGACTGATTGTATAAACCTATATAGCATACTTTGTGAGGCACCAAAACCAACAAGACATGGCGACTCGTAGTAGAATTGACGAGGGCCACAGACCTCACTTTCACTAGTGGTGGCCGCCAGCCGCCAGCTGGCTACCTCGCCCCTTCTTCATACCCCTCATTCCCCTCTACTGCACTGCGCAATACTGCATTACATTTTTCATTCAATCACAGTGCAATCGAAACCTTTTTACAATGCTGTTATAGTTTCAAATAAAAAAAATATTATATCAACAAAGCTTCATTATAATTATAAAGTTAAATGTTCAAGATATAGGTACTCGTATCTTCTAGTTATATGGAATTACAACAGCGTACCTATAACTACCTATTACCAGCCGTAGTAGTATACAGATCAGTAAATAAATACACTATTTTACTATATTACTAATATACCTATTACTATTTAGAACAGCATACAATTACAACATAATGTAACTATTTAAAACAGTTGCACTATATCAGAAATATGAGTGAATATGAATCAACTATAAATTAATAAAAAAACAACTTGCTAAGATAATTGCAAAAGTATTTGGTCTACAGAAGCTATTTCTATGTAATCTAGAATGACAGTAGAATATTTATAATATATAAGTATTCATGATGAATATATACACAATTTATTCTGCTTCTATAGTTCACATTAGTGAGATATGGAATATAGGTATGTCTTAGTGAAAGTGGAAAGTTCTGTTGAGATGAATTTCGGATGAATATCGATTTGCTATGAATAAGTAAACATGGTTAAGTTTAAATACCTAATCTCATAATTATTTAATAAACCTGATCTAAACATGAATAATATAAAGTACCTGTTTCAAATTACGAAAGTTTTGTTATTATTTATAATGAATTAACGTGTCTGAAGCGTATCATTGGCTAATTGATATAATTTTACGACTAAATAGCTATTACATTACAATTTAAACGGATATATTAAAAGAATAAAAATTCTTTACGCACTCAAAATAAAAGTAATTCTGTTAATGTGACTCATACATACGAGGTACACATACACACAGACTCTGAAAACCTCCGCTACATAAAATACAAAAATACAATCTACACAAACTTATCCCAAAGATATACCTACATATGTTTTCGAAGCTTAATTGTTATTTATTGTAAATGGGACAAATATAATGCGCATGATCTATTAATATACTTACATGATCTTTTAATTTATGTCTGAGTTTAATAGAGTAATAAACGCACATACTAAAGAATCGTGTGCTAGAAATCATTTGAAGCGTGGTCAGTGGTCACTGCGTCGCATCTGGCTCTGGCCTCGTGATTCTAGCATAATATACATTACAAGTGTTACACGTGATTATTATCCTGTTAACATTCTTCTAGAGAGAAACTTTTCAGATTTCCGTGGATTTATCGTGTGGATGACGGGTCTAACGTTTCGCAAGACAGCAACTTCAAGCAGATTATGACACAGACACACATATAAGGTTAAGATGCTCTTTTCCGATACACTCTCTTCTCTCCTTCACATCTCATGTTGCCTTCTCTGTTTGGACAGAGACGAATCTAACGTAAGAACTTGCTAATGCAGCGAACGAACGAACTTGCAGCTTTAAACGCTTGTGTCAGTATAAAACTTCTGCGAATCTCTACAAACCTAAATCTTTCAACAGGTTGTTACTTTTGTAGCGTGATCGTTTCTTGTTAATTTAATTTGTAGGGACGTAATGTTTATCTACTTAAGATTAAGATTAAATTTCAAATTTTTTATTCAATCATCTCAAGTCTTGTTTGAATTACACTTTTTAAATTAATTGATGTTTGACGTGAGTTATATATATATAATACTTTTTATCCCGATTAGTGTATTCTTCTGGAATATGAGGTTATAAAAATTAAAACTGTTACAAACAAATAATTTGTAAATGCGTGTTGTTTTCTCTTTGCATGTCTTGCATCACTATTGCATTTTATACAATCGTTTGTAATGCCGATTACGAACTGGTAAACTTATTGATTGAGTTACGTTTTCTAAGTTAAGCATGAGCCAGCGCGAGATCTGTACAAAAAAGAGAAAGTGGGCCTTGTTGTCAGTGACATTATTAGCAGTCGTGCTACAATGTTTTACAATAGATTTATTAATAAAGTGGACTATGTCGTATTGGACTATTAAAAACAGGCTCTATACAAACCAGATTGGGCAGTTTTGGTAAAATAATGTAGGTATACTTTAAGATTTAGATGTACGAAAAAATAAACTTGATTAGTTTTGGATTTGGTAAATCTTTATTAAAGATAAATAATAAATTTTGATGGACACGTTACGTAGTATTTTTCTGTTGCAAAAAATTACATTCCAATGTAAACTTTCTTATTTTTAAGTGAGATTTCTTTGGTATTTGGTATCAATATTAAAAAATATAATAATATGGAATAATATAGTGTCATAATTTTTTTAATTTTATTTATAAAACATGCTCTACTTTTATGAAGACCAAACAACAAGACACATTTTTAAATTTATAATAAATATTACAATATTAATAACAAATAGGAATTCTAAACATTTAATGTTATTTTATGTAAAATTAAATAAGGAGTATTTAATTAACGAACTAGAGCGCAATCCTTGACGTTGCGTCTGCGTTGATGTCTTTTATAGGTCGCAGAATATACGTATTTGAAATGTTAACATTTTATTATTGTAACTACCTCGATACCTTACATCAATGCAAAAATAATTAAACCACGACATATATATCTTTACTGTCGTCAATCAGTTTGATCTGTTAAAGATATTTACCGTCACCAGAGAGAGCTAAGGTCGTGACTCGATAATCGCATTGTTTTGCCTGACACATTAATTAGTCAATTTGGGTTTAGTTTGTATTGTGTAATACATTTTGCAATAATAAGATTATGAAATTGACTAATAAATGGCGTCTGATAGGTTCTAATTTAGTATTGAATTAGAACAGGAAAATAATGGTTCATATACTATAAATAGTATAAAATTGCAAGGTAGTTTTATAAATATTTAAAACAAATAAATATTCAAACCACTTTCTTCCAGTCATACAGTGAATGAATAAGAAAATGATACTAAAGTTATATGGCATAATATACACATACTGCTGAGAATGACTAGTAGTAGTGCCTTATAGATCAATTTAAAGTTATTACGTAATTTAAACAATTGATTTCAAGTAAGAGTTATGAAAATGCGGCATAAATTTCTTTTATGCTATTACATTTAAAGTATACTTACTATAAACTATGTATGCCTATTATCAATATTAGGGTGTTGAATCTACGAATTGATTCTACAATTGTTGTGGCCTAGTTTCTCTTAAAATATACTTTATATTATATAATATTTTCGAAGTTTATTTGAAGAATTATGTTGAAATTTAAAATATTAGTGTTATTGACGCATTTCAAATCCATAACACGATGAGTAACATTAGTTAATGGTTTCATTGCGAAACCTGTCGCTCCTTAAAATACACATTTAATAATTTATTGACCTTCAAATGGCTTTGTTGCGTCAATAATATTAGGTATTATATCGAGTTTACATTAATATCTACTATAATAATATATATTAAAAAATATAGTTATCCAGATTGAATGCAAATGCAAAATGTTGTTCAGGTGCAGACCTACATGCAGAATAGAATGGTTTGGATAGGTTAATGGTTAAAATAGTTAAATATCTAGAGCATATACCATAAAACAAGTCTCATGAATACACAACATTCCTTGAATGTAATTAGGCTTTGTGTGGAATTGCACGTGAAACAGGTCGGCGCCTGCGCAACGATATTGTTATTAATTTTGTAACTTGCTCGCTGCCAATTGTAAGCACGGAAATAACCAAGGTACGCAGTGATCGCCGATTCAAGTGCGGGTTCGATGTGTATGAAGTGAGAACGACCCTCTACCGGAACCGGATGCATACGAGGCCTTAGGGCGGACATGTTGCGTTAATTTCTTGCCTCCTCAATGCTGCGTACTAATTAGTATAATTAAATTTATACTGTCTTGTACCTTTATTGTTTCTCTCATTAAAATATTTTCATTAAGATAACTTAAAGTGATCTCTTATCTGTTACTCGATAACAGTTTACAGTTATAAAAAATATATACATTGCCAGTACTCAATTGGCGCTTTGTTTCCAATTCTCACTTCTCTTATATCAATGCCGCCTCCATTCACTTTTATTTACGCTAACGAATACGAATAGACTCGAAGCGATTTAGGAAGACGTGAGAATTACTATTTTGTTGCAAATCTTTCAGAATTACAGATAACCGATACATACTACGAATTATATTATACAACCACGAAATACTTAAATGCATGCTGTATTTTACTTAAACGTGTACAAGTTTGGAACTTTCCAAAGAGAAATCGTGTCATTCGACTCTATCTGATTTCTTTTCACAGATTTGTTTGTAATATGTATATTCTATATCACGAGTATCTTAATTTAAATTAGAATTAGATTATATATAATCCAACTTATATAATGGACATTCTATTGTAGCACCCTTGCATACTTTCGCAGCTGATCGAGTACAGCCTCGAAAGCTAAAGGTCGTCACGACCGAAAATATAATAACGAACTTTAGTAACTTACTTTACAGTGGATATGGTGGTACAGTAAATCCTTGCAATGTTTATCACTTCACAGTATTGTAATATGTATCAGTATGGTGCACCCGCGGGACTGTATCGCTGCGCATGGTGCGCGCGCTCGTGCGGTCAGGGCGGTCGCCGCGCGCTCACTGGTTGACTGTACGCCGCATTTCATACTGTGCGTACGTACAACCAGATTCCGCAACATAACATGTACGAAATTTATTTAGCCGACTGTACAGTCGTATATAGTAAATTTTCAGTCAACAATTTATCAAATAGAATAAGATTCCATAACGGAACACGTAAGAATTTTATTTAGCGGACTGTGCAGTCGTAGGTAGGCATTGGATGATTTCCAATAGTCGCGTGTTCGATTCCTCGCATGGTAAAAAACAAACATTTGTATTCATTAGTATGATTGCTTATATCGGTCTAGATGTTTTCTATATATAAATAAATTGTGTATGTATTTACAAAAAAATATCTATGTATTTGTTGTCTGGTACTCATAACACAACCTCTACTTAACTTGGTACCAGATGGCGCTGTATGAATTGTCCTGAGATATTTTATATTACATAAAATATACATAGAAAGCAACTAGATCAATGCAGATCAACAGGTATAGATACTAACTACTAATATAAATGTTTGTATCGAGGTGACATCGAACCTATGACAATTGCATGCTTAGGCGGTGTGTCGTCGTATTGTTTCTTCACACTTCTTCTGGCTGACGTCACGTTTTTACTTTAAGTTACCAATTCCATGCCAGTATTTCTTTTGCTGTATAAATTCGGTTTAATAAATAGGATTCTTTTTATTTAATGTTTATAAATAAGCATAGGTTTCATCTATGTCTGCCCTCAAACAGTTTGCATTATAAGGTATGTTTTGTATATAAAAGATGAATAAGCAGAATTTTTTCTCTACAACTTTTAATTAAAACCATTTTTTCATATTTCTTACAGTTATCGAGTTATTTTGAGAAAAGGCGTTTTTCAATCCTTTTAATTATTTTCATCCCTATCCCGTTAACTTAAATTAAAATTTCCTTCTGGATATTATTTTCACATATTTGCGGAGTTATTTTTATATATTGTGCCAATACTGGTCACATCATGTTTAATTAATAATTTTACTGGACTATTGTAACCTTGCTTAGATTGTGACAAGTGACATATCCATGGTAATATTATAAAGAGATAAAGTTGTGACGTTGTAGGGTTATATAAAATTCTTTTAGTTACATAGCTGATTTATCGAGTAAAGCTATATGCTACATAACATTATGCTACGGCCAATAGGAGCCGAGCTGCAATAAAAAATATTGTACAAACGGGGAAAATAAGACTCATGACGGAGTTGGACGTGTCAGCTAGTGTTATATATTTTTAAGCCATTTATAAAAAAAAATAGCGTATCTAAGCAGATAAACCGAAGTACAAACGGGTGAAATCATATTGTGGAATCACTCACTATAACGCTCTATAAGGAACACTACCATATTACTGCAACTTAAAGCACATTTAAATCAATTCTTGTTCGGGTTTTCCTAGTATGACATATCGGAATGTTAATTATACTAGATTCACTGTATACATACCTAAGAGTTCGTATAGTGATATTCACGTTATTAAATTATGTATATAAAAATTACTGGTGTATGTACATATATATATAAGGAGTATTATTCAATTATACTATTTGTTCTTTATATATGCTACAAGATGTCGTATTAGATTATAAAGTTATTACGATATTTAAAAATTGAAACCTTTCATTATTATATAACTATAATAATAAGCCTGGACAATTCATATAGAGCCATCTAAGAACACGATACCACACTATTTATAGAAATGTTTAAATACATTTTTTTATACAAATAAATATATAGAATATAAAATCATAAGGCTTTAAGTATTGAAAATTATTACATTAAACTGATATTTAATTTGATGAATTGAAATGTATTTCTCTTTTGCGATATTTGTTAACTTAATGAAATTTGATATATCATAAAAGGCACGTAGAAAACCCGTAAGGTTAAAACCTTTGAAGAAGTTAAATCGGAAATAAATATAAACAAATTATTTACTTACATTTATTAAGCATAACGTTATATTAGAAATAAAATATAAATACAACTTATAAAACATTAAATTTTACATTTATCAACTAGCAAAATGGTTTAAATATTTTAAAGCTGAATTTAAATTAATGTTTATTACAATGCTAATGTAATAATAAAGATTATGTAACTATAATTAAACAATATAAAACTAATATATATCGTGTATAAAATAATGTATAAATATCTACATATATTATTATGTAAGATTGAAACGAACTACACTGGCCCTGGAGGGTGTGTTGGCGGGTCCGTCAGAAGTGGTGCCTCCGTGGACGGAAACATCAGATTCGTCGTCGCTGTCCTGTAGTGCTGAAGGCTGGTAACTTTCGTTCACGTACACTCCAGATGCGTGGCCGGGAATACCCTATACAATGCACAGTGATCAAAATAAATCAGTGACATTGTGACACACTACCTATTTACTATTTAATTTTGATACATTAAAACAGAATAGAAGAGAATATTCTCTATTTATAAAATTTAAATTAAAATGAGGAAAATGTATTTATTATCGATATTGTTAGTTATTTACTTTCAGGAAAGGCATTGAACTCGATACAATGAAAGGAAATTGTGAATATATTATTTATTTATATTCATGTTCATATATCTATATCCACGCCGCATCTCTTGCGGTATTGGCAGTAGGAGGATCCCTATCCCTATACCTACATATGTACTAAACAAAACTGCATCAACTGTAGTAAGATTAAAAGAAGAATTAAAAAATAAAATTATTAAAAGATTTTCATTCAAATTACTACACGGCCTTTATCCCGCTATGATACGCGCTTATAATATATAATAGCATATGTTATTCCATAACTATGTACCTTCATAATTTTTTAGTCGAGTAATTGATGTGTTTATTTAGTTTTAAATTACAATCGAAAATATAAAATCTTTCCGTTTTATAATATTGCTGTAAAAAAAAGCACAGCTTCTTTTACAACATAGGAGACAAACGAGCTTGCGGCTCACCTGATGGTAAGTGATTATCGCGGCCCATGAGCACCCGCAACACTAGGGGATTGCAAGTGCGTTACCGGCATTTTAAGAAGGAATAAGCTCTTTTCTTAAAGGTTTCAATTTCGTATCGGTTCGAAACAATCATTCTGGGAGGAGATTCTAACAAGCTTCTCGAAACTTAATAAATTTGCCAACAAAACTTGTCTCATTTAATATACTATTATTTCCAAAGAAAATAGTTACACTATAAGTATTATATTAAACTATTTTTGTAAAAATATATTTAAGCATTTGTATACACACCGAAGTTCCAGGAATGCCATAACGGAAAGCGGAAGATCTTGGATCGATCTGAAGTAGTTGTGAGCGGCGTCTTTCAAGCGCTACTGATTCCCTTCTTGCCTTTAATGCGCGTAAAGTGTCTCGGCGTTCCGTGAAATCACTGCCCAACCAAGGCAGAGAGGGTAGTGACGCTGTAAATAAACAAATAATAATAAATAAACAACCGCGGACAATTAACACAGCGCCATCTAGTCCAGCAATAAGCAGAGCTTGTGTTGAGGGTACTAGTTAACTGATATAAATACTTAGATATTTTTTACATACATAATATAGAAAACATCCAAACCTATACAAAAAATCATATTCATGAATACAAATGTTTGAATCATATTTGTGCTATGCAACATATTTTTTTCTCTTTAGGCTAAGATATAAAATATTGCTGTTACCGGGATCTGCGTTTTCCAACATTGTGATCCTTCTCTTGAAATTAGTATCCAGATTGAAAACGTCATGCTTGGAAACCCTACTATTTTCCAATTGCAGGATCGTCCTCCTACGCGACACGTCTCCTTCGTCTACACCAGCACTTTCCAAACCGGTAAGATCTGCCTTTGCCAAGCTCTTTACCATATTTACAGCATCTTTTTCAATTTTAGCGTGATGGGTGACTTCGTCGGGCTTTAGAAATTGTACAAACAAATATGTTAGGTTGAACAGTTTAAATTCTCAGCGGCTCGATAGATAGATCGTATATATTATACTGTATTAATCCGTATTTTATATGTGGATTAATACGGAATAATGTAACTCATTGTTTTAACGGGAGAGTAAGTTTAGAAACTATTTTTTTATGTATTAAATTTTGTACTCATTATTTCTAATGTATTATTCGTTTATAAACATAAGTGCGTGAATCTGACTATTTATTTTCATGTATTATCTATTACAATTGTACGCATGTTTTTTTTTCTAAGTCAATTGTGTCCTTTTATTTATAATATTATTGTATAATAAAGTATTACAAACAAACAAACAATTTTGTAATCCTATAGTTTAATATGGATGATAACTTCAGTTTGAAAAGAACTAATAAATTTTTGTAGTGCTTCTTTTAAAATTAGTCTGTTAATTCTCATATTGATAAGCAATGTTATTGTATGTCTCAATAGACATACAATATAATTGTTTATCAATAGTACCTATCGACTATCTTGTTATGATGAGATTACCATCGTCATATTTTGTGCACAAAAAAAAAAATAAACGACTATCTTCATAATTTTCTGAATATGAATAATAATTGTGAAAACTTACTTTTTTAAGGCAGAACCAATTGAGATGAACAGTGGACAGTAAGTGTGCAAGAGTACCAAGACGATGCAACATCATGGCTGTGAATTGTATCAACATCACTGATCCGAAGAATATTAAAAACAACGATCCAATTGGTTCCAACATCAAATATTCTTGATTAACAATTACCTACGGGATACAATAGGTTTAAACATTTACAACAACAAAAAATGATTTGAAGTATTTAATAATAATGATGTTTGATCATTATGTTTATCAAACATCATTATTATTAAATTTTATAGTCAGTTTATATATGCTATTATCATACAATGCACAGCAGACAGACAGAAAGAATATTTTACCCAAGACAGTCATTGTGCATAATAGTACGCAATCATGCTCTCTATTGCTTTACTCATAGCAATAGTAAAGCAATAGAGAGGTCAAATTATAAATAAGAATACTGGACACAGCGGCATCTAGTTCCAAGCTAAAAATCTATTATGGTTACTAGACAACTGATAGAAATTTTTAAATACATTTTGTAAATACACACATAATGTACATAAAAACACATATAATTAACATCTCGTAAGATACGAGAATCGAACCCGCGATCATCGAAAGTAGAGCAGTGTGCTAAACCATTAGACCACCGACTTCAATAAAAAATTATGATGTTTGAAATAAGCAACATTAAAAACTACATTCATTGGTCTATTGATTTTGCAATTGTTCCACATAATAAATATAAGAAATGTACAATGAATGTACATATTTTAATATTAAAATTTATCACTAAGTTTACTGGAATGATGGTGTTAAATTTAATCGTAGTTATATATAAAGAGTTACTCAGATATTACTCACAACATTAATATCCGAAACGTATGAAATGAACGCACTCTGTCCCAGGGGCCACTTGATGTGCAACTGATCTTTGTTAAGCTGTAGCAAGAAGATAGTCAATACGAACAATGCGTTTAACATAAGGAACGCGAATACAGTTGTGTCCCTCAAGTTTTTCAGGTCATTTTTAATACGCTCCTGTAAAAAAACATTAAATTATTAACGTAATATTATTATTATTACTATTACTACTATTATTACTATTTCACACAGCGCCAACTAGTCGGAAACTAAGCAGAGCTTGTGTTATGGATACTAGACAACTGATAAAATATATTTTTTGTAAATACATATAAAATACACATAGAAAACACCCAGACGGATACAAACAATTACACAAATCTATCAATATTATATATAATAATATAATATTGATAGATATATATATAATATATATATATATATATAATATAATATTGAGAGAAAAAAACTATGAAAAACAGAAAATAAATTGCTTATAATAACCCCAGACTAAGCAATAAAAGGCACACGGTCTGCATTTGTTATGATGTTACCATTGCTAATAAATTGCACAGACTATGTGGACCTTTACGAGTGTATACAGTTATTATTTAATACATAAAAAGTACCTGTTCGTCTTTGTCTTCATCGATGGGTCTCAAGTAGGCGTCTATTAAATCCTTCCAGAATTCAATCTCAGCTGTTAACAAGAAATCCACTTCACCCTTCTGCAGTTCTGTGTCCTCAATCCAGTTAAAGTTTACGAGATCGTCTCTTTCTTCCTAAATGTACCAATATTATATTACAAATCAACGTTTTATTCATATAATAATACAATACCTAATAATTTTCTCCATTAAATTTTGAAAATATAATTTTGACCTTTCGGATACATCCTCCAGTCATCTGTTAGCATATTTAGAATATAAAACTATTTCGGTATTATTGTCGTAAGATATAAGATAAAATATTATATAATTATATATATTTAAAGTAATACTCAAATTCAACCGTGGTTCTAAATTTTAACTTATATAAATAATTGAAAGTGTTGTATTCTAATTATACAAATATATAAATTTTATTTTATACTTGTACTGATTTAATATTTCGCCCCAAAATATTATTAATTTTAATGGCTTAAAATAAAAAAATACACTCTATTACATACTACTAATGTGTGTGTGTGTGTGTAAAAGTGTACATACTGTAGGTATTTCAGCAGAGATATCACTGTGTTCATACTCTGGCACTATGGAAAGTCGCTCCCCGCGAAGACCTATGGACGACGGGCGACTGTTCACAGTTGGTTCTGTCACTTCAACAACATCCCTGTAATATATATATATATATGTATTATAATACGCCATCTAGTCCCAAGCTAAGTAGAGCTTGTGTTATGAGTACTAGAGAACTGATAGAGAATATTTATATACATATTTTATGTAAATACATACATACTATACATAGAAAACCATTTACCTTGAGAAAATCCCTCGATAATAGATATTTTCATATGTCTTCCACGTAAAAATAATGTATATATACTATAATAAAATGTAACTGAACATTTTATTATAGTATATATACATTATTATAATCTATTATACACCAGTTTCATACTATATGTATAGTAAGTATATCATAATTACATCCATAAGATAATTATTATTATGCTAAATTACCATACAGTTGTTAGTTTTTTAAATTTCTTCCTAATTTTATTTTATTAATAATACTATAAACGCGGAAGTTTGTGAATATAGATGGATAGATGGATGTTTGTTACTCTTATACGCAAAAACTACTGAACGCATTTGATACATCAGAATAACAAGCTATAAATTTCATGCGGGTGTAACCGCAGGCAGAGCTAGTTAGATAATAATTTACAGAGGAATTTAAAAGGATTAAGTAGGCTTTCTAAACAACCTCCCTCAAAGATTTTTTTCACGAAGATATTAACTACAAAATTTAAGTTTTCTCTATTATTAAAATAGATTATTATTCAACAAAACAAAATTTATTGGCTTACAGTTGCAGTATAAATGTAAATACTGCAACTGTAAGCCAATAAATTTTGTTTGTAATGTATTTATAGTTATTATAATTAATTTTAATACTGTGCTTTCGGGATATGAATCATACAAATGAATGTGATCTAATTACGTACAATTTCTTCAATTTATTTTCGATCTTCTCCAAAGCGTTATGTATTTGCAACAAATGGAGGTCCTCTTTATGGTCCTTAGGATTAGTACAACACATGCACTTAAACAATCCAGACACGCCACACTCTAATGAACCATCCTTTTCTTCAGATTTTCCAAAGAACTTTAATATACTGTTAGCGTCCATAGTGTTCTTTGCTGCTTCAACTTCGTTCTTTTCTTGTTCTAATTCCTAAAATATAGAACAATCAAAGGTATATAACATACAAATTAAGATATATTATTAGTATAATTGAAATATAAGTGACTTATACAAAGTTTACATATTGATTTATTAAACTGTCCTTGAAATAAAAAATACTATACTATACATTATGAAAATTATTAATTGGACGTCAGAATCAATAAGACAGCTTGAATTTTAATAATTATATATTAAATTGTAATTATTAAAGACTTAGATTCGTCCTAAGCTTCATGAAATTTAGTACAAAAATATTGTATCACACATAACCCATTGTCATTCCAGAGTTGGTTAAATACGGATCTCTCCTCATACTAGGAGGGATTGATTTACAATGCGGTTTGATACAGGATATTATTTGGAGTAGTCCTTCTCTTGGATTAATATATTTATGCTTTGTTTCCCTTATCATCTTTTACCATAAGATGAAATGGACGACCGATTATATTCTTACTCAATCACATCATAGACAACGATATCTTTAGGCAATACTTACATTAAAAATACCATCAAATACAAAAGTTATTTTTTTTATTAAATATAAAAACTATATACTTACTTTAATAGATTTCTTCTGTGGTACTTCCCGAGTGCCCCAGGAGACGTTGTTTAAATTACACAATGAGTAGATAATCAGTAACATGTACATACTGGGGATTGTTATGTAGTATATGCCCAAATAAAGCAAACAGGACATCTCTTGAGGGTGCATTAAAGCCGTTATGAAGAAAGAACCAAATATAACTACGGTGAATATACTAGACGGGGCAAGCCAACCGTCCTCTATTATTTGCAATACTATACCCACAATCACCATCATCATTACCATTGCGTATGCACATGTTATTATGTTTGCGAAGGTTATCTGAAATGTATAATGCATTGTATAATTTTATATATCAAAGGCGTATATAATTATTGTATAATTTATTAGATAACACATCATTTTATTAAAATAATCTATTAATTATTTTCTTTATAACAGAAAAGTTCTTTCACTATCGTACATGGAACATGGAAGGACAGTGATTGTTAGTAATGAGGATAGTGACCGTATTCCTAACGATATACCATGGTAGATTGAAGTCGATGTAGTCCCCCTGGAAACCATCGTGGTTAATCTCGGGTAAATTTGTTACGATGGGTTAACTAACCAGACTTTATCCTTATCCTATCATAATGCGTATACCACCAGCAGGCGAGTGTATACCGTTCGTGCAGCACCAAATAATTATTAATAATTGTCCAAATATATATATATATATATACATACATATATATACGTAATAGCTTATTAACATAATTACAGTAATAGTTTATTTACCTGTGTCTCTGATTTGCATGTCATACATACGAAGATAAATATGCCTATTGGAATTAGGTTAAGTAGGAGTGCATATATGTTGCTCATTCCTGTGATGGCGTTCATAGCTCCAATCATCATAAGGAAGATAGTCCCCGGACCCAGCACTGTGCCCACCATTAACAACATCTGATAAAAAAAATCTGTATTAATTTTAATGGTGATACTGTCCTACCAACTTCGACTATGATGACCGCTTCAAGAACACCCACGCATGATCACTTGTATGGTTAGCATATCCTAATTAAGTATATTAAGAGTTGGCAATGCGCATGTACACCCCTGGTGTTTCAGGTATCTTTCACAACCGTTTGCCATCAGAAAAAATTAAAAATAAACTACTGTAACTCGTTTATTCTCTGAGAAAGTATAATATAAAATAAAAATAAAATATATTGTGAAAAATTAATATTTTTAAAGTAATATTTGCTGGAAGTTTGCAGGCGAAAGAATAAAGTATTCAAGAAGGAAAAAATAACATACCTGATAGAGAACGTATAGCGTAGAAATATTGTCGTTGACTTTCACCGTATGCTTGGAGTCTACGAGAAGATCCAGTATATTGGCCATTGTGGAGGGCACCCAGCGACGGCGCTGGTTATAGAACTCATCGAAGCGCTCCGGACAGTGAGTGTAAGAATCGGATGCGGCCGAATATTCCACGCGGTACCCACGCTGCAGCAGCAGAGTACACAACCAACGGTCTTCACCTGCACCACACCAACAATAGCACATATTAAACTAACTAAATGCAACTTTTATTGCTAAACATTTATTAATAAATTTATTCCTTAAAATCGATGTCTTCTTTCTTATTGAATTTTATTATTGTACAATAATAATTAATAGAAAAATATAAATATAATGTACGTACATATGTAAACTTAGCTAACTTTCCCTTCAAGAAAGTTTTGTTTCAATTAAATGATGTGTGATATAATAAGATTTTAGTATATATTATAGACTTCACAAGTTCTAAACCTTGCTTAGTTACTTGTCGGTTCCATTTCATTATTCCGAAAATTTGGCTTGCTATTAAAATCTAGCCATCGAACATAATAATTCGTATATAAGAACTAACGAAGTCAATATATTATCCTAAGTTATAAGAAAAGAATTAATAGTTTATGTCGGTTAAGTCAATAGCCAAGGAATATATCATAATATTGAACTAGACTGTGATTTCACATTTATGTTTTTGATGAGATATATTATTACTAACTTCATTAGGAATAATGTCGTAATTTTTAAAAAAACTACACTACAACCTCACTAACGCGTAGAATAAAAACATATTATATAATAAATATATACATACATATAATAAAACATAAAAATATATAAATGCACGTTACCTTGGTCATATTGCACATAATGGCGAGCTTCGTGCGAAGTTAAAGTATACTTTCTCATCACGTTGTCATCCATAAGGGCTTTACCTCTAAACAGTGAGAAACACCCGGGACTGCACAGTACACAACCAATCATGTGTTCAGTTGCTTTTTGTAGCCAATGTCCAATGGCATATTCGAATTTTTGATACCAAGCCATAAAACCTGAAAGTAAAACAATCTTCACATTAAACATAATTTTTAGACCAATCAATAATAGGCTAAGCCTATTATTAACAAACTACCCAGTTTAGGGAGAGTTTTAGAGAAAAAATATTTTACAAAAAAGACTGAAATCTTATTATTAATATTATAAATGCGAAAGTTCGTGAGTATGGATGTACTTTTGTTACTCTTTCACGCAAAAAAATTACTGACGCGCATACGATTTACGAATTTGATTGCATTTAAAAACTTTACAGTAATATAGCTTATACATCAGAATAACACGCAAGTTAAGAGCAACACGTTAAAGAGTTAAAGAGCAACAAGCAAGTTTCTTACTCGTTCTTCTTGTGATGAGACAGCTTTCCGAATAAGCGGTAGATTAAAAAAATGTAATGATTATTCAAATTCAATTCAATGTAGTGCTTCAATGTAAGTTTATTTGAATAAATGATTTTATATTCTATTCTAATAACATATACATATAGACTATAAATTTCCGGGAGAAACCGCGGGCACAGTTAGTTATTTTATATAATTGTGAATTTAGAAGTAAAAAAAAGTTAAAGTGGTTTGCTTACTCGTATGTGCTCTCGGGAAACGACTAAGTTAAGATAGTTTAACACTATTCTCACTCACCAGACCCTACTGGATGGATACGTCCACATGCTGCCCCTAGATTTTTGTCTTTCTTCATCAGATCGATTAGTAATGTAACAGCGGACGGCTGGAAGTCAATGTCGCCGTCTAGCGCAAGCAAGTATGTATGCTCCGAAATTACTTCTTTGCGTTTCACGGATATTGGAAGATCCATTAAACGATGTCCCAAGAAGTAGTACATGTACATCACCTGTAACAACATATTAATTAATTATCACAAGTAAATCATAATAGAAGCAGAGTACCGCCAGGTTAACGCTGCTGGCCTAAAAATTGCAGAAATTATTGTTTTCCGAATTTCCAAACTTCTGTCTCTTAGCATTCTTGAATAAAGTATTTTAGAAAGGAAGACTAATAAAGAGAAAATGAACATTTTAAACATGGTGTTTTTAAGATTAGATATCTATCTATATAATTCAGGAATCAAAATGTATATCCGACTCTTAATTGCTTAGAACCAGAACCCCAAAGACTCCGGTTTTTCGTTGTTTTACGCCAAAAAAGTGAAAGGCCTCTTAAACAAATTCAAATACCAATATTTTAATGTTTCATTGTAGTTCTCAGATAATTTATTTCGGTTCCAAATAATACTTATAATTCAATTGAAAGATATCAAATAATAATACTATCAAAAACTCTGGAATTAAAATTATTGTGGACAGAACTTATAATAAAAATGCATAAAATTTTAAAAAATCAATTAAATCAAATATATTTTATTTAAAACTATTTTCCAATAACGGATATCACCGTTATTAATAAAAAATAATCTAAATAACTATTATGGACTTATCCTTGCCACGTAAAGTAACAATAATATGGCTACAAAAATGTGGGCAAGTTGCATTCAAGGCAATAGGGCTGTAGCCCATTTGATATTACTGTCATGAATATTATTAAGTAAATATTATATTTTATGCTTAGAATAAAAATTACCTGTGACCATCGCTTCCTGTGCCTGATTTTTGATTTGTCTTTCAAATGACAAATCAGCTTATTTTTTCCGGGTAGCGTCCAAACTAGTCGACCGCCGTATGGCGTAGGGAACTTCTTTGGCGGTCTCAGCCGCACGTTAGTGGTGTGCACCTCTGAGGCAGCTTCATCGATCGTATTCACCAAACATTTTACGAAAGAGTTCACAACACTTTCATTGTTATTAGATAATTCGAACGCGTCATCCATGAATATATGAGCTAAAATTAAAAACATTTATTATCAATATTAAAAAAGTCAGATTTTTGGTACAGCTCTATCTTTTTAAGCTATACGGAGAAATTATCTTATTAGATTTAAAAACTATAAAGGCAGCACTAAGTTTTTTCAATATCAATAGATATTATGTATTTGAAGTATCAAAAAACTTGGACAAACTTAAGCAGGATAAACCTTAGGTCTGCCGTAAGGTTTCTCCTGCTTAAGTTAAGAAAATTGATCGCGAAAAGCTTAACTTACTGGCACACTAGTACGTTCCCAATATTCATCGAAAAAAAATCTGATAGTACACTGATCACAAAAGTCAAAACAGTTGTGACTTTTTTGGGGAAGCTAATGTACAAATAAAATGCAAATATTAGGGGTTAAAGTTCACGATTTGTACTGACAAGTTGAAACTCGTTTTTTCTAAGATTGAAGTAATCCTATAAAGTCAACTAGGCACATATACTATACTAACCTTCCATTTCATAATAATCGCTGTTATGTATGGCCCAGTACTTGCGTGCGACACGTTGAGAACATTGGTCCTCGTCCAGTCTAAATATAGACTTCAAGAATTCCATCATTTCTTCTTTTGTCTCGTGCCACATTGTTGCACATATGTATATTCTTAGAATAAAAAAATAACAATAAAAATTATAGAAATAATTAACTGAAATGTGAATGACAAAATGAATTAATATTAGAAAGTAGTACTCTTCGCCCACAAGCTTAGTCTTCATTCCTGAGATACCTTCACAATAAGTACCAAATGCCTGAGTGAGATCGTAACAGACAGTAATGGTTCACCTTTTTGATGCATAACTAAAGTGAAAACATATTACGCGTTCTTCCACTACAGAGGATTGGGACTTTACGTTGTGGAATCACCTTCCAGTAATGTTATTTCCTAACCGATACGATAATGATTTCTTCAAGATTTTTTCTTGAAGAAATCAATATCGTATCGTATCGGACTACCCTTCTTAAAAGAAGGTTACGCAATTGTAGTTCTCCAGTTGTTGCGGGTGCTCATGGACATTGTAAAATTGTTGTAAAAATAATTTAAAATTACCATTGATTGGAAAGAACAGTATTTAATTTTATCTCTACCTCTCCTTTAACAGGTCCAGGAAAATTAAAAAAGACTTCGTAGTAAAATTTTATTACCTTGTGATGCTGTCTGATGGTCTGACATAATCTTTGTTTCCGTCATTGTCAGTTTCATCAATGTCTTCTTTCAAATCATTTTCAAGGTTCTGAAAATGTACATTTTGCACTAATCTTATTAACTCTAATTAATAAGTACTTTGTCGCAATGAATGTCGAAAAATATAGATCAAGGTGGATTCCGCTATACCTACCTAGATTTAGGAATTATGATAACATAAGAATTTAGCGATAAAATTATATTGCACAAATTAATAAACACCTACTTATCGCAAATGCATGATTCAGATAAAGAAGTAGATATTTTGTATAATACTATGTTGTATTTTGAACTAACTTTAAAAGGGGATCCCAATATGTCTGTATAATTTGATACATTTGTTACATAATATTAAAATAATAGGATCAGTATAAAATTTGCAATTACAAACCATAAAACTCTATTATACAAATATTCTTGCAATTTTATACATAAGAATGTTCATTGGCACATAAAAGAGAAAAAGACCGGGAGGAAGGAAAAGAGGGAGGGATCTGAAGTGTGGTAACCTTAGCAAATTTATTTCTGAAAGGTCGAACTTATTGATTGAAAACATTCACTATTCTTAGATCTAAAAAATAACTACATTGGTTATTTACCTCATACTGTATTTCTGTGTCCTCTTCTTTAGTTCTGTTTAAAAGTAGAGATTGGTCAATTAAGGGTCCACTGTACCAAGGCTTCCAGAACAATTTATCAGTGGCAGCTAGACGCTCACAACGAGGTTGCCACGCATGGACACATATCCACGCCTGAGATATTAACCAGAGAAGCCAGATCCACGTCATTTCACGTCCTACATAATCTTTTAGTGTGTACACTGAAATAAGCAAATACTATTTATATATCTATGCAAGAAATATAACTTTAGAAAAATAAACCTTAACTAAGATAAGCTTAGTTATTTCAGCAGCCAAGCAACTTCCTTTGTAAGATGTATTTCAGTTGAAGGGTGAAAAAATGTAGTGATATTACAGGATTGCGAGACATTTAGTTCTCCAGAGTGGCAACGCACGAGTGGTGCCACGGATCACATGACCGTCGTGGTGCTGTTCATGTATATACATATAAGAATCAATTACCACTTTCAGGTGGCCCGTTTGTCGTTCCAATAACATTAAAAAATTTATAATATTGCTAAATATATCAAAGATACAAAAACTAACCTGGTGGAATTTCGAAGAACAAATAATCTGGTATAGTGTTATGAAATGCGCAAGGATTTGAATTTCTCAAACCACATAACACTATGAGAATATTAATGGCAACTGGTCCTACGAGACTTAAGGCGAATGTAAAACTGAAAGCCTGTATTAAAATTTTGCAGGCATATTTAGCGCTGGCGAAGCAGAAGTAAGCGATGGTAACTTGGATTAAAGCGACCCACAACGACGAGTAATGTGAAGCGGGCAGATCGTAGGTGCCTCCGGTCAAATCATATACCAGGTCCCGGTCACTAGTTATGTCCTGAATGACGTGGTACTATAAAATAAAAAAAATATGACTTAGACTAAATATATATTAATAGACTAAAATCCCAGGGGTGCCAAACATTAATTGTTTTCTGGTGATAAAATGTGCATGATTGACTAATACTAGTATTCACTATGATCGTATGCTTACCCGCTAGTTTATAAAGTTTAAATATTTTAAATACCAAACTGATAAAAGCGTTTATTTTGATATACGATTAAATTTAGTACATTAAAATACACGATAATGCCTTCTCGCCCATACTTAGAGCGACGTTACAGTTCGTAAATTAGCGCGTAAGTACCTATACAATCATAGTAGGTATACTAACACTATTTAATCAAATAAAACATTTAGTTAGAAAAGAAGTGACTTTTCCAAGGCAAGGGATATTGCTCTATTATACATAATTAAGTAGGTAGCTTAGAGTATACACAGAAAATGACTATTTTGTTTATTTCTTTGTATTGTGATATTGATAAGATAATAAGAATTAACATGTTAACATGTCGGGAAATTATACTATTTACAGATTACATCTAATTATCTATCAGTCTAATGTACACGATATAACTGACGCCTTCGGGCGTCAACCTATTACATAAGATATTTTCGATTTTATTTTACTTTTTCTATGTCCTCAACTACTAAACATTATACGAGATGGTATATCACTGAAATCAATAAATCTATAAACATCATCAAGCATGTCACTACAAAAAATAAAATTAATATCATATTACGTTTCTAATATTACCCACATAAATCATGAAAGAGACATGAATCCTAAAAATGGTTGATGTGATTTTCATTGCTAAATGTAAGCATTATGTGTTATTTTTTTTTTCAATTTTCCTTATAAAAAGAAAGACAGAAAGTAATTATAAATTTGATTTCACTTGATGACACACCATATCTAATCTATCGATCAGATGTGACGCATTTCAATTATATCTTTAAATATATTCATACTACCTACAACCTATTTATTGTTTAAATACATAGATATAATTAAGAAAATCATATGTGTAAATGTAAATATACATTTACGTAGGTAAATGTATTATTTGTAAATTTTAATGTAGTGGCAAATGCACCATAGTGCCAAGCCAAAAATCAAAATGTTTAACGGTATTCAGATCTGATGATCTTAATTAGAGATATTGGAACATCTATATATTTCAGACCGACCTTTCACAGACATGTCATATCATATATGTTTATATTAAAATATGCAATAGTAACGCTAATACAAACTAGTATTAGTACTATTCGTATACATCAGTAGAAACAGAGAGTTAATATATATATATATATATGTATACATATATTGATATGGACGTAAATTATTATTTTCTCATTACATTATTAATATTATTACTACTAGCACATGCATAATAATCGTTAAATGGTAATAATAACTTAAAAATTGTATGGAAGATCAATCTTACCTCATGAACAGTGTAATTACGTGCGGAAAATGCATCAGAACAAGAAGTGAAAAATGATAAGGGGTCGTCTTTTTGTACATGCAGCGATAGCATGATACACCCCATAAATACTATTATTTTCCACAGTGACAGAATACGCTGAGTGTAGTATCGCGTACTTTTAAGTTCCTTTGAAAATTTGTACAGTTGTCGAAATACGGCTGCAAATAAGTATTGGGCCATGTAAATTTTAATTGCCAATTGATCTATCCGAGTTGGAAATATCGATTAAGCCCAGTAAGTTTAACCATTTTATAATGTTGGTATCAAAAATTAAAATCTATACTAATATTAAAAAAAAATTAAGCTTATGAATGTATATTCAGGTTAATCTCCAGTGCTACTGTGATCCGATTTTGGAAATTCTTTTCCTGTTTAATAATCAATTTATAGGCCAATTATTTATTTAGTTACACAAATAATATTGATTCACTATTAGAAGACTTTTTTATTGCAGCTTCTTCTGAAAAATAGTGCAAAAACGCAAATATGTGACGCAGCAATTACGCGAATCAACTAACATTCGATAAAATAAATTACCTGGTGTATCTTTATCAGGCGTTGATATAAAATTTTCCCACCAGCCGAGTGATATGAATATGCAAGCCATAGGTGTCCACCAGAGAACAGAGGTCCCGTCTAGAAGGGGCCACACGAAGAACGCAGTGACCTGCGCCGACACAGCGAAGATGTCCAAGGCCAACTTCATGGAATATCGTGAATCTGATCGGTCCCTTGTCGCAGCGTTAAGGATACCAGGTACTATACACATAGCGTTCATCAGCATTGCTCCTTTAACTACATCTAATTCCGGCAAAATGAAAAGCACCAGAATAGCTATGCCTATTGTATACAAAGTCTCTGTAATAAAAGCCTGTAATCAAAATAACGATAGCATTGAGGTGCGGCGTAGCAAAGTTTAAAAATAGAAATATAAATTTTTATTTAATTTACATCTATTTAGTTACTTAAGTAACAATAAATTAGATATAAATTGTTTAGTTTATTTGTATCATAATTCATACTTACTACAAAAAATACCAAAATTGTAGGCTTTCGTGAAGTTTTGAAAAAACACACTCTAATAGATCTGAGAAAAATTCCAAACTCCGGTGCACCAAATACGATGAGGGCAGCCCACAGCCATGTTATGCGCTCTTCTAATGTGTGAACGGTAAGAAACTGCTGGCCGGGTACTATCACAAAATAATATTAATATAGTCAGTATAGTTTTATACGAGACATTAATAAATACACTAATTATACATTTTTTTTTAATTAAATAAAATAATTAACCTGAGTAGATATAATAATATAAATAGACACTACAAAATGCTTACCTAAAACTTTATTACAATGATTGATATTCCTATCCTTTTTTAATTGAGACGTGACAAATAACAATGTTCCTTTCGCAATCATTGCTGAGCCGAGTACCGCAATAAACACCAATATGTAGGCGAGGACCTTCAGTATCTTTACACTGAGTTCGACCCATTCTGCAGTAGCTTGCGAACCACTTTCTTTTTTTACGGGAATTTCTCGGAACAGATTCCATCCTTTGGTTTCTTGAGCAGTGCGTTGGCTGTAATTAATATTAACAACTCATTATTACATAATTCTTATATTTATAATTTCAAATGACAATTAATAATAAAACAAATCTTAATAGATTGAAATGGCTTGGCTGAGGCTTATGTCGAGCAGTAACTGACTATGATAATGATGAATTACAATGTGTTAATCAAAACAGTTCCAAGTGTCTTTACAATAATAGTAGTCGAAGCAACATACGGCTGATGGACGGACAGATAGACAGCTAGACATTTAGTCTAACGATATAGCTATCTACCTGTCAAGTAGGTATTATTTGGATTGCCACAGATAGTCTGCACAATATACATATATATAATTATATATATGTTTGTGTCCTTAATCTATTCATTTATCGGTACATTATTTATCACCGATGTAACATTGTACAGTTATAGTTGAGTAATAAAATGGTAAATAAAACGAAATTCTTTCCACCTTATTTAACTAAGACAACCTCTAATGAATTTAATAAAAATATAACTTTAAATAAAGATCAAAACAATTTAATATATAGGTAATTAAATATGTGAAAATAACTAAAAAAGCGACTTAATTAATTAGCTGCCAAATTGTCTGTCGGTAGTCGGTACCTATATCTAAGTATAGTGCTGTAAAGTGAATGGAACTCACCTACGATTGGCCAAGGACATAGTAAGTAATTGGCTATTATAGTGTATAATACCTGGGGAAACACTGATGTATCAGATAGTTTGCCAAGATCATCCAATATCGACCTCGTCGAATATATCATCCGCATTTGCCAATGCGAATGATTAAAACAAAGATCAAATGACAAAACGTAATGGCCATAAAAAGAAGTGGTGACATAAGGAATCAAATTAGGTAAAACATGTTGATTCTTAATAAACTTAGATATTCTATTAAAATTTACTTAATTAATGCCAACAAAAAGCATAACTTGTACATGGTTTTTTGTATATCAATGCTATTATTAGTATTAATCTACATTCTATATTTAATGGAAAATGTTCACATGGTCTGTATCCTCTAAATCCTTATATATCGATAATATTGTTTGTTATATCTTTATCATTGATATGAGTAAAATCGCTTGCGCAACGGTTTACAGTTCTTTTTAAATATGTACAGGAGGGAATGGTATGGTTAGTAAAGTGAACTGGGGAACCCATTGCTAGCAATGTACCATGTCAGGTTGACCTCCACGATGGTTTCCCGTGGAAACCATGGTGATACGTTCCTTATAATTTGTCACAATGGGATAACTGAGCTGACTTCATGTTCATCTTGTCATCCTCCATTGATAACCCGCCAGCTAACACGTGGAAAGAGTAGGTGTAACATTGCATTATCATTAATTAAAAAATATAGGTACATACCTACCCAAGCTTTTTAATATGGTTACTATCCTAATACTTATTGATACATCAGTATGAAGATAGTAGTATAGTGGGATGTCCATTTAACTTAATAGAATATACCAAATCATTAATATATCATTAACTAGCTGTGCCCGCGGTTTCACATGTATAAGCTATATTACTGTAGAATTTCATCAAAATCCGTTCAGTACTTTTTGCATGAAAGAGCAAGTAACAAACATCTATCTATCCAACCTCACAAACTTTCGCGTTTATAATATTAGTAAGATACGAAGCTGTCGTTACATCGTACATTTCACCACAACCAAGGCAAAACACATATATATAATATAAAAATCTTACTCAGGTTCATCGGTGTCATCATACAACGGTGTGTATTCTTCATCGGAATCATCACTGTCATTCTGCACTGTTTTGAAATCCGATGTAGTGGTATTCATCTTCTAAATTTCTGCAAGTAAATAATAAATGTTAGCCAATACACGGTTTATTTCTCTAAATGTCTGAGTACTTAGACAATACTAAATAGTCCGCTATAAAATTATACCCATTCTTTCTAATATGGTGTAAAATATACTTCAGTATGAAAATAACGTTACTTAAATATATAAATCATAATAGTTACCTACATAGGTAATTAGGTCGCCGATGTCGTTCGTATAATTAAATTGCACTTGTTTCGTAGATTACGGTACAGGAAAAACCGTGTAGGTATCTATATATATATCACCTAAGTTCATAATTTGAGATCTTATATTAATCTTTTCACATAACTCTTCTTGTTCTGTACATAATAGAGTAAACCTGGACAATTCACACAGCACCATGTTGACCCATGCAAGCCAGGGTTTGTGTTATGTTATACAAAACAATTGATAGAAATACTTTGATGCAATCTCTTTGTAAATACATACATAATATACAAAATAAAACTCCCAGACCAACACAACCATACTCCTGAATACAAATGGTTGGCTTCGTGCAAGGAATTGAACCCGCGACCATCCCAAGTGATGTGCTAAATTACTAGACCACCTAGGCCATCGAATATACAGACAGAGTGCCTGCAGCTTCATAGGCGTGTCTTGTACTCCATATAACTTATACCTTTGTATAAGACCCCCTCTATTGATGATGATCAAATGACAATTATAAATAAATCATCTTTACATTATATATTATTAATTAATTACCACCTACAATAATTCATTAAATTGTAGGTGGCATATTGAAAATTATCACAAAATTAATTATTAATAAAAGTTTAACACAGAAACAGTTATCGCCTCGTCACGACTTTACGATTTTATTATATCAAAAGATTTTACTCTTGTAAATAATGTAGAGATTCTTACCTCAATAAAATGCTTTGGCAAAACACAAATCATAACTGCACTCACTTGACCAGGTAGAAATTGTCTGAATATAAAACAAAAAAAAATTGTAACGTTTTTGACGTGCAACCTAACTTCACTATTGACTAAATAAAAATATTTATCGCATTAATTAGTAGCTTCGATATTTCCTTATTATCGCTAATATCCATATCAATATTCCGCCTATTATCGTTAGGTATTTGATTAGATATATATCAGAATAGTGAACTTGTCTTCGCCGTGATTCAAATTCTTTCCGATAAATTAATGACGCTATAATAATTTAAATAACACATCAGGGGAAGGGTTTGATGTAGCAATCTAGTTATTAGTCCACATTACTGGAATAATAACCCCATTGCTAGCAATGTACCACCTCGATACCATCGTGATAAATTCATGGATAATTGATGACCTTCATGTTCGTCTTATCATCCCCCACTGGTGTTGCCCCGCCAGCGTAATCCGTTAGCGCAGGCGGTTGCACCATTCCATTATATCATCAATAAGAAATAAAAACCAGTTAGAGAAATATAAAAAATGTTTGACTACATTACGCTACATGGTTGTAATTAAATACATAAATAGATAGAGACACTGATACTTGCCTAAATGTTACCTGAAAATAAAGTAACAATTGGAATAAATAAAAATAAATGTTCTATGTCTAAAAAGCCCCAAATAAGTCGCCTACTGAATATGTAAACTTTACATATATAAAAATAATTTAGTTGAGATAAGACTTTAAAGTTAATAAAAAATAATATTAATTAAATATTAATTAAAACTCAGGTCGAGACAAAAGTAAAAATCGGTATATTTTTATTATTTCATGATATTTATATTTATTTTAATTAATTATTATTATATAAATAAATCTTAAGCCTAAAATACTGAGTTGTATTCTTAATAAAATATTTTGTCCGCACACAAACACTCTAAAAACGTAACTGTAAGAATCAGTGTTTACAAATAAAAGATATACTTAATAAACACTAAGTTATTACAATAAATAATATACTATTGTTTATAAACATTCCATAATAACCAGGAGATTTCAATTTCATTTATCGTTATCATTTATTACGGTTTTATTTGTAGTATAATCTTGTTCCTTCATATAATCCATTGATTCGTCGTGTTTAGAAAAATTCCCCATTGCTACTTGCGCTATCGTATCAACGATGCTAGATGTGTTTAAATATGAATGACTAGATGGAGGCGCTGGATTCGGCAACTCTTCGGTTTTAGCCATTTTTATTGGTGGTTGGCCATAGTCTGACATGTAATCAGGCATCGTCGTCTTTTTCGTTAATTCTAGCATTTGATTCAAAAACGAATCACCACCTACGCGTGATGACATGCTAAAATCAGCCGCCTGCATATCCACAGGTTCAGATTTAGAAGATTCTCCTTTTGAAGAGGCACTGGCGTCAGACAGTTTCATTCCATCTAATGGAGCATTGTCAGATTTCCCTTTTCCTACACTTCCGAAATCAGGTGGCAAGTAGTCTTTATTGCCTTTTAACAGATCATGTGGGGATTTCATTAACACATTTTGATCTAAGCCAACTTTTGAAGATATTGAGCTACTGCTAGACAGAGGTTTTAAAAGTGACTCTTGCATTTTCATCAATGATGGTGATAAGAACATGTTGTTTGCTGCTAATGTTGATTTGGACATGGGATCTGGAATACCTAAAATACCTGCATTTGAATATTTTGTAGCAGAAAAAAGTGCATTGGCAATATCTGCAGAACTCATCATTAAATTGGAAGCAATACTCGCTGGTATCGGTGTAGACGTACTTGTTGCAGTGCTGGATGGAGTCTTATCATAACTTCCCATACTGTTAGTTAAATTTTGAAGAGACGCCGCATAAGACGGTGGATCAGGTAATTTACTACTAGATAAACTTGCTGCTAAACTAGATGGAAGATTTGGTGTAAGCCCAGTTAACATATTATTAGCAGCGGCTAAACTTTCTAAACCGGTAGCACCCAAAGGAAGAGGTAAATTTGGAGATCCTAATCCTAAAGCCATACTTGTCAACATATCCAAGCCAGTAGGATAAGTTGGCGGAAGAGACGAAGATGATGACTTTGATGATTTTGAAGAACTTGACAAAACAGGAATATTTAATTGAGGCGTTTCGAATTTATGAGGAGATCCAATGCCTGAAGAAACATTTATAGGCGGAACGCCAGCCGGTCGACTGACCATCTGTTGCAATGTGCTAACTGATGGAAAATTGGGTACAGTTGTTTGACTGGGCTTAGATACAGGAATAGGTTGTGGAACTGCTAATAAAGCATCCAAATCCATCTTATCATCTTGTTCAGAAGAGCACCCTAATTCGTCTCGTATAAATTGCCATAATAAACCATCACTTTGTTCACGTGGGAACTTCGCAATCAATGTGCACTTAAGTTTATCCAAAAATGTTATATCTGGTTTGAAATTGTCCTTAAAATTAATTAAGGTGTCATCAGTAAATGTAAAATAATATTTTATGCTTTTCTTAATCTGCTCCATTGCGTGTGGTGATAAATGACTATCATGTATCATGTTGTACTGCAACAATAAGGGTCTGGGATATTCCGTGGGTCTTTGCTCTGAAGGGGGCATTACCCAAAAAAATGTTAGAGATGACTCCAAGACAGGACTTTCTGGGTTATATGGTGCTGAAAGAAATAATCATAAGTTATGATTTTTGATAATAAACACTTTCTTCAATTACCTTTCAATAAAAGTTTTAAATAAACCCATATACTATACTCAATATATCAAACGGCAATAAAATTATATGGGCTGTAATTTTTAATATCACACATCTTCACACAAATCTCTTATCAAGACCAAGTCCATTTCTCTGTTAAATTACAGTTGTATGTATATTAAAATCGGTAAAACTGTGGAAATCTCTATCCCCAGATGTCCCTGAGCTAAATTTTCCAAAATACGTATTTAGTACTTGGTAAAATTACACTGATAAATTTGTTATACTTACAGCATATTACACCAATGCATGGAATGTAGGAAATTTCAGATGGCCCCCTCATTTTAATTTGATATTCTAATTGATTATCACAATCTCTTAGGCTTGGCATTGCAGGATTAGTTGGGTGAGAATGATACCATCCAAGGAGGGTAAGACCAAGTTTTTCAATTTCCATTTGAATCTCTAATTCCACTAAAACTCTTGGCCTACTATCATTTTTGCTCACAAGACAAGGGAATGTGTGGGTTATCATTAAATCTAAAAAAAGAAAATTAACAATAATATTGGTACTCTTTTTAAAAAGCTGTCTAATAAGTTATTATATTTAAGGTACAATAGGACAGGTAAAATATAAAAATTTGAGTAAAGTTATGTAGTCAAGACCAAGAAGGCATCACAAAATAGGTCTGAATAAAACATGAGAACTACGAAATCATGTCCATTAATTAATTAAATACCAAAGCCCTAGTTTTGTTAGTAAAAGAATGCAAAAACTATGTGAGTTAAACTGAGTTATCAGTTTTTAGGTTGTTTAAAGTTTTCCAGGAGACAGATTTGAAAATAAATAATATAAAATATTATTTAAAAGGAAAGACGAGACCAGTAGGTTCATTTCACCCTGACTGTACCATAGTCACTTATTAAACTTTAATAACCAATGGACTAAAACACTAATTTAATAAAAATTAAATAACTTACTATGACTATTCAAGTCCCAAGTGCCAGCTAAATAACCATATACTTCTTCTTTTTTTAAATGGCAGTGTATATCAAGAACCAAGCAAGCATTAGAACTTACTGACACAATGAATGGTTGCACTTTTCCAGCTGATGAAAATGATACTGCTTCTATCAACATATTCGTATCACTAAAACACAATTACAATAATAAAATCTACACTCTCTCATGTAACATTCTGTGCAATGGTAATTAGAGTATCTATTGAACATTAATTTATTGTCACTGTCCAAGACCAATATTGTCTATACAACAGACACAGTACTGTGTCTATTAAACATTCGAAGTTATTTCTGGCAAGTCTATGGGATTATTGAAATGGATTAAATTATTTTTGCTGGTTATCATAGTTAAAGTTCATGGTGATGAAAGTATCATAGAAGCAAAACTTTACTTTTCCTACTAAATACAATATTTATACATAGTATTCAGTATTTATTTCTTTCAGTTCTTCTTAAGATCATCAACTTCAAACGAATGTATTATTTAAATGTTTATTTTGTATGTGTCTGATTGTAGCACAATCACAAATGGCCATTAATGTATGGGGGTTGCATAGTTCCCAAACTTAAGGCTGAATATTGGGAGCATCTGGCAATGCTGGTAATGAAAATATCTATAGCTGTCTTAAACATTTACATCAAACATATCATATAATGGTCATTAAAATTTATGGTTAAAAATATTTTGTAAACATAATAAAAGTATTGTTGAATAAAGTTGTCAAGACAGTTTGAATCACACATACCATAATACAAAGAACCATTACAATTATAGCTTTATCCTTATCTGGTAATTGTCCAATAGATTAAATAATGCACAGGAAATGACTTTCTCAACTGATATTACTGATAAATATAAAATTATTAACTGCTAAAAATATATATTCATATCTATCACTCTTTAATTGTGCATGAAAACCAAGTAAGTAAGTAAGTAAAGAACAAAAACTTACTGCTGCATCATTCTATTAGGTACAGTGTTGTGTTTCATAACCACCCTCTGTGGTGGTGGTTCTGGAGGATTTTCAACTTCCATTTCAGTTTCTTCTACAAACAGAAAAAGTAATTTTAACATATACTTTTGTACATAAAAATGTTTACTAAATAACAAAATTATACATTTTAAGCATAAAAACATACCATCTGTGTGCATATTTTCCCTTTGGAGTTGCTTTTTACGCAGATATGTGGCCTTTATTGTATCTAACTTCTTCCCCCTATATTTGACTGAAGCCCAACCACATCCAGACCTTTTATCAGGGTTAATGATTCGTTTACAGTGAATAGCCCATGCAGATGGAGAGCAAAAAATTGTTTCTGTTTCATGTGATTTTATTTTGCCATCTGCTTGTAAGTCTCCAACAAATTTTTGACCCTAAATAAAACAATAATAATTAACATGCATTTTATAAATTAACATTAAAAAGAAGGTAAATTACATTATAAACTTAATAGCTTAGCGGTCAGAGTTAAAGAGAATTCAATAGGTGTTACATTTTTATATTTTCAAAGACAAAAAGAAGTAACGACTGATATCAAGATTATTAAACCTGCAAAAATACTACTCCGTCACTACACTAAATATAATAGTAGGTACAAACCAAATATTCAATAGTCATTGCAGCAATACCAGGCTCTAGCATTTTATCTTCTAATAACATCTGAAGAGTAACACCTCTTCCTGGAATGGACTTATTTCCAGCCTGTGCTTCACACTCCTGTAATATTATTGTTCATAAATATTTATGTAAACATTTAATTGTTTTTTTTCTGAAGTACATACTAATAAACTATGGAAAAATATGAATTTCTTAATGTTTCATATTAAAAGGAATCAAATACTCATGAAACTGCATACATACATATATAGAGTATTTATTTATTTTATGTTTTTATATATTTTTTTATTATTACTTAAAGAAATTCTTATAGCATAGAAAATAAATATCAGTCAGTCATCAGTAAGTAATGTACAATATGAATTTGATGACTGAAACAAGCACTGAATTAAAAATACCTCGTCGGAAAATTCTTCGCCACTACCCATTTCTTCTTTTTCTTCACCAGGATGCTCTTTCAATACTTCATTAGACTTTTCAGTTTTATTTACATTAGGTATTTGGCCGGTGTTTGGCGTTCCCTCTATTGACGTATTGTTGTAAATAGTGCCAGACATTAAAGCAGCAGCCAAATGAGATGTTTGTAAATCCATATCATTTATAAAAGTTTTACAATAAAAATCTGTATTAAAAAATGTGTGGATTACGCGTTAAAGAGTTAAATAAAATTTCTAAAGCAGCAGATTACTGTATTAAGTAATCAGTAATTTTGAAATGAGATCTATATAGGGCGAAATTTAAAAACATTTAAGAGAATCTAGAATAATATTAATCATTATTCTGTTGTATAGTTTTAGTAATTATGAAATATAAAGATTACAACTTCGTTTTCATTTAACAAAAACTATTATGTTCATAAATACATTCTGGTACATACAATATTCTGTTGCTCTGTGCTCTTTGGGCCTTTTTGTCAATCATTTATGTCAAGTCACACGTCCTATTATGTTATATCGCAATATCACACCTTATTGGTTTATGTCGATATCCAACTTGCTAAAAAAGTAATGAAGTATTATATTGATTTACGAATTATTGATGACCATAGTAAACAGATTCAAATAAATTAAATATCGCTCGCATATTATTCGGGGAAGCCATAATGTTGACGAGAAAAACACTGTTTCAGATTGCTCAGAAAATCTTGCATGGCCTTTAGTTTTTCATATATAATATCATATATGAAAAACTAAAGGCCAATTTGCATACAATAGTCTAAATATCCAATAAAAAATATGGAGCCGTTTATAAATCTTCTCGTCAATTATTGTATAATAAAATTATACTGAATTATATTTCAAAGCAGTATAAAAAAACCAGAAATGACTTCGACTACATAATACTTAGTTTTTATATTTTTATTAATATCGATATTAATTAAAATTATAAAAGTCAATAGATACCTACATCTTTATGATTCTGATGACATTTGAGCACAGATCTGAAGAATACACTGTGTTGTATACTTCTGTAGTTAGCATTCGACAGCACCACTGCAGTTGTCTTGAAATCGCAAACTTGATTATATATGCTATCTTTTTCATCTTTGTTTACTATTTCATGTACGTAAGTAAGTAAGCCATATATTGTTGCGACATGCACAGAATACATTGTTTCGTTACACTGTAGTCAGTAATATTCACAAAATCTGCTAATTGATTTCTATTTCTACTATTTTGTTGCAATTATTTTATGTAAATTAAGTATTTTGAAACATCAAAGCGAAGTAATATTGTATTTAGAGAAATATGGCTGTTGTAAAAACCCCTGTACTAAAAGTAATACTGTGTGGTGAATACGGGGTGGGTAAAAGTTCCTTGTTTCGTCGCTTTATTAACAATACTTTTCTTCCTAATTCAGATAGAAGATCGACATTAGGATTAGACCATTTTGAAAAGTTGTATAAAGTAGGTGACAAGGATGTTAAGGTTCGTCATAATAATTAGTTAAAAAATAACTGGCTAAATTGTTAACTGATGCTTTAGTAAAAAAAATATAATTTTAGTTACAGCTATGGGATACAGGTGGTATGGAAAGAATTGCCTCAGTCACTTCAAGTTACTATAAATTTGCAGAAGCAGCTATTTTAGTATTTTCTTTGGACAATGCCTCCTCATTTCATGTGTTAAGTCAACATTTATTGGATATAGTGACATATGCAGAGAATGCTAAAATATTTCTATGTGGAAATAAGTCTGATTTAGAAGGATCAGCCCCACAAGTTACTGATGCTGATATTGAAACTTTTTGGTAATTATACTAATCATGTTAACTAATCTGTAATCTATCATATATATCTATAGTTTACTATTTTAAAATATTAAGTATTTATTTTTAAATATTCAAGTTTAATGCAAATAAAGATGATACCAAACTGAATTTGGTCACTGGATTACTTATAGAATAATCTTATTCAAAACAATAAACATTGATTTCCAATAAAATTTATATTTCACAGTTCATTTTATGTTTCAGTGAGCAGTGCCATAATTTGATTAGCACTACATATAAAACATCATGTAAAACAGGCAAAGGAGTGGAAGAAATGTTTTCAGATATTGCACTGCAGTTAGTTGAGACAAATAGGTCTAGGATAGAACTGCAAACATTAGACCATAACAGTTTCAAAATAACCAATCCAGACCCTCCTGAAGAACCATCATGTAGTTGTTGATTGTAATTATACATAATGCATGCTGTAACTTAATTCTAATAATGTGATGTAATATTTTTTTCAATATTTTCATATTTATATCATTACATGTAATAGCTCAAATTTTTAACATTACAGCAAATAGTTGCTGGTAATTTTTTAAACATATTTTTAATTATAATAGAAACAGGACCTGTGGTCTAATATTGAAGACATGTTATAGATCGACTTTTGTATTGCAAACATTGCAACTAATGTTACATACAGAGGTGTAGGCACTGCGAAAAAAAAATCGCCAAAGATTGTGTGTGCTGTGAAATTGTTAATAGTAATAAGAATGATTTGTGTTGTAGGTTTGGAGATAAAATGTAGTGCAGAGGAGACAATTTGTTTTCATTAAGTCAATGATATAAATAAAAGGTAGTTGTTGCCTGCATTCTCAATATGTTATAGCTTTAAATATTTATAGCAAAGCTTTAATGGTGGCTGGATAGAGGTAAAATTTGTTTTGTTATTAATTTGTACAATTTTTTCTATATATCATAATAGATAACTAAACATGATACTTATACAGGCTTTAAGCAACCTTTGATTAAACCTGCATTAATCATCATATATTGCTCTAACTATATGAATATTACCGAAATAATAAAAACAAAATAAACTGTTTTATACATCGATTAATTAGCTTTTTTATATTTTGTATTGTCACAATCTCTACTATTTTGATCTGTATTAGTCCCGTGGAAATCATATTCCTACTAATATAAATGTAAAACTTGGTGAAAATATTTGAATGTTTGTTATTTCACCATATGGGCAAAGCTGTGGGATACTGTTCTCATAATTATTAATATTGTGTATAGTGATACCTGTTATATTATTATATTCAATCTTTTTCACTATTCATAGTAAATGTTAATTTAGAACTTATTCCCTGTTTGTAAAGTAGATGGTATTAATAAATAACAACATTGATATTACTAAGCAGTTTAATTGAACAAGTTATACATATATTTCATAACAAACAATTAGAGTAATTTATCCAATATTTTTTGACATTATGAACATGAAACAAAAAATATACTGACATGTTCATTAAAGTACAATAAAGCTACATCATTCTGGTCATATACTTTACTCTACATCCTTTTGGTTATATACATTCTTGTTTATTTTAAATTGAAATATTGAAATTCTATATTGAGAATATTCACAAGATATTTTTTTTGTTAACAGTTTAGGAGCCATCCATCATCAATTACATCAATCAACTTTCATGTTTTCTTAGCCCTATAGGGAAGGGCTATAAAAACATGACATTTGTTCTCTTTGTTGTTCATTAGTGCCACAGCCACAGAGATTAGAGAACTGAGAATCTCATACTCAAATGCAAAGTAAAAAATTGGCTGTCACTTCGTAGTTTTTACAGTGTCCACTATTTGAGTAAAACAAATACTTTCACATAATTTGCATGTCTATATGGTAAATATTTATAATTTCATGTAGCATCATATCTACAGTACCAATATTTCACAAATAAAGCTAAATACCAGCTGAACTGAAATACAGTTCAGTTGGTATTTGTAAGAGCCCACCCTCCTTAGTGTGACACCAAAAATTTTAAATATTATGAAAATATTTTTAAACTTGTTCAAACTTGTAGACATAATGCCATTTTTTTAATATGACGTCACGAAATTTACTACTCTCCCTGAGCCTTTGTCACACTATACAATCCTGTTACTGTATTACCCTCCCTCCCTCTTAGCGTGTGGGATAATTTATGGATGGCCATTCATACTTTTCTAATATAAAAGAAACTATACCTAGGTTGTATTATGTTATATCTCATAGCTCAGTTATTTTATTGTTTACAAAATAATTTGATTATGTTGTTGATTGTCATCACAATCATAATACTAAATAATAATTTATATTTTGCCAGATCTTTATCAGGTCTATTTCTATGATTGAATATTAATGCTGTGACCATTGAATTGTTTTAATATCGACACCTTCTTGTACCATTTCCCACAATGGGCTCATTTCTCTAAGTCGTTCAACATGCCTGATTGTCTTTTCAGCTGTGTAATCAACTTCTTCAATGGTTGTAAATCTTCCCAGCCCAAATCTAGAATTAGTAATAAAAAGTAGCATTAATAATGTACATATATCAACCGGTCAGTAATTAAAATTGTATGTGATGGATTTTAAAGACAAACTAAATATAGTTACTAATCAAGTTATAGAAACATAATTTTTGAAATCATAAGATTAACTTATGGGGATAAACTTTGTATAAACATATATGTATAAACTGCTTATCACCAGAAATATGAGACCTGTCACATATAGGCGTATAACAGGCGACAGTTGCCACTTCCCATTAATTTTAATGGGTTGAATGTTGGTAAATTTATATATATAAAGTTACTTTCATGCAATTTGTAATATAGTAAAAATGTTATTTAAAAATGTACCTGATTGAACTATGTGCCAAGTCTTCATCAGTGCCAATGGCTCTTAACACATATGATGGTTCAAGTGATGCTGACGTACATGCTGAGCCACTTGACAAAGCTACATCTTTTAGAGCCATTAATAGTGATTCACCTAAAATTTAACAATATATAAGTTAAATATGAAACAATTTTGACTATAATTCAATTACTTAGGAAAACAGTAGCAAAGTCATGATTATTATGACATTATTAGAATAACTTACATGACTATTTCTTATTACCAGAATGCTGCAACTGATTATATTTAGTATGTAACAGAATATATAAATTAACAGAAAAAATCAAATATATACCTTCTACAAATGCAAATGATAAATTTACACAGCCTGGATAAGATTCCTTGGGATCTCCATTTCTTATAACATGTGTTAGTTTTGAATTTATTTTATTCAAAAATCTTTGAGACAATTTCTGCATCCAAGCATGATCATAGGCCATTTCACGACTGGCTAACTCACAAGCTGCTCCTAGTTTTATAAACAACAAATTTAATTATATTATACAAGAAACATAAATGTAATAATTATAACAGTAAAATATGAGTTGTTTTTAAATAAATAAATTAGTTTTTACCTAATCCAACAGCAAGTGGGGTTGGTACTGTACCACTTCTCATTCCCCTTTCCTGTCCACCACCACTTTGGATAGGTTCAACCCTAACTCTAGGCCTACGTCTAATATATAAAGCTCCAACGCCCTTAGGACCGTAAATTTTGTGACCAGAAATTGACATCAAATCTATGTTCATTTTGTTGACATCTATAGGAATTTTCCCCAATGCTTGAGCAGCGTCAGTGTGAAAAAATACTTTTTTACTTTTACATATTGCTCCAATGTCTGCAATGGGTTGTTTCACACCTGAAAATTAATTATTTTAAGGAAGTATTAACAAATTGTAGTCATGTTGAAAAGGTCACTAATAAATTGTAGTTTTATTTATTGTAGTATACCAACAAATAATTGTCCTTCATTTACAGGTGACCCAAAGAAAAAATATTACTACACACTAGCAAATATTTACTACAAATTAGTGTCATTATTACATTCAACTAAGCAGCAACATAGTATAAGAAAATAGTTAATGAAAATGAGTAAGGGTGGTAAGCATTATTTAAATATTAAAAATTTGTACCTATTTCATTGTTGACAGTCATAATTGATACCAAACTTGTCTCTGGAGTAAGTGCATTTTCTAATTCCTTTAATTTGATAATACCATTCTGTTCCACAGGTAAGTAGGTAACTTTAAAGCCTTCTCCTTCTAAGGCACGGCATGAATCCAGAACACATTTATGTTCCTAAAAATAGTGCAAATACTTTGACTGTGATCCATAATAATATTATACAAGGGTAAAGTTTGCAAGTTTGGATGTTTAGAATTATATATAGTAGTACTGGCTATACAACATCTCCATATCTGTGTTGCCATGACTAAATTATTAAACTGAATTAATAATCATAGTAACCAGAAGTCAGTTATGGGAATCAATTTTGTGTACACAGACCTAGTCATGGGTAGTAATAAATAACCTGGAATAAAGTAATTCTTACAATTTGTGTGGTTACAATATGCTTCTTCCTTGGTGCATAAAAACGAGCAACACCTTTGACAGATATGTTATTAGATTCAGTTGCTCCTGATGTGAATATAATCTCTTTTGGATCGGCTCCTATTAGTTGAGCGACTTGTTCTCTAGCTTTTTCAACAGCACTTTCACTTTCCCAACCATATGCATGTGTTCGTGAATGGGGGTTACCATGATAGCTCACAAGATAAGGCAGCATAGCATCAAGTACCCTTGGATCCTGTGAATATAGATTATGGATGTAATGAAAAATTGCTCTTAACATAATCACAGAACAGAAGTTGGATAAAACTTGACGATAAGTAAACAACCAGAGGGAGGTAGCTCACAGTATTTTTAAATTATCAATATTTTGAACATACAGATAATGCAAATGTCAATAAGATTTTAATCTATACAAATAAATATAATTGAAATAGGACCTGTTTATTGGAAATTAACAGCTTTTCACTAAATGCATATGTAAGTATATAAAGTAATTACATAAACAAATTAATTTAAAAAATATTGTCTGTCTATTTGTCATTGTTAATCTCCAAAATGGCTGGACCAATTTTGATGAGACTTTCACTCTAAGATAGTTATAAGGAGTAGCATATGCTACTTTATATTTAGAAATTTCACACAGATGCAGTTACCATGTGTAACACTTAGTTTTTTAATAAAATTAATGTAACAAAGTATGACTATTTATTGTCTCTGATAAATCTATTTTCAATATTAATGGCTTTCTAATAATACATGTAATAATGACCATCACATCTAAATTCCATACCCTGTTACAAGGTGCCTAATACAAAATGAAGTATATTGAATTGTATGTAACAGAATTAATTAGCTTACCACAGGAGTTGTGGCTTGAGCATCAAAATAAAGTGGTCGACCAAAATCTTCATGCTTTAATGCAAATTTTTCATCAACTAAAAAATTATAAAATATTTAAGATTCAGATAACAGTGTTTCTTCAATACTTACATGTTCATTGTAGAAGCAATTTAATTACACTAAATAAAAATTAAAATGATGCATTTTTGTATTTAAAAATAGATGATCTCCTACAATTAGTTGTATTTAAAAAATAACAACTACAACCAATGACCTTGTATCATTTGTTTTTAATTTTGATAATACAGATTTGAAATAAGTTGTAAAAGTATATGGGTATGGTTCTAAAAGTCTTCTTGGTTAATTAGTAGTCCTAAATGTTAGAATGGCTTGGAATGCAGTTCATAATATGCTTTTATGTCGAGCATGTTCAATCATTAATGTAACTTCATTTAAATTGGTTACATAGGATCGTGTAGGTTAGTTAAGACGGATATTGATTTAAATTACAATGAATGTCCGGATATCGACTTTCTAGATTCGAAATCTTCTAAAGAGAAAATTGCTTTTTCTGTATTAAATTATTATACAGTTATATAGTTTCTGATTGATGATTGCATCATAAAATGGACTTAAGTAAAAACCGGCGTTGTTTACCTTTGTTTGAGAAGTATTTTCCGCATTCTAGCGTTAGCTGACTGTTATAATCTTTAGGCGGTATTTTTTTTATAGATTTTTTAAGGAATATGGGAAATAAACCTCTCGATAAACAGAACATTTCGTAATTTTGTTAATACGCAATAAAACAGTTTAATTTTTTTGACATTACTTTCTATTGGAATTCTATTGCCATCACACAAACTATCACAGATCAAAAAATATTTTTGCTTGACACTTCATCTGACAGCGCGTCAGATACAAATATTTATTGCTTATTAAAGTTTGTTCACATTATCGTAACGAATGGACAAATAATACGATTTTTTTTATTTTAATGGAGATTTTATTACCGTAATTTGTGAATAAAACATACTTTAAGAAAATAGAGTTGAAAGTTGGTCAAAGCTTTGGTTTAAATTTCACTATTACACTATTATTATAAAAATAGTATAATGAATGAAATGCATTAGAGATATATATATATATATATATATGACTTCTAATTATAGAGAAATTAATAAGATATTATGTTTATAAATCATTTATTCAAATATATCATCATACGTTACTAAGGAACGTTTTGCGTCTTTAGGCGGAGGCGGATTTCGAGGGGAGGCTGCAGGCGCCCATGTACCTGTTGATGGTGGTCTTCGAGAATTCGTCACGCGCCAGCCCTCGTCGGATCCTTCTAGTGCTGTTTGTGCATGATTTGCAATTTCTACAGAATCAAATGTTAAGAATACCCTGGAAATTTATAAAATATCATTAGATAACCACTGATTGTAATTTATTTCAGTTTGGAAGTGAGGGGCACTATTTTTTGGGGCAATAATAGATATCCTTTTGAATGATATCTATTTAGTGTTTATAAATAACATTTTAAATAACATTATTTCAATGAAGATAAAAAGATTGTATAAGAGAAGTTATAGTTTTTGAATGCAATTTCTACAGAATCAAATGTTAAGAATACCCTGAAAATTAATAAAATATCATTAGATAACCACTGATTGTAATTTATTTCAGTTTGGAAGTGAGGGGCATTATTTGTATGGGCAATAATAGATATCCATTTGAATGATATCTATTTAGTGTTTTTAAATAACATTATTTCAATGAAGATAAAAAGATGGTATATTTTGAAATTGAAGATTTTCTAACAATTTTATCTATTCTGTCTCAAAATTATTTTTATGTTACTTAAATTAATAGTATAATGAGGAAAGATATTTTACATAATTAAATTATTTTTCTATTATAATTGATTATTAAAAATTATTACATAATAATTCAAATACATACTTATCTTCATCTGGCTCTTGTATAAATGTGAATGGCTCATATGTTGCAAGAATACGTCTTATTGCTTCTTCTGTAATACGAGCACCTGATACTTGCAGTGTGGAACTTCGACCACCACTACCACTACCACTGCCACCACCACCGCCACTGCCACCGCTTGCCACAGGAGTGTCACCACCACCACCAAGATTTCTTGGGGTCTTTTCTTCTCTAAAACATAAAAATATGTTATGATTTAAACTAATTTAATGTTAGAGAACTATTATATATACAAAAGTATAACATGTCTTCTCTTCTTATGTCAGTTTACTTGTAAGTCTACCCATACTAATATTATTAATTTGGGAAGTCTGCAGTTAATAATGTATAGTAATTTTTAAATATCAGTATATACTCCTATGCAGTATTACACATACTATATACAGTTATCAATAATAAATTGTTTCCTGTAATAAATATCTATATTCTCATTGAATAGAACTTAAGGAAAAAGTAAATTAATAATTTGTTTGAAAAGTTATTATATAAGCACTTACTGAATAGAAATACCATAGAAACACATTTATTGTAATCTTGAGGGTCTTAACTGTATATCATACCATTTTTTGTAACAGTATAAGTGAAAATAGCAAGCAAAACTAATTAATAACATATGTTGTATTCATAATGTATTTTATTTTTTTTATTTAATTTTTACAATTATCTGTCAAAACTATATATTTGTATTGAGGTGAAATTAATTTAGTAATATGTTTTATATTGAAACATTTAGCAGATCAATTGCAATATTCAATATTATTCTTAATTTTTTATTGTACTAGTCTCAATATCACTAGACAGTCTATCTATGACTAGGTTAGTGACCTCTTTATTCACCTTTCCTGTAAGTTCTATTGAAACTGAGTAAACATATAATCATGTAACAATTGACTCATATAAATATATAGTTTAATTAAATCATGTATTTTGATATATAAAAAATAATAATTCTGAAACCTCAGACTTGATAATGAAGTTATTCTAGTAAGTATTTATGGAAATTCTACAATTAAGAACTTACTTTTCACGGGCTGTAACAAAAGAGTCATATAAATATTTAACCCGAGGAGCTGCTTTTTCTTCTGGTGGTGGTGGTTCTTGTGAGGCACTAAATGGCTGGTATGAGGCCACTCCACCAGCGGCTCCTGCGGAACCACTTAGTTTTCGCTCTCTACCTGCAAGTGCATAAATTATATGTTCTGTATTTAGGCTAGGAGAAATTAATAGATATATAAAACCTCAAAATCATACTATTATATTTTTATTCCATAGAAAAACAATGTTAAAGATGGTATAGTTTCTTGAATAAAAATTAAATTAGTTTGATTAAATTCTATTCTATCCATAAATATATTATTTAACATATCAATAAATTCTGAATAATTCAATGGTGGCAAAGATACTAATATCAATAAATATTGAAACTCTGATCGTTTTTATATCTGAAAGCTGTAAATTTATGAATAGAAATAAAAATAAAATATTTATAGATATAATGAAAAATACCTGCTCGAGGCCGCTTAAAAGTAGCATTTTGGGGTTGTGGAGGAGGACTTTTTATTGCTTGTATTGCACCGCTTTTAATTAATTTACGAGCGATTTCACGTGCATCGCGAGCTTCTGTAGGTCGCTTAGGCAAAATAGGTTTCTCTGGTTCTTGCTTAGGCGCCTTTAGTGCCTGTAGAGCTTTTTTCTTCTTTTTCAGTTTCTGATACTTTGCTTGTAGCATTAACTCTTCCTCAGTCAAATTCGAAGGAAAATGCAGATATACCATATTCACGCAGTCCCGAGAACTTGGCAATCGATTTTTAGGAAAAAGTTTAATTTTATCAAGAAAAAACTTGATGTACACCTATACTTTAAAAACTTTATATAATAGACTGTAATTCAAAACCTGACTTTTGAAAGTAATTATTAATTAAATATATTTTTTTAAAAGGTTATTTTCACACCGAAACAAACAACTTTTACAAATTACCTAAAGTAAACACAGAAAATAGTGTTAAAAAAGACATTTGACAAGTCAGTTGTCAATATTGACTACGATACTGACAGACAGCAAGTTAACGTTTTGTGACTGACAAATTATCTGTGTCGCCCTTGTAATATATCATATATTACATATACAAAAAAGTGTATTTTTTTCTAGAATATATATGCAGTCGTATGAAGGCACTAGCTTCCTCAAATAGACCACGATAAATTTGCCACGATGTGGTAACGGACCTCACTCATACTCATCCTATGATCTATTGATACCCCATCAGCGTATACATACATTTATATATAACGTTAAGCAGGCGTGTAGACTATTCTATTATTATTCATAAAAAACAGTATCAGTGGGGGAGCTCTAGTGAAGGGCAAAAGCATGACGATCAAAGTAGATTATCCAGGGCAATCATGGTGGCGAATTTATCAAGGATAATACAACAGTTTCCAGGAGAGACTGCGAGGAGGATAAGCTGACAAGCTATATAGCTACTATGTGGCCTACAGTTTCCATTACTAAAAAAGTCCCCCCTGTTGACACAGTTGTAAAAATATTTATATGTAATTTCCGCGTGACACAACACGGAGATAAAATATATATCTATGTACTTCATAATATTTATTACCTATTATAACGTAGATCTACTCTTCGCGTCTATTAGATGTTCTAATAGTAGAAGGCATGCACAATGTTTTTACCCCTATGGGCATATACGCCCATAGGGGTAAAAACATTGTTGGGATTAAAAATATTGACAAACCATTGTCGTACTTCCCTCACTATGTACCTACTTACAACGAAGTATGGGAAAGCGTGAAAGAACATTTCCAATATGAGGACTGACTATGATGACCGTTTGTAGCTCGTTTTTTGAAGAGTTTAATTTATTTTAGATTAGTACTCAGTTTAGTAGTGTAAACGTGGATAATGAAATAATAATATACTCATAGTAGCTATGGTAGTACCTACGTACATGAATACACGCGTAGTTATTGAATACGGAATAAGAAGTATGTAGTAGATATTGTAAATTATTATATAGTACCTATTTACCAGTACAATTAGATGCTTGTGTAGGTGTGCTTGTTTAATGGATGATGATTATGCCATGGTACACCCGTCTACGCTAACGGTTTACGCTGGCGGGGCACCAATGGAGGATGGTAGGATGATTATCAGGTCAGGTCAGTTAGCGCATCGTAGTAAATTTATCGTGATGGTTTCCAGGGGGAACCGCGTGGTAATCAATGTGACATGGTACATTCCTAGCAATGGGGTTATTAATCCACATTACTAACAATCCCTAACCTTCCCCCCACTAACTCCTATGATACCTACATGCAACACATACAATACGCTAAGCTAAATAGCTTTATTATCAATGTTTTTTGCAAAGGTAAAAGAAAAAGCTTAGCTATGTAGTTTACATTGTGTGTTATAATTATTTAGCAAGGAACATTGACCATATAGCGATTTATCTACTATAAATTCCCTTACCTCCCGTTTGTAGGTTCAATCCAATGTGTATAATATAAATAATGTGCTAATTAATACTCATGATTATTTATATTCGTTGGAGAGTTTTCCATGTTTATATAATATATGTACCTACCCACTTACAAAAAGATGTACAAATTTCAGTAGGTAAAGCAGTAAATATATTTAAGAAACTACCCAAATTCTTAGGTGTATTATGTAAGTATCTACTCACTGTCTGTAAACTATATAAAAGTGAAAACAATTAAATAAATTATTAGCTAATAAATAAACTTTTTAACTCATGCTACCTACGAGTACCTATGTGCTTGCCGTTTTGTTTTTATTGTGTAACGATGATGCATCTATCATTAGCGACGAATTGTAATTCTTATAAATTTTCCAAGAAATTAATTCTACTTACTTGTTTTGTACTAGTTATAGGTTAATTGGATTACTCACGGAATGATTTTAACAATAGGTAGTCGCGTATATATAGCCATGTATTTTGACCTCATATACTCGCATAATGAGTAATTGACGCATTGTGATTCGTTGATTCGTTAGTTGCTTCCACCTTTTAGAAGTACAAGTGAGGTCTTGAAGTTATTTATTATTTAATTTATACAAACTTCTTTTCCAAAATGAAGCGCATTTTATTATTGTCGGTTTATGTAGTGGTTTATTTAATAGTGAATACAGTTGCATTACCTAAAGATAGCAGTGTTCTTAAAACGGAAGATGTGCAGAGTCATTATGACTCACCCAACAAGATAGATCGATTGGGTTCCGAAGAAGTTCTTGAAACTGGTATGTATTCAATACACAATTTGCAATCTATTCTATCTACATTTACGTTAAGTTACCGAAAGGCGAAAGCAAAGACGCCTTACAAATATATCTGACTTTATCCGTTTTAATGTATAATCACAGATAAGATACTCTTACAGTATTATAAAATATTAATAAAGAACAAATAAATTGCATTGTGTGCCAGATTATTAGTTTAACATACTGAGAAAATTACTTGTTTAGATAGTAAGAAATATCATTCATAGATGCGTGAAGAAATTTATGAAAGTTTTAAGTAGGCAGTTATACCCGCAAACACATAGGTACCTAACGTATCACAAGTTTAGAAGTAGAAGTATTCTTCTGGTAGAAGTTTCTGTATAAATTAGTACTTGATTAAAATATTCTTTATCATTCACGCCCATTGTCGCATGGGAATAGCTACGGAGCTGCGCGTGTATTTTTTCTTCTATTAGTTTAAAAGTTTGTGTAAAGTATCTACATAACAAAACATTAAAAAATAATTGTTAATATCCTTATTACTTTGATAAAATACAACTATATTAAATAAATTATAGTATTTTGTGTAAACTCTTTAGTAGGTACTTTACCACAGTGACTTTACTATTTACCAATATACATGTAGTAACTGTTACATACCTAGAACAAAAACATTAAATATTGCTGCTCTGCACGCTTTATTATATTGTTGTATGCATAACTTTTTATTATTTTAATTGATTTTGGAGTTTTTGTTACCAAACATGTCAAGCTCATTATATCGAATATAATTATATAAAGAAAAAATAAATTAAATCGACAGAGAGAATCTATTTATCAAATTGTTTTTATCAGTGGACACAAACGCAGCGTAATCTCAACAGAAGGGGCATGTATGCTCCGAATAATACCCACATAAATTTTCTTTATTTCAAAAGATTTTTATTGTTTTATTATAATTGTTTGGTGTTCAAGTATTCAGTCAAGTATACCTATAAATATTCTCAAATATTTTTTTCCAGAACCGAGACTTCCAAACCGTGTTCCATGTGATTTTGAAGAAGCAACAGAGGATACTATATGTCAGGAACATTGCTTGCCGAAAGGATACTCATATGGACTTTGCATTAGCAAAACCTGCAGCTGCGTCTAATAATTCCAGTTATTAATACTTACAGATACTTATTTATATAACAACTGTTGGCCCTTAGTCAATTCAAACAAATGACATATTTATAAATATCTTATTTTTAACAAAACCGGTGTTATATGTAAAGAATAAAAATATTTTCAGTACCTATGAATCTTTATTTCATTATGTGATTTTTCGAGATGAAGGAAACAAAGTGTGTTCTTAATTTTAGAAACTTAGGTGTGAGATAAGATAGTTAGAAAAATTATTATAAATAATAACAACTTTCAAATACATAAAATTATGTTTTTATTTCATTAGCTCAAAGTAGTTTAGTGCTAAAATGATATACGACATAATGTTTTATTATTCACTTTTACTTAAAAATAATGTACTTATTTTGTAATGGTCCATTAGGTGTGTTGTAAGCCTTGAGATACTTCCCACCTAGGCACCTCACTTATCAATTCCGCCTTTCTCAATTTATTTACAATTGCTATATATAATAATACTTACTAATGAATATGACTATAAAAAGTAGTTCAGTAGGTAATATATTGATTGCTAGTATGTTTTTAAAACCACAATTAATGAAGCTGTATTTTATACTTATATAAATTTTTAAGTGACTTACTCGACCGTTTACTTAGATTTTTCACAATTGTTCACAGTATCTATACGATTAAGAGCAGGCATTTTAGCTTTAACGTGTATGTTTTCAGAACATATAAGATCGGCCTCTTGTTTAATTTTGTTCCAACTGTAAGTTACATCATCTATAGTTGTGAGTCGGGAACAAATTACGAAACGAATGATATATCTACCCCTGTATGTAGCAGCTACCATAAAGATCTCTTTCCTCTCAGTCACATTTTCCAATAATCTCTTTGTAATATTATCTCCAGCTTTTAATCTAAAACACACTAATCCCATAGCTGGTTCTGGTTCTACTAAAAATCTCTCATCAGATTGTACTAATTTCGCGAAATGCTGAGCAAGACTAATTTGGCCTCGAATATGTTCTCTGAGTCTTTCCGCACCATATATTCTCATAACAGTCCATAATTTTAGTGATCTGAATCTTCTACCTAATGGAATTTGCCAATGCCTATAGTCAGGAATCTTTGTATCCGTTTTTATATCCGATAAGTAGATACGTTGCACATCAAATGTGTTTATTAAATCGTTAGCGTTTTTCACCCACATAGCAGAAAGGTCAAAATTTACACATAGCCACTTGTGAGCATTAACATCAAAGGAATCAGCAAATTCAACACCCTTCATTAAGTGCCTGTATTCTGGACAGATAAAGGCAGCGCCAGCATATGCAGCATCTACATGAAGCCAAACATTTTGTTCATTACAAATTGGGCCTAATTCATACAATGGATCAAAAGCGCATGTTCCAGTGGTGCCTAGATTTGCAATCACGTAGCATGGAATTAGACCTTGAGCACAATCTTCATCAAACGCATTTTTCAATGTTTCTCCTCGTAACCTGCCATCTGGGTCAGATTTTAATAATCTCATTTTCATTGAGCCCAATAATCCTGCTTTTTCAACTGAAGAGTTGCATTGATCTGATGTATAAGCTACAAGTCGAGATTTAATTTCATCTTCATCCATGCTGGGATTGACTTTCATCAGTCTTCGAACTGTTTTTTCCTTCGCAGCAAGTAATCCTACTAATGTAGCTTCACTTGCAGAACCCTGTAGAGTATAACGAAATACGAATTAAATATTTGGTGTCACCACAAACTATTGTTTGAAAAACAGGTATAAGTAGTATTTTCGACATTCAGACAAAGAAAGATTACTTCTTATTTTGGTATTACCGATTCCTGTTGGTCACAGTACGAGTAGTAGTTACAAATACAATGTAATATTGTATATTTTTATACAGTTGATAAATATCATTTGTAATATTAAACTATTCGTAACATTCTAACATCGTCTCAGTATGTCTCTTTTTTAGAGGATTTTTCTCATGAAAACATTTATGTTGTAGGATGAGATAATTGCTCAGCATACAGACTACATACACAGCATACAGTCATAGTAAGGAGTTGATTAGAAAAAAAAAGTTCAAGGCCTCGATATATTACAGTATACAGTGCCGCTTATAAACCATACACATATATGTATAAGGAAGGTAATAGTATAATCGACATAAAAGTTACTGGATACTTAAGTTTTAATTACAGATTGTTTTATACTTACTTGAATAACACCTCCACCAGAGCCTGGAGAACAGTTCAGAAACTCTTCAGGAAGTCCCAGTAACTTTCCAAGCCAATTTAGTGTCACTACTTCCAACTCGGTGCACGCTGGACCTGACATCTAAAATTATAAAATAAACATAATACTATAATGTAATCATTATAAGTATGTTATTAACTTTCTTGAATTCATGTTTCAGCTGAATACTTCAACTAACTATAAAATACAGGTAGGTTAGGTAGATAATAAAATAACAAGAATGCATTATATATTAATCGTAACAATCCAGTAGTGAAGTCTTTTTTAATTGGCGGTGGCGGAAGATGATAGATACTAATCTCTCCCTAGTGAGAAATAATTGCTTGTCATGATGATGATGACAATAATGATGAATGTGTCATAAAGGTACACAGTCTAAATGCCAATAATATTTATATTCACAGGAATGCTAGAGTTACATAGATATAGTAAATTTATATAATAACTGTTCAAAATCTACCCTGTACCATCGTAAGCACAGATTATTATATTAGAGTCCGTTAGTTTCTGTTCCCGCGCTTTTCCTTCTACCCCTTACCTATGACAGAACTGACAGTACGGCGGCCATGACGCGCGCGCATTTTTTGTATATTAAAATAAATTGAAACTGAGTTAAACCTACTGTGAAACTGGAAAGCTAGCGAAAATATCTTCGAGATCCTGAAGCCCAAGAAATCCGCAGAACCATACAGGTACGAGATAGACGCTTCCACATAAAGTATTTTCCCTAACAATAACAATATCACAAAAAAAAATATTTGTTAAAAATTAGTAGATATGTATTGATAAAAAATACTAACCCAGCTGAATCCTATAACACCTAAACCGTCGGAAAGTATGTTGCCCACAATACTTGCATATGATGAACCAGTAGGGTAGAAGGCATGAAATCTTGGAGAATGCCAATGCGTTACCTATAAAGGATATTTAAATAAATATAATAGAGAAAAGTAAAGTTAAAATAGTTACTTTAATTATACGAAAACAGATATTATTTATATCTGTTTTTGTAACATTTATTCATAGTTACTGAAATCAAGGCTAAATTAATCACCCAACAATAAACTAGGTGGTCACATATCTACTGGCCATTAGTGTGCTTTCAAAGAATTGATCTCTGGAAATGCTATCTCAAATGCTTTCAAAGAAGTTTAATGTCATATAACAATGGAGCTTCACGGTATTAAAATAGATTTTATAAAGATTTTATTTATGCAGATTAGTCAAAATTACCACTACTATAGTATATAATTTTAAAATTATTCTATAATTATAATATTTGATTTCTTTTTAAAGTCAAAGAATTTAGGCCAACTTTTTCTATTGTGTGGATACGTCTTCAAACGTCTTTACAGCAAAGACGAGAGGCTGTGTTCTCACATAATGGGTAATAATCTCTTATTACCCACTAAAAACCCACACGGTTTATCTACGAACGTTATTGCTGGAGTTGCGAGGATGATAGAATTTAAAAACTTCTGTTTTTTAGAGTCGACAATAAATGTTCATAGATTATTAGTTAGTTATATATTATATAGTAGTATATGTATAAATGTTCATAGATTATTTGTTAGTTATATATTACATAGTTCATATATTATATTACTCACACCAGGCATAATAGTTTCATTGAAGTCCTTAAGCACATCAGACCATTCTTCTGGCTGTTCTGGTGCATCTTCTGGAAGAGCTTTAAGTAAATATCCAGGTTCCACCGATGGGAGGACATCTCTGTTGGAAAAAATAATGAAGTGTTTAATCTGCACGAAGCAAACAAAAACAATCTCTGAATCACGGGCTCATATTTTCATTTCTAATATTTTTTTATTTTAAATATGGATAGCAGATATGACTGTAACTATTTGGATTAAAATTTGTTTTTTAATAGGGTATTCCTTTTCAAGTTTATCTATACGTACATATGCCTATTCCATATATACGCGAATTATAGACTTAATAAAAAAATAGATCAATAAGGTAAACTTAAAATGTATTTATTTAAAAAGTTATCAGCGTAAGTACCTTAATTTCAACTATTTCATCTGCCCGAGCATCTGTGTTCAGGTTGTCAGTTAGTTTTTTATAGTTAGTAGTTATCATTTTATCAGTCAGTTTTTCATATATATGTAATGATTATATTATATATGAATTAGAGTTTATAGTACCATATTTACAATTAATTTAACGTACTTGCATCAAATCAATAACCATTTTCGTCGTCGTTCCAGTCAATTATAAATAAATTTAAGTTACGACCACTTTATTAATTAAAATTAATCAAGTTTGCTGAACTGTTAAAAAATATAGCAATGAAGCTGTCCAGAATACATGAAGAGGTAAAGATGAGTCCTTTTCGAGTGAAACCAGTGCTGTGCTAATTTAGAACTCAATTAGACTAGTTTAGCACAGTACTGATAAGACACAAGTCCCATGACTTGTTGCCGAACAAATTATGAAAAAACAAATGAGGACACCATTGCCTAGCATTGGAATATAAATAAGACTGCAACAAATAAAGGAACGCGAAGAGGTTTATATGATTTTGAGATGGGAGAGTATTTACAAAGGATGGTAATAGAGGGTGCTCCCGCCTATACTACAACGCTTATGGAAGTCCATGGCAGGATAATTATATTTCATTTTCAATAGGTGATGCATACCGGTAGTATGATGATGAAATTAGATTAGTAAGACCACTTAACGTTTCCTGATAAATTAAAAACGAAGGTTTCCAGGCGGACCGCGTGGAGGGCAATCTAACATGCTATAGCTAGCATTATAGCTGGTATTGCGGTCACGGTTCGCTCCCCCGGATAGGTAGAGGGTTGGAATGGTTAATTAGAATATGTATTTGTCATCATTTCATTTGTGTACTCGTCTAAAACAAAATAATTGCGTTGATGGCAATGTCAAACTGTGGCCTTCGTATCAGTTGCTCACGGAGATCGACTGAGACGGAGTATCATTACGGTATTATTTAACAATTGTAGGAAAATGCATTTATAAATTTGTATTTAATTAAATCGCAATTATTTCATCATGATTAGTCTATTAAGGAGTAATTGTTGGATTATTTTATGTTGCATGTTTTGTTTTCCATCAATCCATAGTTAGGTATAGACAAAATTACTATGAACATCAATAGATTGTTATCACAGACGTCGTTACATAACGACATTTACGTGTGTCGACGTGAACTTGTCTCGCTATTCAATGGAAATTACAATGCTAATTGATTAATAGTCTAACACTAACAAACGTAATTTTCAACTAGTGTCTATTTGGAAAAAGGAAATATACATCCTGATTGATGGTGATTTCTCAATTAAAATTTTTTTTTGTTTAATTTTAGGTATATGACCTGATGTTTCGTATAAATTTTATGGAATAAAATGAATCTACTTGTAATGTGCTAGATATTACAAATATATTTGCTGTATATTATGTAAGAAGTCCTTGTATGTGCGTTATAACAAAAACTAAAAATTTTGACAACTTGGAAGGTCTGCAGTTAGTAGGTTGCCACTTTTTTATCGGGTTCAATACCCATATTTGTATAAACAAGTGTAAAAAAGAGTACCTACATTTAATAAAAAAAACTAATTATGTAGGTATGTCTATTAGTAGTGCAGTACCGCAATACTAGATCTGTTTAGTTTGGGAAAAGATGGCGCAGTTTTAGTCTAGAGATGTTATTATTATTGCAAATTTTTAATATCCGAAATATTACAAGTATTCTATTTTGTTTTGCAGTTAACAGGATTTACATAGCGTAATACATTAATTTAGTTTTTGTGGATTTTAATAATATACTTAAAGTGTATATTATAATAAGAAATAAATAGGAACTACTGTTACTAATCGAAAATTATTTATAATGCACAGTTGCCATTATAACGCAATATCATTGTTACAGAAATAGCCAAGGTCCTTACATGATCTATAAAAAAGAAAAATTGTAGTAAGTTTAAAATACATTATGTTTTTTCAAACAAGTGTTAATAACTACACATATATATGTATATGACAGATATTTTTTTGTGTCTAGAATGGAAATTAACCGGCGCACACGATGGCAACTGTCGCATATACACCTGAACAGTGCCATTGATAACAAGTCGTAATATGACTCGTCATATCCCACATGCATAGCTATTCTTGAGAACTATGTGGCTTACGCAGTAGTAATTTTACCATATCTCACATTCCCGACCAAAACTACAAAGCAAGCTGCTCCACCGTTGAAATATCTGATCTAAGATAGAGGATCCTACGCTGACGGCACTGTACATACAATCTACGTTCGTAAAAATACCAATGACATTGGATAATTCAATATATCTTCACGTAACATATATTGACAATATTGCTTTTTGGCCTTGACTTAGACCTTTTGTCGGAGTAGGCGAACTTGCAAGTCTTTTTATGGATTACAATTTAATTTTATTTAATTGTACTATATTATTTTTAGCAGTAACCAGTTATAAAACCGGTTTTAGTTGTGATTGTGGATGCGTCGATTAATTACTGTTATATCTACTATTATCATCGAAATAATTGGTTGATATATATCCTGATTAAAAAATATATTGCGGATATTTATTAGATAGGTATGTTCGTTTGGAAAATAACTATAATACATACATACCAACTATGTATAGACTTTTTAGATTGACAATATTAATTATGAAGCAGACTTGTTTCATATCAAGTTAACTTCGCACTGTTTTCTGTAAAATAAAAGTTCTTACAAATTTGTAACGATAAAGGAGGAGAAATATTATATAGTATCTAATAATATATATATTTATAAAATAAGGAATATTTGCAATAATTTTAGGCATTAACGTTAAATATATATTACACTGTAATAATAAATTAAGAAAATCAGAATACAATAATAAAAATATAAATAACCTAAATTGATTTATTACCGATTCTATAATTTTAGCTTTGGTATTGGTGTATATGATAAATAAAGTACTCTAGAACCAGATGATCAAATTAAGCAAATTTGCCGCGCCTAAATACGTTTTTTTATCAATTCCAACAAAAGAAGTTTCTTTAAACTCGATTTCATTTTATTAAAGCAATAGATTTTCAAAACATGTATTTTTTTAAAATGATTGGATTTAGTTAAACTTCAAAATTCTAAGATATTCTTAATATAGTTTCCGAAATACATATACGCCTTCAAAGTCGTCTTTCTAGCTCTCATTCACTCTGCCGCCCGACCAGTTACCACAGAACAACTTGAAATATTATTTTGTTAATGTATGTACGTATTGTACATAACGTTTCGTAATATTTTATTTATTTTAAAGAAAACGTATAAACGTATATACGTATGTTCCAATTTAATTGACTGCCTCAGTGGTCTAGCGATTTAAACATCATCTTACCTACGTTGGTCGCGGGTTTGATTCCTCGCACAGTAGGTACAACCATATATTTTCATGAGTATAATTGTTCGTATTGGTCTACGCGTTTCCTATGTATATTTTGTATGTATTTACAAAAAGAGATGTATTTATATCAGTTGTCTGAGATATCTATAATACAAGCTCTTAGCTTGAGATTAGGTAGGTGACACTGTGTGAATTGTCCTGTGTTAAGAAATTATTATTACTATGATTATTTATGTAATAATATATTAAATTCTAAATTTCAGGTAAATGTTGACTACGTATATAAATATTTATTATGATATCGTAACGAACAATATACCTTAATAAAACAATTAACTGAATCCTATTTATGCATTTCAGAAGTTTTATATTGAAATTTATAATTGTTAATATTAACTATTAATCGTATAAGGTAAAATTAGTTTGTAACCGTTGATTTAGTAGCAACCGGTAGATATCAAAATTAAGAAAGTAAGACGTTCCTTCTGATTTGACCTGTGATTATTGGAGAGTTTTTTTATGCTTACCTACATATGAATGTAACAAAATAATATTTCTTAGTAAGTGTGAAGTGCGCGTTTATTATTCCTGGGTTTGCATATAGCTATTCGATAAATTATTGGTTTGAGAAATAATATATTGTGATGCATTTCTTTGATAGTCATTATTTCAACAATTTGTCTAGAATTTTCAGGTACCAACGTAAGTTCAATTATGTACGAAATATAGATTCACGATTAACTTAGGTAGGTATGTACCACATCCTAATCACTTATTGGTCATATGTTATGATACATTATTATCAATCATTGTTTGATTGATAATAATGTATCATAACATATTCATATTCTAATTATTATTAAAAACAGTAGAAAAGTCTTTAAAAATTAAACTTGTTACCAGATTAAATACAATACCTACTAGTTGAATATTAACTATATCCATATAACCATCCACATAACCTATATCCAAATAGGGTATAGATAATAATAAAAATAAAAATAAAAAGTATAAATTCGGTATAAAGAACTTGAAATCTTACCTATTTCTTATGTTATCCAGATAGTCAGCCACTAAATCAATAGCGGCTTTGCCGAATTCTCGAAACTGTTGGGAATCCATTATCAGACACCAAACGCTGTCAGTCACTTCAACAATTAAATAACAAAGTTTGTAAATATTTGAATACAAAACACTAATCAAAGTATGATTAATTATAAAATTGCTTAGAAAAATATAAGACACTTGGAACAATGATGACGCTCGGAGAGTTAATGGTGGTACAAGAACACGAGAGGTGGATTTATAGGTGCACGAGTAAATCAGCTTTCTACCGCGTTTGCTGCTACCGCGACGCGACGCTGCGCTGGTCAGATCGACAATTATAGCTTGATCGTAATATACATATTATATGATATATTTATTTCGCCAATCAATAATTTTCCAAGTTATATTAATATACTAGAGACATAAGATTTGAATATAATACAATATTTTGCTTTAAAGACTTCATGTAAGTTTATAATTTTAAGTAAAAGAAATACACCCCAAAATTTAAAAACAATGGTCTCTCATAATGGTCCATTGTAACATTTTAATAGAGCATGTAGCTATTGAATAAAACTATGGTAAAATATGCTACTACGCTTATTCTCTTTTTTTCGTATCGACAAAAGTATTTTAGGTATAATTCTCTAGTAATTTCAATTACTTGTGCACTTATTTATTTCTGGGTACTTTGAAGCAGTCATCGCATTATTTGTATCTTACCATCCTCTAAACTTTTATTAATAAAGAACAATAATTAAATAGATTTTGAGTTTAGGTAACAATTTTTTTTATTGTTAGTTGTCCAAATATTGTCACTGTAGTAGTAGTGTCACGGTTAGTACATACATATTTACTAAGAGGGAATGTTAAATATACATAATTAGTTATATAAACATACATAATTAGGAATAGCTTGTAAGTTTAAATACATACTTTTGTTACTTTGTCAATATTGTAAGTTTCCTTGTGAGCAGTAAATAAAGATTATTATTATTATTATTATTATTATTATTATTAATTAATGTTTCATATACATGACATGACAAACCAACATTTCGCTGTGAGTATTTGAATTCAACTTGTAGAGAGCAATCCTACCGCCGCCGCTGCCCGTTTCTTGAACTAATTTTGTTTAGTATTGGTATGTAATATTATGTTATCTGTGGTATTGGTGTCTGTAGTGTAGTGTATTTTCGTAATTTAAACTTGTTCTATGAAAATTTTCCCTGTGGTATGTGGTAAAAAAAAAGGAGACAACAACGAGGTCCATTAATAAGTTATGTAGCTAGTATTTTATATTATGTTAATATGAATAAATTCCCTAACTAAATGGAAAATCAAACCTTTACTCAATAGTCATGTAGTCACGTAGAAAGTATAGTGATCACAGTTCGGTTATATTTACAATTATAAAATTTGAAATTGTTTTCTTGCTTAGGATAACTAACCAAAGTACTACTACTAAACGTTGTATATGTCTGAGTGAAATAGGTGTGACAGAGTCACACCTATTTCACTTTGTAAGTTGTGGTTTGAATGAAGAGCCCATCCCTCAGGATGGTGGGTGAAACTGCAGTATACGGAGGTATGACAGTCCTGTTTTAAGTAGACCACGTGTAAGGACGTCGGTAGCCCCTTATCTTAAGAAGGGCCTGCAAATTCTTATGCATTCCAGTTACATAAAAAAAATTATGTACTATCGTATACTTGGGTACGAATTGTAGTGTAATGGAAATTACTATAACCCATTAGGAACTGACGTAGTCGTTTGACAATACATTAGGCTATTTTAAAGTCGATTATGATAACAATTTCGGTAATTTAATGCCTCGTAATAGAAATACCTAATTGGATCTGCGCATCACAGATTTTTAATTACGTTATGGAATACACAATTCACCTATTTGGGTTCGGTTTGCTGTCATTAATTAAATCTATGAGTAATTCTTACAGTGTTACCCTTATTTGATTATAGGTAGAAAATAAAGTAGCTAACTACTAACAGATTTCTGGATATGTTTGTTATATAGATTGACAGTATGTAATGCATAAGACAGCTTCGGTGGTCTAGCGGTTTAGCATACTTCTTCACTTTACTTCCGATGGTCGCTTGTTCGATTCCTCGCACGGTGCAAACATTTGTGTTCATAAGTACGATTGTTTGTATCGGTCTGGTTGCTTTCTATGTACATTAAGTATGTATTTACAAAAAAAATCTAAGTATTTATATCAGTTGTCTAGTACCCATAAGGTAAGTGCTTGCCGTGGGACTAGATGACGCCGTGTTCATTGTCCAGGGTTATTTATTTATTTATTATTTATAGATATCGCATGCCCAATAATGAACTGCTTTAATTTAATAATTACAAATTTAGGGAAATCATCACTAATTTTTAACTTGAAATATATCACATAATTTCTAATTTTGATAACTTATAAAGTAGTTTTTCAAGAAAGAGTTTTGGGTAATGAGAGATGAACTTTTTAACATTCCATAGATTCGCCGTGTGAGAGTCGGGTCTATCGTATGGCAGAGAAAGAAACCCCGAGTAGTTCCCTGAACGTGTGACCCGGGTGTATGTCCAACCGCACCGCCATCGCTCGTGTTACACTCTCTGTCTAGCCAAACTTGATACAGGCTGCTATTGCAGCTTTTGGTACACGTTCTAGTATAGAACTCACTGCAATTCTAGACAAGCCACGATTTTTAGAAGATTGTAGACATATTTCGTTAGTATACTTCTTGCTTCCACTTAGACCGTGTAACGTTAACGACATAATTTTTGAAAATAGGAATATGAGACATCTACATACTCTGGGATAGAATGCTTTTCATACGTATCTATTAAATAGTTCAGTCAGATGCAATGTTTAGGATTGAGAAGGGTTGTTTTCGGAGTTTCAAGTTGAGCCTTTATTTATGAAGTTATATTTATTCTTTTGTTTTCTTATGTTTTCGTTTCTTTTGGTGTATTTTTTTGGGCTCTAACTTTTGAAGACAGCTACACGTATAATTTGAAGTCGTTAATCATGACAACGTGGGTAAACGTTTTCACCATGGCTCTGTCGACGTAAAACACGCAAAAACTGTATAGGTACAAATAACTGCTGATTGGTATGACGAATCGAAAGAAATTAAGGTTTTAAACGAATTAAACACCCAGGATGAGGCTGAGCAATTTCGTAACCAGTTTTATTAAAAATATACTGCTATAATATGCAAGATGTGAGCAGTAATTTAATTTTACAATATTTTATTCCATACATTTTAATGACATTGACCTTAAGTGTCCTGCACTTGGGTATCCTGTCAATGACTGTTGGGAAACTATAGGGACAATGAAATTTCTTTGTGTATTATATAATAATTGAGCCCGCACATACACTATAATTTTAAGTCAAGGTTTGGTGAAAATCGCAGTCAACTTGGTTAAACCATTTCTAAGATTCGCGCGCAGAGACAAATAGTAAAAGATTCCAACAATAATAGTTTTATGTTCCGTTACGTTCGGCTGTATCACATTCTACCCGTTTTTGCAATTTTTTATTGCAGCACCATTCCTACAAGTCGTAGCGCGATATTATATAGTCTATGACACTAACAGATAACATGTCTTTCTATTGGTAAAATCTCTCATACTTTACCTCCTAGTACATAATGTTAGTATGGAACATATATGTGAAGATCTAAGAAATCTATATCTGCCAGGAGTATTTAGAACAAAATTTCCTGGTAGAAACAGTCATTTCTAAAAACTTTTTTTTGTGTTATTATATGTAATTGGTAATTAATGATTGATGACCGGAGAAGTTACGGTAGAGCAAGTATGGTCCAATGACCCAGGCCGGTCAAGGCGACTGCGGAGGCGGTGGTACCACTGTACTGGGTCTTCCGATTCAATCGCGCTTCAACGATAATTGGAATTAGCTGGTTCCGAGGTTCTTAAGGTAATTGTATACCTATAGGTAATTGTATACAAGTCGATTTATTTTGTTTCACAATGAAAAACCAACTCGACAATATTGTATGACACGACCAATAACTAAAGTATTATTGCATAATAAATTTAGTTTAACAAAAATTAAGAATATACGTAGTTGTATAAAAATATGGGTAAAAATGTGTAATTTAGAATCATCCTGAATTGTTTCTTCAGTAGTAACTATAAATAACTTCTATCACAAAGATCAACGGAAAAGGGCATATGGTACAGAACTATGCAAAGTGAACCCCCTCGTATCCCATGGTTCCAAAACATTAACCTTAGTCGTAAGTATGTTGTCATAGCACTTAGATTGCGTTCAGGACACATTTCATCAAACAGATTTGGATTTCTCATGAAAAGAGTAGACACCCCTAATTGTCAAACCTGTGGTGGTATTGATGATGTTCAACATCTGTTGATGGAATGCGTCAAGAACAATACTGAAAGGCAAATCTTACTAAAAAAAATAAATGTAAACAAAAATAATTTAGGAATATTTCAGAGTTTTTTATCAGAACCTGCATCAAAAGAATCGGTATTAATTTATAAATTTGTAGACAAAAGTAGGTAAGATTTGTTTTTGTAGTAATTTAAAGTTTAGATGTTATGTAATTCATTAAGAAGACAACACGGAGCTAACATGCTCACTATAAGCTAAGCTCCTAAATAAATAAAGAGAAAAAAAAAAAAACTTCTATCACCTGCATACATTTCGTGGATTGTTGGCAAATCGTCTACTATCTCAGTGTGGTAGGATTTTATGTGAAGATGATAATACTAAATACTAATATTCAATTTTATGTAATGCAATCTTTACTTAGCAATGCAAATATCACCTGTAACTTTACTATATTGTTTACATATGCGTAACGTGACCAGATGTCCCGTTTTTAACGGGACTGTTCCTTTTTATAATTACGAGTCCCGTTGTCTCCAAAATTAACTCTGAGAAGCAAAATTGTCCCGTTTTCGGAAACTGCGAAAATTTGAGTAGTCGAGCGGGCCGGTTATGTTGTTGACTATTGTTGATAATTAAAGTGAATAAGTATTAAAAAACGTGCCAAGACTTTCAGTCTTACTATGTAATATTATCTTATCTGTGATCTTACTTAAAAATTTCACTATCTGTATTAAAGCAAATTTGTTCATTTGACAATACTTAACTTTTAAGCTAACTGTTTGTGAATAAAGCTTGAAGAAATTGTTTTTTCATTGACTGACTATTAATTGACATAAATAAATCAATGTCCCGTTTTGAATCAAAGAATTAAATTTAAAAAATAGTTATAATACGAGCCAGATATTTATTTTCTGTATATATCATTTAGGTTACAGTATCAGAGGTATCATATATCATAATATCATTAGGTAAACCTAATGATATTTATTATTATTATTATATATATATACTTATAGATAGGTATTTTTTTTTAGAAAATATTACAATAATTTAAACAGATGAGTAACAACTTAACAAAAATACTCTTCCAGACTATCTATTCTATTTCAGGACTTATACAGAAATATTATGATGGTATTTTTTTAACATTTAATTATTATTGCTACATAATATCTTTAATGATTTTAAAGATATGTTATTTGGTAATTTCGTAATTACAGAGAATACAAAATCTGCAACATTAATATGCAAAAAGATGAATTAATCATATAAAAAGGCGTTTAAACATTAAAATTAAAAATGTCCATTGTCATCGTGTTTTGTTGAATTCAAATTATAAGAAGTAAATATTAACGTTGCGTATTAACCAAAGAAATACCTATTGTTATTTTAATTTTCTCTACATAGGAAAAGCCAAACCGACTAACTGACAATACTCCTCATTATTCGAAAGTTTCTCTAAGGGTTGTAATTTTAGCATTTAATAGTATGAAATATATATAGTATTGTCCATACTTTTAGGTTTTCAAACATTTTCAATTCGACACAGATTCTATATTTGTAACACTACCCTAGATAAGATGAGTGTACGAGTTACAGCAAAAAGATTGTATAAATAAAGTTTTACAATTATTATATTACATCAACTTAAAATGTATATCATAATTTGAGCAGCACTTGTTTGTTGCAATATATTCGCAGTATGGATTGTTAAATAGATAAGTAAAATTTAAGTTTCCAGATAGATGACAAAGCTATGCGCTGACACAGCTGTTCGCAAATTTAGATATTGAATTGAATTAATTTCCAAATAACTTCAGTAAATGATAATTTTAAGAACAAAAAATAATTTTGTATCCTGCAAATTTTAACAAAATAATATATTTAAACATGAAATAAACACAATTGAAAACTTTGCTAATAGATACCGAATTATAAATTAGAGAAATTTTCGGACGTTTCTATGAAGAGAATTCTATATGTACGTATATCCATTCCACAGTTAGAGGTCAATGTCACAGAGTATTTTTCTGACTTATCCTGTGCTGAGACCGTGATTGGTAGAGGTAAGGTGGCAGATGTGTGTTGCGCTAACGTTACAGAATCCAGGCGAGGAAAAAGCGTTCGCGAAGATACACGATACGTAATTTCATTGCGGAGAATATGTTGCACGTCCAACATATTCGTGCCACCTTCAGTCAGTAACATTCCAAGAATTATCTTTCCTGTCGATGTTTCTAAAATAAACATGTCATTTCATTTATCCGTCGCTAAGTAAAAATAGATGAATAGAGGAATAAAAGACAATATTTCATACCAATTAATTGATCAAATACTTGCATCATAATAATAGATGCATGTTCAAGCAGAGCGTATCGCAAAGATTTGATCATAAGATCATTGCGATGAGGTATCATTAAAACTGTAGTTCTATAACATTCACAGGCTTCTCCACAGCTGCAAGGATCCATAGGCCATGAGTGAACATTTGCTTGCAAAGTATCTATTGCTAAATCCCATCTAGGCTGTGAAGTTACTCTAACAAAAAATTGTCCTACATCACTTGTAAACCAAATCCACGAGTTTCCTGTTTGGGTACTAAGACAAATCAATTGTAAATATAACTTATGTTCTTGAATTTCTTGACCACTTTCTTTAGGTAAACCACTTAAAGATATTTCATTGTCAATAAGGTTGAGTCGACGTAAGTAAAATCTAGGACATTTTCTATATTCAAAAATAACTGGAATCGTAGGTTCATTGTCTGTTAAATATAATTGATAAGTTGAAGTCATAGCAAATGGAGAAGATACTAAAATATCTACTTTAATAGGACGGTATAAAGGTCCAGTTACTTTACATTTTCTTAATGGATTTAAAGCGCCGATGTGTCCATGTAGTGTGATTACTACATAAGTGTCAAAAATTCTTGTTTTATTGTACCCATGAATAAGAAGAATACATGTTTCTTCACTAACAAAATTAGCGATATATTTTACACTCAAAAACATTTTTTTACCGTTTTCACTAGTTGGAGCCTTTTCCACTGTAAAGTTGTTTTTTATATTATTAAGAATAATATAATTAAAAATTAAATACTCTTGAGTTGCAGGTGCAATTGCTACCTGTCGAGTTGAACTTCTTAACAGAGGTGGATTAAAATTAACAAAGTCCTTTGGTTTAAACATTGGCAAAGTGACATATAAATGGATTGATAAAAATAACATTTGTAAAAAATTCGGCTGTAGTAAATCTCTACTAGTCAGGGGAAAATACAGTCGTAATAAATTTAATGCTTCAATTATCAGACAGGCATTATTAATAATGCTACCTTCTTTGTTCTCTTCATCAACTTTACAGAATATTGTAAAATAATCCTTCATAAATGGACAATAACTTATTATTGCTGATGCTAGAGCTATTCCATCTGATAAGTCTGAAGTTATGTTTTCAATTATTTTATACGGTTTACTTTTTCCCAGTAATGTTTCTTGTTGTAGTGCTATTTGGTCGTTATACCAATCTATTAAAATTTTTATAATATCTCTACGTTGAGAACTAACACACACACAATCGAAAAAACAACTATCCATTACGAAAACTTTATAACTCTGTAAAATAAAATCAATCCAACTCTGCTTGTTAAGTCTATTGAATAATTGCATGTCAGCTAAAAGTTCTCTTGTCAAAATAATGTCAGCATTATATTTAGGTGTTACGTTCTCAGAATATATAACAAATTGGTCAAAACTTAAAAGGAATCTTGCTTGCAGTACCCAGAGATTTGCACCACGTGATTTTAATAAATTTATAATTTCTCTATATGTATCATGTATTTCTTTAACACTTTTAAAAGAATCATCAATACCATGCAGCCTGAAAGATTAAGAACAAAATGTTAAAATATAAATCACTATGGCAACTTTACGAACTTATCGAGACTAACTACTATGGATAGTGGTTGACAGAGAGAATTTATTTACCAGTTATGTATATACGAGTATAGATGTATATATAATTAAAATATTTTTACATGAAGTTTAAGTGATTTATCTACTATATTAATTTCAGCTTAACTCAACATTTCGAAAACATCATAATTTATTATATCCATTAAAATTTATTTTGTTTAAATTATACTAACGATATTTTTCGAATATGCTTCATCAGTGGACCTGCAATTCTTCTCACAAAGTTCAAATAAGAAACATTCATTCCTTTAGTTTTAGTACCTGGTTGAGATGATATAGCTGACGATATGGCATGAAAAGTATCAGGAATAACTGGGTACAAATCTCTACGGAACCCTTGTTGAAACATCCATTTTTCTAGAAATTTAGAACATGTTTCAAGATATTCATAGAGTTCAATTTGGGTACTAATGGGAAAGTATGGATAAGGATTATCTATTGGTTTAACTAAGAATCTTGTATGCAAAGTCAATGGACAGTAAGTGAAACAAAAGCTAGTTTCGATTTCACAACCCGAACCACTTTCATGGTTAAAAGTAAGCGTTAAATTACGAGAATAAGTGACTTGGCAACAGACTGTTATTTCTATATGCACTATTGTGTGATATTCATGTCCACTCGGTATTGCTTCTAAGTCAATAAATTTGACAGTCAGATTAGGCTCATCTTGAGATACGCAAGAAAATGATTCCAAATCAGATTTAGCTTCCAGTTTTAGATTAATTATGCGAGAAATTGTTGTTCCAACATAACACGGAGGAAACACTATGCGATAAGTGCTTGGTATCATTATAGGCGCTTGTCGTTTTCCAATAAATGTTAGATTATAGTAAGGTGTAGTCATATGTTTATCTAGATATAATATAGCAGTAGAGGCAAATATTCCATGTCCCTTAGGATGAAATTTTAAGCAAAAACCAGCTTGATTCTTGCGTTCTAATTCAAATTTTATTTGAGTTTCATTTGTAGCAGATTGATTTTCTTCTGTTCTCAAATGCAAAGTAAAATTTGGCGATAACTTTGATATTAATATAGTAATAAATAAATAATATTTTGATACATTTGTCATTGTGAATTCTATGGCATTAGTACCATTTTGAATATATTCAATTTCGAACTTTTCTGGCGAAAGTTGTATCCAGGGTACAGTAATGACTCCAGTTACTTTACAAAAACTGATATCTTTACTTATAGATTTCAATCTAACTTTTGAGTTATTTTCATAAAGCCTGAAAAGAGATGACAATATATTAAATCATTGTAGTATATCAGTTACATGAAAATATGTATTTGGAGGTATAACTAAAAATGTATATTAAATACTTACTGTTCATATTGACTAATGTAATACTGAAGATCTGTCGAGCATGAATTTTGATCTGGTGGTCCTAAAAGCCTATTTATCTTGAATGGTATGTACATTTCGTACTCTCTACGAAATACATCAAAAACTTTTATAAAAACTGTTTTAGATTGTCCGCCTTCTATATGAAACTCTATAATTTTTTGTTTATCGTTACCTTGAGCAGAATAAACATTAAATATATTTTCATCTCCCGTGTCCAAGATTTCTACTGTGCTTTTTAGAGTACTAAAATTTTGAAACGTAACTGGAACGTACGTTATCATGTTACAAGGTACTCGAGACATGTAGATATGTTTAGGATGGATGACTAACCTTGGCTCAACTATGTTTCCACTAACAGGAAGAATGATATTTTCTTTATTATTTATTTTGACATAAATATCAAATGCAAATTCTAATATGCAAGAAATTTTTACAATAATTTCAAAAGTTATTATCATTTTTGGCCGTATGGTGCCAGACATAGGTTCTATTCTAAAACCTGGTATGAGAGGTTCTACAACGTGAAAAAGAGCAATTTCCCGAGAAGAGTTTTCTAATTTTACCCTCTCAATAGTTTCTAAATTTAGTGCGATATCTTTGAATATAACCGTCGATTGTAAAAATTTTATACAAAGTTTTCTGGTAATTATATTAAGTTCTATGGGAATTACCTTACTTGTTTTACTCTGAGATACAAAATCAACTTCATGTGTTTTTGTTTTACTCGGTCTAGAAACATATAACACATCACATATTTTACAAGTATGTTTTGGGATAGTACCAGAATTGGGTATTATATCAAAAGGGGTATCTGGATGCAGTTCATCCCATTTAAAATCAACTGCGATATTAAAGTAGTTATATATTCGAATGGGAACTGATGTAATAAAACTTTCAGTTGTAACCATACCAAATTTTAAGCTCTTCTCCATTATCATTAACGTGGGATTACCTATCTGAAGACAATAATTATGTTTTAGTTTATATTTCTCATCTATAGTGTACTCAAATGTACCTCTATAGTAACCTTCAACAAAACCCAAACAAAATATTTTTAAACTGACAGTGCTCATTGTCTTTAATTTGAAAGACACATTTTTAATTTTTTCATCGGTATAAAGAATATAGTGATCGTTTAATAACTTGACAGTTATGTTATATTTGCTATTGTTTTTAATAATCAGATCTTGTTCGCCATATGTTAGAAATCCAACGCGACCAAAATCAATAAAAAATGGACTTAGTAAAATATCGAAAAGATTATATGACGTAATGTATTCACAATCTTTTTTGCAAAATATTTTTGCAGTGGTTGTGGAATTGAACGATGTATCTAGACTGCATATCTTTTTCTCAGTACATTCATTTTTTTTTACAGGTTTTTTAAAATGAGACATTTTGCATATCTGTAAATATTTGGAAGCTGCGGTTTGTCTGTTAGCATGTATTTGCAATTCTTCATGTAAATAAGTATAATGAGGTTCTGGTTGATTTAATTTGTGTAATGATTCTACTATAACATTATTGAAATGTTTATTGCAAATTATGTTAAAATTGCACTTTATTGTGTATCTTAAATAATTTTCATCATTTTCATCTTTAAGATCATGAGGATTTCTTATTTTAAATGTTAGTGTATTATTAACTTTTAAACATGTAGGTCTCATTGTGATTGATAGTCGTTTCGATGAATTAGGAGGAATACAACATTTTTGAGGCTGGACTTCAAATCCAGTTATCCGGATGTACTGTATTTTAGCGGCATTTAGTTTAGATTCATTTATTAGTCTTATGTATTTTGTTGATTTTGCATTCATAACAATATCGCCAAAGTTAAGCTTTTTGGGATAATGATTAATGGTACAGTATTCAAATTCTCCACAAATGTAATAACGGCCAACTTCAGAATGAAATTCGTTATTACAACATCGAATTCCGTCTACTTGTATCAAACGCAGATCAAACACAAATCTGTTGTCAAATTGTTTTGCTCGCTTTGCTCTTGTAATGCATTCTGGTAGAGGTTTAAATGTTATCTGTATGGTGCTTTTGTCTACTGGGGTTACATCAAACGCTCTGTGTGATTCCGATATTTCACGGGCTTCATTGAATTTCTAAAATTTATAACACAATAGCAAAAAGTAAAGTCAAGATTCTTTTCAAAACTGGTTATAACACATAGCCGCTAAAACTATATAAGTGTATGATGACTATAATTAGATATATATCAAAGTTATAACTAATTTCGATGATTTTTAGTTAGTTCCCATACTTCCTTAGTTCCAAAACCATAATATATTTACAAAAAATAAAAAATATTCATTGAAAACACCCAGGCCGACAAATACAATTATACTCAGGTAGACAAATGTTTGTACCGTTCCAGAAATCGAACCCGCGACCAACGGAAGTAAAGCGGTGTGCTAAACCGCTAGACCACCGAGGCCGTCATGAAGCCAAATCTCGAGATCCTTGCGTTGATATATCGAGTGCCGTTCAGTTTTGTGATCATTTGAAGGACAAGGCTAATACAGCCTCTAAAAAGTTAGGTGTGCTCAGTAGAGTGGTGTTGCGGATGCTCATAGACGGCGGTAATCACTTACCATCAGGTGAGCCGCAAGGTCGACTGTTCCCTATACTGTAAAAAATACTTATTATGATTAGTAGTCAGTTTTTGAGGAACAAAGTGTAATTGCAGAATATGTTATAACATACTCATTCGTGTATTTATATTGTTGGATTTAATTATAAGAAATAAGAGAGCATGTGACAAAACTCACCAATAATTTGCCGGCGTGCATAGTTTTCAGATAAGCAGACGTATTTAAATCTACTTCTACGTCGAGGTATTGAGTTGACGACAACCCAACGAAAGATATTGGGAATTCTATTAATTTGAATCTATTAAAAACATTGTCAGGTTTATAGCAATCGCATTCTGCCGTAGTCGTGCTTTGAAATAAAAGTTTCGAAATGGATTTCGTATGATGATCAGTCATGTTAAATAAATTAAAAAAATAATATTAACGTAACAAAAATTGACATAGTAATGTTCATTGACAGGAAGTATTTATGTGTTGCTGACTAAAATGAGGTATTGATTATTTGTTCAGTGTTGCTAACTAAAACTGAGTAATAATAAGTAAAAAACAAATTATTACAGTTAAGATATATACACAACCACTACGTGTGTAATATACTCGTACCTATAGTTTTATTTTATTATACAATTATTTTTATTAGAACAAAAACAAAGATTATATGTATAATAAAAATATTTTTTATGTAATTTTTTGGCGACTTGTAACAAAAGTTCTTAGGTGAAATTCTAATATTGGTACTTTTTATATCATATATTTATTTATACTTTACAACAATAATATTGAATTTAGTCTATAAACATGTCTTCAACAAAAGAACTTGTAAACACAGTCATGGATAAATTAAAAAAAGTCGTACAATCTAATAATTGGAAAATCTTATTTTTTTAAGTATCTTACCACTATACTCAAATATAACACATATAATATATATACACGTGATACACATCACATTGATAACGTGTTATTCTATCATTATTGTTAAAATAATGAAATTATCTATGCTTAAATGGTTCGAATATGAGTATCTACTGTAGAATACATTATGGAGCTATAAAAATGAAAAACATATATGAATTGCATTTAATTTTTTAAGAAACAGACTAGAAAGTGACTATAATTTCAGAATTTCCTTTCTTCACAACGATACCAGATGAGTAGAAACGAAGTGCCCCCGCGAACGGGATAACGTGCTGGCGTAATATTGTAGATGGATGTAAGCACCGGGGGTGTGTCGTGCGACTCCGGAAAATTAGTTCGGGGCGGGGGAGCCCCGCGTCCCTCTGCCGCCGTCCTGGTAGCCCGAGGGTTTATCAGATTCAGGGGGTGAAAAATGACTTCTCAATGGGAGGGAGAAGGGCGGCGCGCGGCGTGGGGCGGGCATGGGCGGCGCCGCCACGTGGCTCCGGCTTTTGGACGCGTCGCGACGCCCGCTGCACCCGTTCGAGGAATGATAACACAGTATTCTGAAACTATGCACAGGTGCTTAAGAGACTGTGTTGTTTACGCTGTCAGGGCGGGATGTTAAAACGCGGAGTTGGTGTACAATATTTACAGTGTGTTTTTCGGACGTAGCGGTGCGTTAATGGATACAGGATACGAAGTGGTTACAGACTGTGAGGTTCCTTGCCAGGCTCCCATGAACCCTGAGTTGGACAATATGCATTCTTTGGATCCGCCACCGCCTGACGTACTGTTAGCGCTTTTAGCACGGAATAAAGGACTTGAAGGTACTTGCCTGTACTATTCTATGATGATTAGTTCACTTAATAATTCAATTTCTCCATCTTTCTCACACGGGAGTATTTTAATTTGCTTTTGCTACAGACAAACTGCCAAGCAGTTTTCCGGCTTAATACGTGGTATTTCTTGTATTAAATTAGCGTGAACAACAAAAATGAAATCTAATCTAATAATATTATTATTTTAATTTTGTTTACTTAGGTATTTAGATAATATCGACATTATGGAATGGTTTAGAGAGATATTACTGTTGCTAAAAGGATTGACTACATGTTTTTAATCAGACCGTAATAAGCATGTAGTAACTACCTTCAATGTATGTAATGTCACTATGTACATACGATTAATAATCTGCTTAGAGCTTAAAACTATTATCATATTTTATTTAGGTTAATTAACGTTACATGATCCTGTAATTGGACTGTTTTATCTCACTTTTCAACCGAACACATCCCATAAAACAAGCCTCTTGTCAGCTGATAGGTGTAGACAACTTGTTACAAAGTGTACCTCAGTCATAAATTTTATTGCTCAATACCTACTTGTATTAACTATTCAGATCTTCATACAAAGCTTCCGAACTTAGTTGTTTATTACTCTGGCGTGAACTTTTATCGTCGTATCTTGAAGTCAGCCAACAACAATGTTTAGTGTCAACTTAATTTATCAGTAAAAAATGGTATTGGTAAACAGATCAATATACATATATAACAAAGTACCTCGTAATGACAAACGGGTGCAACGAATTTATATTATAAATTTGATGAACAGGTTTTGCGATTTAATGAGTTTTTCCGTTTAAGCATGGATAACATAATATTATTTCCGATTAAGTGTGGACCAGTGAGGACAAATCGAGAGCATGTTACATTCAGCACCCAGAATAGAGATTTAACGCAATATCATTAGTTCATATAAGTAAAACTTAAATGAACTACGACCAATATTCTTATAAATATTAAAAATGTGAAAGTAGGGATGTTTGTTACGCTTTCACGCAAAAAGTATTGATACGATCATCGTGAAATTTTGTACACATGTTCTTGGACGTACATAAGTAAGTAAGTTATTTATTCGTATTACAGACAGATACGCACATAACAATAAAGTCCCATTGACATTATGACATTAGTAGGCTGCGCTTATTGAATATATGCGGCTTTAGAATGAACATAGGATACTTTTCATTAAAGAAAAAAAACAAATATTTCTAATTCAATGCGAGCGAAGCCGCGGGCAACAGCTAGTACTGTATATAAAAGTGGTCTAGATTAAACCTGCCTTAAATAAAAGTATTTGTTAATTATTTCTTTCACAGTTTAAATAAAGCATATAGTTGCAGTTATAAACGGTGGTCCACACTTGTAATGGATAAAATAAGAAGAAATAAAATTTGGATTAAAAATTTAATTAATATGTCGTTTTCTGTATTATAGACACTTACATATCATCAAAAAGAGCACAGTGAAAAATGAATTAAAGTATATTAAATTGATAATACTTGATATACGAATATGAATTAACGGAAAGGCTACCAAAATATTTTGAATACAACAATAAGCATATTATTAAAAATAAATCATATAAATTCTCAAAGACATATTAATTAAGGATGAACCTTACATACAAAGTTGCATAGACTGAAATACCTAAAGATTTAATTTCTTTTTACACAGGATTTTGGTGTTTCATAAGTAATTAGTTTTTTTACTATTATATCCTATATAATTAATATAAAAATAATTTAAAAGAAATATACATTTTGTGATGAAGTGATTTGGATGTTCATATTCCGGTCTACAATTATCGGTTGCGCTGGCACGTGCTAGGGTTTGGTTGGAGGTTGGCGCCACGCGGCCGCTAGTCGCATGTGCTCAAACCTCTATATTTTTTCTATAATACTATAGGGCTTCGAGTAATCAAGTTAAGTGCTCTTTACACGTACGTACGATCGGCTTTTTTATTTTAACACTAGCCCATATAGTGTATACACTTATTATGTCGATAACGTCGCACTTAGTTAATTGTTCTACTTTTAATAGACCCTCACTTGTCATTTAAATGGACATACGAATATTTAATTAATATTAATGCTTACCTCAAATTAGGCAAGTTGTTTTTATATTTTATTCTGTGTAGAATTGTACTGTGAAGTTTTCATTGTTGTTTTATATATTTTTTTAATAATAATCTATTTTGCATCCAATATTTACAATTTAAAGTGTTCCCCGGCACCTACACTAAGTAGAAACTATTTTAGGTACCACTTCTTCTTACAATTATTGGAATTACAAAAAGACAATCGAATAATGTATTTAATTTAAGCTTATCATCATTTACTTGCAATGTGTATATGCGTGTGTGATTATCATTCAATCATTGTGGTTATTATTTACTCATATTATTAATAACATTTATGTTTTTTCCTTATATGTGTTTCAGTCACTTATTAAAGATTATTGTATGGAATAAAAGACATTGCATATGTTAGGTTAGCATATTGCAAGTAACATTATCACCGAAGGTTTGAAAGCATCTCACTTTAGAAAGGCTGCACTGTGCTTATTCTTGTCACCACAGGCTTTAGTAGAAGTAGGTAGGTAATAATATGATCGGAACGTAGTACGAAGAAATTAGGTTAAAAAATTCTCCATTTAAAAAATATTTTACATGGAGAATTTATGACCAGTTCTATTATAACTAGTTCTTAATGAAGCTCATAAATAACATACACGAATACTACGCTCTATAAATGGGTATTAGGTAATTTTGATAGTATTTTGTTATAGCCAGAACCCCTATTATTTTAAAGCGCATGATTACGTAGTTAGGGAGTGCTTATAGATGGCCGTCGGGCGGCGGCCGCGAGCGGCGGCGCTGCGTGGCGTGGCTAGTTATTATTTTTCTAAACTATATTATATTGAACAATATTCCATTGTTATTGTATAACAATCGGAATTATGTGTATCACAACAGAGCTTTAACATAAACAAATGCTCGAGCGTGGGAGTCTTTTACTCTACATTATGCAATCAACAAACTAGGTTCTCTATAAATTAAAAAAATCCGGTGATATCAGAATGCCTTTTTTAAGTAGGTTCAATATAATTACTATTTTCTGTAAAGGATCGCAAATGAACTGAGGGTCCATCTGATGGAAAGTGGCTATCGCTGCTATCAGATTTCAATCGCCTACACACTTTACAAAAATATTATGATGCCCTTGGTATCCATTATGCGTTGTTGTACTGAAAAACAAGATTTATATGTTTGGTACATTGACATTTTACTTAATTCCTCGGCCTTGGTGGTCTAGCAGCAGTTTAGCACGCCTCGGTTCGGTTCTTTACATGTTGCAAACAATTGTATTATGATTTTATTTTTAATGTTTGTATTGGACTGAGTTCTGTGTTTCTACGTATATTGTGTATGTATTTACAAAAAAGTATTTAAGTGTTTATATCAGCAGCCTAATACTCATAAAACAAGCTCTGATTAACTTGGGACTAGATGGCGATGTGTGTATTGTCCAGCGTTATTATTATTATATTATTTATTCTTAAAAAAATTACATAATAACCTTTAGGGAACAATAGTAGGTGAGAGATAGGGAGATATATTATAGCTGGCTTATAGCTATTATAAAAAGTGTGAGAAAGTTTATGGACAATATTTACCAGGTATAACATTTTGAATGTCATGGGAAGAGTTCGGAGATGTCGCCTATTATAATACATTACACTTAGAGCGGAAGTGCACGCGTGTCGGCGTGTGCGCGGCGAATCGCCTCCTTCCGGTTTCTATTACTTGCGTATAGTAACAGGATACCGTTTACCAGCTTTTAATAAAGAGGACCATTTTTTTTTAAATATGGGAATCCGCGTACATTTTTTTGTAATCAGAAGTATTTACATAATATTTAATTGTACATTGTTTTTATAAATTAATTATAGATTGCTATAATCTTTTTACCGCCATTTGCATTATTAATAAAGAGTTACCAGGTAGTAAACTTACAATTTTAGGATACAATAATGTCTTCAACGAAGTATTTCTAAAATAAATATCTATACTAAAACTCTAATATTGAGGATAGGTAAATCTTGGAATACTATTTTAGCTGTCTCTGTTGGAAAGTAGTTGCTTGCGTAGTATACAACTACAAATAGAAATGAATATCCTTATGTGACAGTGTGCAAATTACATAAACAATCATTAAAAAATGAATTTGATTTAAATGACAAATTTCGAGATGAGAGGTATGGAGATGGTAGGTTGGTTAAAATTTATGATGTATGTTTGGTTTTAAAGGCAATTTATTAACCCTGGCGCGTGGATCATCACACAACGGGGGGCGACATCTGTTTGTCCCTGACCCCTCATTTTGCTTACCCTTACCTTAGTTCACCTGATGGGCTACCGACGATAGGTAGCTCTATCTACTATATCCGATTTATAATGTTGCTACGCTTGGGAACTGTAATCTTTTACTCGTTGATACGTAATTAACTTATTGAAATATACATAAACTATCTTTAAATAATGTAACATACAGTCCAAAATTACGTGGGTATTAGCTATTGTCTATGTGGTTCCTAAATATGCCTATTAGTACTTACCTACTTATCTATAATATATAGATAATTAGTGTGTGAGGGTGTAGCCTATTATTTCTGTGGTCAGGTATAACATTTTTTTTTCTTTATTTATAACCAAGTTGTCATTTATGTTTTGTTCCTCGAGACGGCTTTTATGAATTCTTCGGAAAAGAAATGAGGCAATGACATACTATATTCTTATTCTGCACGATACATACAGAGCTTATTACCAAACAGGAAAGCATTTTGTAGTTCCTGATATTAGTGCGTTTAACAACACATATTAATAATAAATAGGTACAATTAATTTATCACATTCATGTCTATAATTATATAGAATATATAAATGTAAAACATACATGTACATGTTTTGTTCATACCTAATAGCT